AATTGGGGGAGAACGGATTGGAAATGTCGGCCGGGCCAAATTGGGCATATTCAGAATATCAATATTCAGAAATCCCCCGAGGGAAGCCCTCCAGGATTTGATAAACTCTATTTTGAAGATTGACAATTTTAAAGTTGCCCTTGCCTTGTTACAATTCGGTGCTTTTGCATTATCGGGGGGCGAGTATTTGCGCGAAGTAGTAAGTATTTTAATTGTTTTTCGTAAAATTTAACGTTATTTCAAGTGGCAAACCTATCTCCAAAACCTCCAGAAATGCCTAGTAACTTAACAAATAGCATTTTCATCGTGTTTTTTGGTACAATTTTCAAGGAAAAACTATTCAAAAACTTTAAAAGCCGCAATTTTGGTAAAAACGGCGATTTTTAATGGAAAACGGATATTTTTAGTCTTATTTTTTGTAAAACTTGGTAAGCTTTTCTACGCTTGGTAATAGTAAAAACAATGCAGAAACAATTCCTCTATTTATATTATGGAACAATTTCCTAAGGAAAAGTTCGTCCACCCGATAATGACAAAGATCCAAAAATTTTTGAACTCGCCGACAAGCCAGAAAAATTTGGAAAAAGGGTTACCGCCACCCGGATTGGCCTTATGCATTTCAAATTTCCACTTTTCGTGCCGGAGCCGGCCAAAAGTTCGGGTTCAAAGGGCGTTTTGAGTCGTTCAACGTGCGCATAGAGAAAACGGGTTCGGAGCAGCGTCTGGTCGCCGATGGACTACGCGGAGCTCCACTTAACAGTTCGGGAGCTCCCTTCAAGCGCTTTTAGTCGCAATTTCGTTCCCTTCCTAGGTCATTTTAACTTCGAAGCATTAGGCGGGTGTTCTGCGGCTCGGGCTAGTGCTCCCCTAGGGATTCGCCAGGGTAAGTAATTTCTTTGCGGGCACCCGGGCCCTTTAAAAGGAGCCTGAGGGTATGTCTCTCTCTCTCTCTCTCTCTCTCTCTCTCTCTCGTAACTAGCAACTCCCCCCCTCGGCGTTTCCGTCCTCTTTTTCACTGGTTTTTGTGTGTGCGCGAGCCGAGGGTCAATATTGTCTGGTCAGCCCCGACGAATTGTCGGGTCAAACCAACGCGCGCCCTCGCGCAAATTGATCACGTTCCCCTGGTTATTGTCGGTGTTTTCCTGCGGAAATTCGGCGTTTTACTGTAGTTATAAGCTGAAAACTAAAGCTTTTTCATTTTAAAGTTTTAGATCCTGCCACGCTCAAAGTGATCAAGTTTCCGCGGCCATTTTTGCGTTTGTTTCGTTGTTTTGTTGCATAAGCCACACGCTTTACTCGATTTTTCTTTTTTTTCAATTGAAAGTTTCTAGACGTTTCCGCGGTTATTTTCGTTGTTTTCTGGTCTAAATTCCGCATTTTACTATCATTTTCAGCCAAGAAACGGATTTTTTTTCAATTTTGAAGCTTCTAGAAGTCTCCGCCGTTATTTTCGCTGTTTCCTAGCCTCAGTTTCGCGTTTTACCGTACCGTTAATCTGAAAAACAATGAATTTCGGACTCTAAAGTTACCACCAAAAAGCGGTTATATTTTTCGTTTTATCGGCGACCTGGGAACACCGGCCCCTAATTGGACGCCACGTCCTTTTTACAGTTTTGTTACGACCTTTGTGAGGTTTTGGGTTTAGAAAAATTGATTTTGTAAGTAGATCCGAACTTTCGAACAAAAATCCGTCATTTCTGGTCAAAAATGAATAGTCTTTTATTTTTACGTCTTCTTTTTAACGTATTTGCGCGTAGTTTTTACGTTTAGAAATAGTAAAGGATCGTTTATATTAAATGGGATCCTAAGAAGAAAAAACGCCCCCTTCCCGATCATGCAAAAACCTCCAACCCTTTCACGGCTATACGAAAAAGTAACGCGACCTCTACGGGGCAGTAGGCAGGAACTATTTTCGAAATTTTAATAGTTTCACTTTGCGAGGAAAGGGCGAGTTGATTAAATTGGATAATGATTGGGGGAGGGTGAGATGGAGGCCACACGCGCTCTCACATCGGAAGTGTGGAGAGAGAGAGAGAGAGAGGGAGAGAGAGGGGGCATTCGAAGAGACGAAGACACAACCCCTGGCATGGCCATTGCCCGAAAAAGGAGATAAGCGGCCTTCTCGACACCCTTCTCCTCCCGACTGCCATCCTCTCCACCAACCAAATGTCCCATTTTGGGCCATTGGATTAGGGCTATTAGAAGGTTAGATTAAGGCTTTGTTTCAGTGCTTTTATACGTTTTTTTTTACCTTTCTGGACATCAATAGGCTATTTTTAAACGTTTATTGGCTTCAAAAGTCTAGTAATATGTTTCAACATATTAAATAAACTTAATAATGGAAAGTTAAATCTTTTTAATTCGTTTTCTTGACCTTCTTCAAAGCAAAAAGCAGCTTTTCGACGTGTATTAGCTTAAAAAGTCTATTATTTTTTGGAAATTGTTTAAAAACGATTTGGCAGCGTTGATTTCTCGCGGAAAAGTTCTCCGAATTAGTTTTATTGATAATTATGAGATCATATTGATATGAAAAACGCGTTTTTTGAAAGCTTCTAACGGAAAAAATCTATTTCTCTATTTCAAACGTTATTTAACGAGCTTAATTAATATTACCAATTGAAATAGATTATTTTATTGACCGTCTTACTGTAAAGTGTTTTACTCAACTTGGAGTTTCGATTCGGGACCAAACGCATCTTGTGCAAAATTTTTCGCTGATTCCGAATATGTTTTCCAAATTTGCTACGGACTTTTATTTAAAAAATCATTTTTGGTAACAATTAGGCCGAAAAATGCCAAAAATTCAGACGCTGGCCCACTATTCCTTGTTTGGGGCTATGGTGCCCAGGGGCCCTGAAGTACCCTCTGACAGCAACCTTCCCAGTTGGCACCATGGTGCTTTGGCAAAGTACTCGCTTGCCAAGCGCAGGGCGGCGGTTCGAACCCCCGCCCTGCATCATCTCTTTTTGCTTTTTGCATAACAATCTAACTTTTTTATCTAAAATGCTTGCTTTGAGCTGTAGGATGCTTGTCGAGCCAACGTCTAGTCAATGTTGACGTTGAAATTAATGAAGAAAATCGAAAACTATAACGATACCTTCATTTTGGTGAAAACTGGGGTCGTAATTGCCGTATAACGTTCAGAATAACGGTCCGTAGCAAATTTGGAAAACATATTCGGAATCAGCGAAAAATTCTGTACAAGATGCACTTGATCCCGAATCGAAACTCCAAGTTGAGTAAAAACACTTTACAGTTAGCGGATATATGAAAAAAAGTCTTTCACCGGTCTCTTTTGGATTTTCCATTGAAAAACGTTTTCTTTCATTATAAACATTTTTTTTACTTCGCCAAAACTTTATTTCCAATTTCCCAAGCTTCTAATACCATTTTTCTTGCAGTTTCCGATTTCAGGCACAAAATTTGATGCGGCGGTGAAGCAAGGCAGGGAAACGCTCCCTTCCCCCCGCCATCTAACACACAAACACCGATTTTCAAGTTTCGATTCGGCAAGCACAACAAAGGTTCGTTTTTGCCCTAAAAATCAGCACCAAAATTGCTGCTAAAAACGATCCGGTTAACGGGATTTTGGCCCAGCTATGGGGTGCTTAAAAACGTGTGGTCCGCAAATCGACTTCCGTCGGCGCCCAATTTAGGAGCAGGGTGTGTGTGGTGGATCGGTTACTGTTTCGTTAGCGGGGGGTGGTATTTTTTAGCAGGGGGAAACTAATTTTTCCGTGTTCCCACGATTTTCATAAAATCTGTCGTTTTTCGATATAAAAACTCCAAAAAAATCATTAAAAATTGAGAGATATTTTGGCTTTTTTGTGATAACAGTATTAGAACTAGCTGACAATATTTTCATGACCTTTTAGGAATCAGAAATGGTTGAAAAGGCAATTAAAATCGTCTGCTTTACGACAATAGAGGCTAGGTTGAACTACCCCCCCCGCTAACGAACCAGAACCAAAAAACCAGGTCTAACAAGGAGACGTTTTTAGGTGGGCACGGAGTTTCGTAACGAGACCTAGCTCATTCGAAAGAGCTTGAAAAACGGAGCAAGTTCCCGTTTTCCATTTCTGCGAAACGATAGCGATTGATTTTTAATAATTAAATTAAAGAATTAGCAGAAATTGGCATGATTCCCCTCGCGCGGAGCGATTTCCTTCCAAAGATCGCCTCTGTCGGAAAGCCAGGCCCCGTCTTCCCTTCCCCATAGCGATTTGGCGCAGTCGGTATGGCGTTTGCCTCTCACGAAATTTTTTTGGACTTTTTGTCAGTTCGACCCCTGAGCCCAGAATTTGTTTTGCTTTTTAATTCCTGAACACTTTCTAAACGTGGAATCTAGTCCAAAATTATTTTTTTTTTGTGGGGGATGCCCCAAACCGGTAGCGTTGCACTCGCGTCTCAGCGATTGAAATCAACTGGCCCGCATGCGCCTACACCGATGCTGTTTAGAACATTTATGTAACGCATTGCGATACTTAAATTAAAATAAATAATAAATTCAGCCTCCTAAAATAAAAAGCAAAACGAATTCTGGGCTCAGAGATCGAACCTACAAAAACGTCCAAAAAAATTTCGTGAGAGGCAAACGCCGTACCGACTGCGCCAAGTCGCTATGGGGAAGGGAAGACGGGGCCTGGCTTTCCGACAGAGGCGATCTTTGGAAGGAAATCGCTCCGCGCGAGGGGAATCATGCCAATTTCTGCTAATTCTTTAATTTAATTATTAAAAATCAATCGCTATCGTTTCGCAGAAATGGAAAACGGGAACTTGCTCCGTTTTTCAAGCTCTTTCGAATGAGCTAGGTCTCGTTACGAAACTCCGTGCCCACCTAAAAACGTCTCCTTGTAAGCCGTTTTTTAGGTGAGAGGCTAGTCACCAAACGAACGGTTGCATTTATTAAATCGTTTAAATTTAAGAAGGAGCTTTGTTTTAAAAAAGAGTTTTCAAGAAAGACGTCGAAAAAATTAGATAAAAAAATGTTCAGCTGAGGGATGGAAAGGGCGAAGCGCCGATTCGCCTCGGCGCTCGATGGGCTGCGGTCGATCGGAAAAGTGGAGGTGAATGTGGAGGAGAGGATACAGCCCGAACATTGCGCATTCTTCAAGGTACTATTTTCAGGGCAAAACTTGTACAAAGTACCTTATCGTTCAAAAGGTATTATTGCCGAAAATATTGTTTTTTCGTATATCAGAAAACACACTGCGGCTTCAATTGTAAACAAGAAAAAATAAATAAATCTGCTTTTTCCAGCTCATCTAGCTTTCTAACTTTCTATTTGAGCTTCTAAAACTTGGAGTATATCTTTAGATAAATATATAATTTAAGGAAACTAGATTTATTTTTTAAAAACTAATTCTCGAATGTTATTCCAGATTGTGCGACACGGGTTCCCGGATGATGCTCGTTGTATCACCTACGATCCAGTCCAAAGACTCCTCGCCATCGGAACTGGCCATGGCACCGTTCGGATTGTTGGTGGGTGTTTTTCGAAGAAAGTAGGGCATCTAGCAGAGATCTTTAGATATAAAAAGTCTTACAAGGAATCAATTAAATCTTCGAAACTGCATGAAAATAGCTAGAAAATTTCAAATGCTTTATGACCTAACTTTACAGACTTTTTAGTAATCAAAACTTCGAAAAACGAAAAATCGTCGATGTTTTTACGTTGTAGAATAATGGCAGCTATGCCCCCGGTTAACAGTCAAGCACCTTTTTATGACGAAAATAGGCAAGCTAGCCGGGATTCTTTGATACAAAACCTTTCATATTTCAGGCGATGTGGGCGTTGACTATCTGCTTCGACACGAGACCGAACACGCCGTCCTCCACGCCCAATTTCTTATAAATGAAGGCGGTCTGATCACGGCCTGCTCAAACGACCTGATCCACCTTTGGAATTTCCGCCAAAAACAGGCGGTCATCGTGCATTCGTTGCAATTGAGCAAGGAGTCCGTCTCGTGCATACATTTGCCGCTGCAGAGCAAGTGGCTTTTCGTCGGCACAGATAAGGTTTGCATTTTTAATAGGTTCTATCTATCGTTTATTATAGGGGAATGTATATTCCGTCTCGGTGGGCACTTTTCAAATGAGCAGCTACGTCATCAACTGGAACAAGGCGATTGATTTGTGAGTTTTACGGAGTTTTTTGGCATCTTAGAAGCTCTTTAACTTTTCAAACTTTACTTGGATATGACTAATGAAGAGTCATTGAGCATTTTTAGCTTTTCTAAGTTGTTTTATAATTTGTTTAGCACACTTAATGTCGTAAAATACATAGAAATCTTAGAAAAATGCGTGAAAATTTGAAAGTTTGTTCGAGTCTCGGCCATTTGCCTAACAAAACCGCCCTTTTTGTATTTCCTAGACATTTGTACGTTTAAGAATAGTAAAAAAGGGTGCAAAACAATAAACTGTTTATATTAGCAAAATTGGAGGCTTACGAAAGAATTTATATAAGAGTTATTTACTATTTTTCACATTTATTATTTTTTTATTTGGCATATTTCTTTATTAGCGAAGTTACCTAATGATTTTGAGATTTTTTATCTAAAAACGATTCTGAAAACGTTATTTCTAGAAGCTGTCGAGTCCACCCTGGCCCCGTCAAACAATTGGCAGCATGCCCCACCGACCAGTCGAAGCTGTTGATCGTTTTTGAGAAGGGCGTGGCCGTCATTTGGAATCTAACGTCCAGAGAACCAGAAAGATTACCGTTGGACCCACCGATAAAATGCGCCAGGTCGATTTTGATAACTAAAACTTTATAAACCTGATTTTTTTAGTTGGCACTACGACGGGCGTCAAATAATGTGCGGAAACGTCGACGGTTCGGTGTCGATATTTAATATTCGGAAGGTTGGAGAGCCGGTGCAGAGGTGTGTTGCGTATTTTTCGCTTTACATAAGTGGCTCAGGTCCACCCCACACGGTCAGGGGCCATGTCGACCCATTCACCAACTTGATTGGAGACATTGGAATGAGAATAACGAGCAGCTGGTTGTTTTTAGCGGAGGTAGGAAAATCAGAGCTTTCAAAGTTAATGAGTAACTAGGTATGCCCAGCGACGACGGTCCGCCCATGCCGGCGTTGACCTTGTTGAAGGCGGCCCGATCGGCGACGGTGCTCGAGATGGACAACCCGATTCTCAGCTTTATTACGCTGTCCTCGGTTCGTACTACTACGTACTTTCAAGGTGCTCGGCAATGTGGTCGGCCCACCTCAAGGTTTTGGGCTTTTTAGTTGTCTTAATTGTCCAAATTGGCCTAAGAATCATCGAGATAGATAAATTGGCTGAAGACGACATGTAATCCGCAGCGCCAAAAAGTCTGTTTTCCTCCAAAAACGTTTTTTTCACGACGAGACAAAATTTTTGATATTTTTGGGCCTTGCCACTTAATTGTTTGACCCATACTTTTGATTCCTAGGCATGTTGGGCTTTTTTGGCATGTAAGCTCCTTGAAAAATTTATTTCTAGGTGCCATGGCCGACGGCTCCTCAACAACCTCATGCCGTTGTCGTTTTGTTAAAGGGCGACATTATGTATATCGATTTGCAGAAGGAGAAGTACGGTTTTAGATTTCTACAGGTATATATTCTCTCTTTTTTTCAGCTACCCTTGCCTCGAGTCCCCACATGCAATGGATCTACACGAGAGTCCAGTGACCGCCCTCAGCTATCACTCCGAATGCCCTTCCGATTTGATGGGAGCCCTCGCTCTCGTTGGATGCAAACAGCGGAAAAAGGGATTTTCGGATCGGGTATGCGTTTGTTGGCACACGCAACGCGTCCGTTACGCGTTTTCCTTACTAAGCTGATATTTTCTATAATTTCGAGCTTCTAAATTTTACTTTAGCAATGGCCAATCAACGGCGGAGTGGGTAGAGAAGCGGCCAGCGGATACCAGGAGCTCCTTATTACAGGGTAAGTAATCTCTCCAAAATTAATAAATTTATAAGCATTTATGACGAGCCATTCGATCGATGATCCCTAAATTTTAGGCATAAAGACGGAACTGTGCGCTTCTGGCAGGGCTCCGGTGAACATCTCCAGATTCTATATCGACTGAAGGTACGCTGGAGATTTTATTTTAGCTATTTAAACTATTTTTAGACGGCTTCCCACTTTGAACGTCTTGAACAGGGCGACACGCTGAAGGACGTCTCCTATGCCGTCAATTCGTTGCATCTATGCCCCGAGGTAAGCAGTTGAATCAATCAGAAAAACCTTGATTATCCAGTATTCAAAAACATTTCCAATATAAAAATAAGCGGAGAATTTTAGTCTCGACTACTGCTGGTGACCGGCCAGGCCGGCCAGTCGACGCTCTTCCGGTTTAACAAGACGGAGAGCACGAATACGATCGGTCGGTGCTTCAAAATTTTTGGTTCTTTTCGGACGCGTTGCGGTTGCGGTCAGCCAAATTATGCTCATTTTTTCAGCGGTCGTCAACCTCCCTGCCGTCTGTTCCCATATCCCAAATGGGTATGCAAATGCGGACGATCGGCCGTCAACTTCGACCTGTCGCGAAATGAGACGGCAGAAGAAGGTAGGTCAGCTCGATGTTGAAACCACCACAGTCAGAATTTTAAAAATTTAGTTTCACAAAAAATCGCAAAAACTGGCTGGTGGTGTGCGTTTAACTCGTTTTTAAAATGTTGAAAAGTCGCACTGGGACGTATACACCTATGAACGTCTGCAGCGCTCTCTTTGCCTCAGTCTCTCTCTCTCTCTCTCTCTCTCTCTCTCTCTCTCTCTCTCCCTCTCCCTCTCTGTCTCACTTTCTCTGTATCTTTCGCTCTATCTCTCTTTCTCTCTCTCAGTGTCTCTCTCTCGCCCTCTCTCTAAGCGTGTCGCAGCAGAATCCAAGACGCGACACGCAACGCACGCCCCAGATTTTCATTGCGATTTTACGACCTCTTAAAGGAGGTCCGGCTAGTTTCTCTCTCTCTCTCGCTCCTTCTCTCTGTGTCAATAGGTGTATACGTAGCAATATCTTACCGATACCCGACAGTGCGCTTTTTAAACGCCTTAAAAAGCAACTCTCTGGTGCCCTATCTGGTGCCCTCGCTATTCTACCGTACCCCTCCTTTGTTTCCCCAAACAGCTTCCAACCATCGACCGTCCGCCCCTCCGTAGGGCGTCAATTCTCGTCCGACAGCGCAAGGTTGTCCCCCGGAATCCCGTTTTCCTCGCAAAGCCCCCAGTTTTCGGTTTTTCTTGGCATCCTCCCTCTTTTTTTTGGCTTGGGAAATGGCTGGCCCCCCGGTTTGACGCTTTTTGGATTTTTGGGCTTATTTTTATTCCGGTAAAATTTCGTTGTTTTTTAGTTCGATTCGCGTGACACTGACGCGTCGACGGATACGGATGAGGATGAGGATGGGGGAGGACGACTCTATCCATTCAAAGTACGCGGCGCTCCCGTGAAACGATCGCCCGGATTTCAGGTGGGTAAATTCACCATTTTCTGCGCTTTCAAATGCTATAAAAATTGTGTAAATCCGACGGTTCTACGTCAAATTAAAGGCCTTTTTGCGCCGGAAGTGGGGAAAACCTATAGAAAATCTTATTTTTTTTCAGCCGGAACTGGCGTGTATGTTGCCGTGGCCATGCCCCACGAAGCCTCCACCCATCCAAGCGGCGGCTCTCAACTCTGCATACGGTGTCATAGCCATTGCCAGTCAGGGCGGCCTGGCGCTTGTTGATATTGCTCAGGTTTGTAGCAAAAAAAATGAGAAAAAATCGCATTCTAAAAATCGCAATCGCAATCTATCGCATCGCCGCCGCAACGCGTCCAACAAGTGCGGTGTGAATGGCTGTGATTCTGAAAGTTGGCCATGGTATGCATTTTGCCATGAACGCGACGCGTCCGCAATGCACGGCGCAGAACCCACAAAATTCGTGGGCTCGGGATTGGGCGTTTGTAGCTAGGAATTCGCCGCTACTACGCACGTGACGCAGCCCTGGCGTAAGCGTTCAAAGGAAATCGCGCTGCAGCCGCGTCGCGCAACGCAGCTAGCAGTCGCGAGCACGTTGCGTCTACCGCTCGACGCGACACACGCGCAACGCGTGGGGCCGCTTCTGGACCGAACTTCTCAGCGAAACATTCTGAAATTTCACCGCTTCGCGCTCGTGCGCCACGCAGTCGCACGTTCTTTCTGGAAATCAGGGGACGCGTGGCGGCTGCGTTGCGCTCGAAGCTAAACGCGACGCATCCTCAACGCACGGGAAGATTCAATTATTGAAAAATCCACTAAAAAGGTTTGCCAAAATCAGGGGTTAGGCTCCGGAAGTTCCCAGAATTTATCGACATTTCCGCTATTTTGTCGGGATTTTAGTCTAGCCAAATCAGGCGCGTCGCGGTTAAATATGACCGCAACGCAGCCGCAACCCTCGCAGGCGTCGCTCAACTAAATCCATCCTTTCAGTGCGCCCTCATCTACGCCTGGGCCACCGCCGAACTCTACGGGGCCGAACCCACGCCATGCGTCCAATTGACATCGCAGCAAACCACCGATAGCTCCACATTTTCTGCCGAGGTATCAGAGGGAGAGTGTGTGTGATTTTGAGAGACAAATAGACCGTTAGAGATGGGAATTTGGTTTTTATAACCCTGATTATCCCCGTCCTCATAACAGATGGCCATCGTCAAAGCGGCCGAACATCTTCGCCAAGTGAGTAGACAAAAATGACCCCAAGAGAAGTTCTCGAGGTCGCGCTTTTTGTTTAGTGGCCCCGGAAATGTGGAAATGGGGGATTTTGGGGGTGGATGAACGGATGGGTGATGGTTTCAGTTAGCTTGCCCTGGCCAGACTCGGCGCAGTCGCGCTACGTGTGTTAGAAGGGACAGAGGGAGATAAGGAGAAGTAGAGAGATCGAGAGAGAGAGAGGAAGAGAGAGACGACAGAGACAGAGAGAAAGGAAGAGAGAGAGAGAGAGAGAGAGAGAGAGAGAGAGAGAGATGAAGCAAGGGCGAGAGTTTCCTCCTTACCAGTATGGTTTTAAAGGCACTGACAAGGCAGGGCTATGGATGATTGCCTATAAAATTTTGCGGCGCTCGCAAACCGCTTGGCCTCCTTTAAGACGTCGCAAAAGTACTGCAGCACAGGGTGTTTCGCATATACTGATTTAGCCGCGTGACAGACATTCCGTTGCGTAATCGATTACGACAGCTCTAAGCAGGTCAAGCGGGCTCGAGCGTGTCGTGGTCCCGGCAAATTCCATACCTATACCTTACCAGTCCCTTTAAAATGAATTCAGCGGCCTCAAATCCCCAAAGTTTCTCCGCTTGCATGCCCTCCGGTCATCCACCCTCAAAATCCCTCCTCATTCCGCCCTAACAATCGCCCTTCGTTTTACCTACCGTAGCCATCGAGGGCGCCCTTTAGGCCCCTTTACCATCACTATTTCTGTAAAAATTTCTGTGTTCAGTGTAGAATCTAACATTTGATTCTGTAGATTGTCGTCGGCCTGTGCGAATTGTTGGCAAAAGTACCGTAACCACCCCCGGAGGATGGGGCGTGTTTTAAAGGGACTGACAAGGGCGGGTTATGGATTTTTTATATGCTGGACATGCAACGTGTGCGCTTGTCTTTTCATTGTGTAATGCGGTACTGCCGCTTCGCGGGGAAAAATTCACATAAAATTGCGAAAATACAATTTTTTTTGTCAAGCCGCGTCGCGCGACGCATGGCGCGCGCAAGAATTTCCGTTATGTAATGGATACCGACATTTTCAAGGCGTGCAAAATTTTCTGCGACGCGGTGCGGCTCGCGGCGCCTAAAACCCACGGTCGGGGGTCGAACCCGGGCTTTGTGCGCGGCAAGCGAACGCAAAACCAATGAGCCAACAGGCCGTCGGGATCGGAACAGGGAGCCCTTTCCACGCTTTAGGAAACAGGCCTGCTATAGTGTGAACTGATTTCATAAAATTGGGAGGGGAATGTTTCTTTAAAGCGATTAAAAGGTCATAATCAATTACGCAATGGAATTCGATAGAAAAATCCATCCCCCTGCCTTGCCAATCCCTTTAAAATGGGCGGGGCTTAATTTGGTGTAAAATAATTAAAATGTGTGTGTTAAAAAATAATTTTGTGTGTGTTTTTGCAAAATCCAGTTTTTTTTTGTTTACGGCTGGTGCTGTGTATTTGCATGGGCATGAGAAGCGGCCTATATTTTTGTGTGTTCTTTTTGGAATGCAGCGCTTTTCAATTTTTGTTTAATTATTTGTTTTTTTTCTGTATTTTTACGTCCCTTTTTGGGTTGAGCGTTTTGTGCGTAAATATGAAAATGGTGTGCATGGGAAATTGTGAGGGATTTGGGGAAATTTTGGGGTAAAATTTATTGTTGATGAATTTGGGCTGGTTTTTCATGGCAATGGCAGCGACAAAAAGATTCATTAAGTTTCATTAAAATCATAATTTAACAGCTGTTAGCGGGGTGAACAATTTTAAATTCAATTCATTTTTCAATTTTATATGAAAAGTTCTCGCAAAAAATGGAACTTTCAAACATCAAAATTTTCTTTTCTTCAGATATTTTCTATAATTTTTCAGGAATCAAAACTACTGAAAAATACAATAAAATACGTTTTTTTTAGTAACAGTAGGAATTCTAGTCGAAAAATATAAATGAGCCCCCCCCCGCTAGCAGTGCAGTGCCTTTAACCTTATGCTAAAAAATTCTAAAAACCACGCCAGAAAGTTTTGCCTTACTAGGTCCTTTGAAACAGGTTCTATTAATGCGTCTAGAAGCTCAAAAATTTTAAAATATTAAGATAAATAAAAAAAAATAGATTTAATGATTTTGCCGCACCATCGTTCCAGAAAACCAGACCCAAAAATCTGCCCTGGGTGCGTAAAATGTGGTTGACGTGTTCGTACAACTTTCAGAATTCGCTCAGCTCCCCACCGCCAATCTCTCCGGGACCCGATCGGCCCTCAATCGACCAAGGAATCCCCTCATCCACCTCCTCAAATCAACCGCAACGCCCCCCGCAACGCGCCAAGACGTTCACCTCAAAAACGCGAGGGGCCGTGGCGGCCATATTTCGGCGGAACACATCGGAAATGTCGGAAAGGAGAGGGCAGGATGAGGGAGGGGAAGCCGAAGAGGAAGCGGTTGAAGCTCCGGCCATCCGACACTCACAATCTGTCCGTTCATCGCAGGGGATTATCAGGAGATTGACGCAAAAGAAGAAACATCCACCTGCACCTCCTGCTCGATCCCATTCATTTCATGAACCATCTCAGGATGGACATCCTGCCCATAATGGACATTGTACAGGTTTGCAAATGGGAAAAAGACGGAAAAGAAAGGATAGGGCTCTGGGAAAAAAATTAAACTTTAAAAAATTAAAAACACTTTTAATTACAGCAAAAAAAACACAATTGAAAATTCAGCCGCTTGAGGGGTTATTTTTAAGTCTAGAAATGCTAGTTTTTAGTAAGATTTGTAAAGGTTCTTTGACATTATCGGGGGACCAATTTTCGTTTGCATAAACTCAGAAACGCTTATATAAAAATGAGGAATTGACGCAGGGAAAACCAAAAAAAGTCAAAATTTTTGGTCACCAATTTTTCAGGGGTTCTTTGGCATTATCGGGGGGGGGGGGGTTGTGAGCCCAGAAATGCTTTGTAACGTCATATAAAATATTTTAATAGTGCTTTTTGTACAATTTAATTATATTTAAAGTTGTAAAACTATCCAGAAACTTTAGGAAATTGCAAAAATTCAGGGTTTTGTTCGCCTTTTTATGTTTTAACATAAAATTGTAAAGTTTTTGCTTTTAGGAATAGCAAAAAACGACCTGGACACTGCTATGATATTATAGAAATTGCATCGTAAGGAAAAGTTTCTTCGCCCCCCCCCCCCCCCGATAATGGAAAAGCACCAATTTATCTAACTTTCTCATTTTTGTAACCTTGTTCAGTTATATCGGTTTTAAAGTTTAAACATACATATTTACGAAATTTTAGAGTTATTACCGTTGAAAATTAAACTTTTCAGAGTCAGGGCCCTATCTAATCTTTTCTCAATTTTTAAGATCGACTACCATTTTTTCGGCTTCCATTATTTTCTCGCACTCGAAAAACGTGGTCGGGTTGTGAAAATCCCCCGGTGGAACACTGTGGCATGGTGGCTGTGGCTGGGCGGGGCGTCGCGTCGCGTGTCGGACCGTCGGCGTTGCGTGTCGCGTCGCGTGCGCCCCGCCCTCCTTTTTTGATTGGTCATGGCTTCTTCTCCGGCTTTCCCCCCATACCCCATTTTTGCACACATTGTATCGTTGATGACTGTGTTTTGCCGGAAAATCTGAATTAAATATATTTAAATATCTGTAGTGCCGGTACTGTGTCATTAACAGGGGAATTTTTTTTAAATCCTCGATTATCAATTATGGCGTGGTTTTAAAATTGTTAAAAATCTTTATTAATTTTTAAATTTAATCCAAAAGAAATAAAAGTCACTTTTCTTAGTTTTTAAGTTGACTATTAAGAATATTTGTCAATCTCATGCTAAAAACCAGCTTTTAATGATTAAATTTAATGATTGTAGACGCCGTTTTTCTTTTTCGATTTTCAACGTTTTTTTCGAAGAAATTTAATTAAATTTGAGCCGATCATCATTTTTCAAACTTTTTTCGCGAGCAAAGCAATTATTTCATCAAATTAAATTCCTCCATAAATCAACGGCTTTTTACCCCCCTTATAATGCACAAGCACCGACAATTCTTAAATGTTTTTCTAGGCAAAAATCATGTTTTTTTTTCGGCGAAATATCAGGTCAATTTGAGGTCCTCCCCATTGTCGTTTGGCCCCGTTTATTCCCCGGGCCGCCACTTGTGTTTTTGGCTCTTGTCATGTTCTCCTCACATTTTATTAGATGCTCCTCATCCCCTGTATTGTCGGCCGAATGGCATCGTATCGTCCACAGTATTGTCCTGTAGTCCGGAAGGGGTCGGAGTTGAAAAATTACCATTTTCTAAAGGGACGGACAAGGTTTTACGGGGTACGACAAAATCCCTAGCCCAACATTGGCCACCCCTTTAAACCCCCGAAAACCCCGAGACTCCAACCCCCCGCCGACGCGTCAGTACCCCATTTTGTCGAACCCGCCAGTTTTTAGCGTTGAATGGTAGCGTCAATAGTACTCGCCCGGAACGGCTTCTTCTGATTGCTTACTGTATTCTCGTCCATTGGCCGTGTTTTATTGTGAATCAACACACTGGTTGTTGGGGGGTCTGTCCGATGGGGGAATTCGTACTTTGAGTCGATAATCCACTCGCGTAATCCGTCCCGATTTATTCCGATTTGAGATCGTGTGTATGTGTTAACATGTCCGGATGCAAAAATGTCTCGAGTTTTTTAGGGGGTGGAGAAGTGTGCGAATCTAGGAATACCTGGCGTGATCGATTAGGCGGGAGAAAGCTGGCTGAGAGAGAGAGCAAGAGAAAGGGGGAGCAAGAGAAAGAGAGAGCAAGAGAAAGTGGGAAATGGAGAGAGGAGAGCGAGTGAGAGTGAGAGAGAGAGTGAGAGAGCGAGCTAGAGAGGGAGAAAGCGAAAGGGAGGGTGAGAGAATGGAGAGAGAGAGAGAGAGAGAGAGAGAGTGAGTGAGTGAGTGAGAGATAGTGAGTGAGTGAGAGGGCAAGAGAGAGGAGAGCGAGTAAGAGAGTGAGAGAGAGTGAGAGAGAGCCAGAGAGAGCGTGAGAGCGAGAGAGGGGGAGAGAGCAGGAGAAAGAGACAGAGCATGAGAAGGAGAAAGAGCAAGAGAAAGGGAGCAGAATAGAGAGTGAGCAGGAGAAAGAGACAGATAAAGAGAAAGAGAGATCTTCCTATTTGATTACGCCAAGTATTTCAAGCCAAGAAACCTTATTCGCCCTCCTTTACCCCCCTTTGTCCCTCAAATCGCTCTCTATACAACACCCTCCCCTCTCCCCATACCGTACCCCTCTCATTTCAGTGCGGCTCGGCTTCGGATGTTCGTTCTGTGGGCCAACAGCCGGCCCCGGTCTCTCGTAGCCGCACACAGGATACTGTAGCCGGAGGAGGAGGAGGCTCATCCTCCACCTCGACCTCCTCGAAACGTCCCCTCCTCGCGAAGGCTCAATCGTTGATGGAGAATGGTCTGAGCCCAACTGGTGGTGGACAACGGCATACTGTCACTCGCTGTACGCAACACTCCCCTGAACACCCATCCCAACCTCATGCTCCCCAAGCACCAGCTATACACTCCTCAAAGATTTTGTAGCCTCAGGGAATTAAGGACATATTTTACTTATTTGGAAAAATAATTAAAAATTTGTAAAAATAGTTAAAAATAAAAACAACTATTATTCATTAATATCGGTTTAAAATATGTAAAATTTGAGATCAAGAATATCAATTAGTTTTAATTTAATATTTAAAATTGATGTGAAAATTTGTCGAAATCTTGAAAATTGAAGATCAGTAAAAATATTACAGATTTAATTCAAAAATTTGTAAAATATTTAAAGTTTAATATCAATAAAAACCTTTAAGATCGAATATCATTACCATTAAAAATTTGTAAAAATATCTCAAATCGATAGTTGCTTATTTAAAATTTATTATGTATTTATTTTTAAATGAGATCAATTATTAGCAATTTAAGATAGGATTTTCGAAAATTCAGGTGTTTCTAATGGATTTAATAATTTTTAATAACAAAATGAATTTTCAACATTTAAAATTTTTTTAATATTATTTTTAGTCTTAAAAATCTATAGAAATGGCTTAATTTGTTTTTTCTATTTAATTTCATAAATTTACCGAAAAAGCTGTCCCTGAGGCTACAAAAAATTTCAGATGACGCCCAGCGATCAGATTTTCACGTGAAAATGCTGCTCCCAGTGACCCCTACCGTACCCCGAAAGAATCAAGGCTCGCTTATTGTGGCTTCCTTGTTATATAGTTTGTAGTTTATAGTTTTGAAGGGGTGGTGGAGGGACTACAAACTACAGACTACACACTCCAAATTGCAAGCTACCAAGTACTAATAACGCACTAAAAACTACAAAATCCAGAGGAATTTTGGCCTTTTCCCATTACAGAGTCAGACTACAGACTACACCTATAGACGCCTAAAGGGACCTGGAAGGCATGGATTTTGCCTTGACTAGTCCTTAAACACCCTCTACCCCCCATCCCTGGCTTAGGCTTAGGCTTAGCTTAGGCTTGGGCTTAGGCTTAAGCTTAGGCTTGGCTTAGGCTTGGGCTTGGGCTAGGCTTAGGCTTAGCCTTCGCTTAGGCTTAGGCTTAGGCTTAGGCCTATCTCGTCTCCATGTCGTCTTCTAGTTCCTCCCTAGTTCCCCCTCCCCGCCCTGAATTGCCCTCCCCCTGCCCTCCCCGAATCAGTCGCCGTGCCACGGCCCCCTTGTCGAGCTTGATGTGCATCTCCTATCCGATGCCCCATCTACCGTAACCCCCCTCTTTTAGGCGAATCGACCCGCGATTCCCCGCGTGGTCCCCCTTCTGCTGCCCCAATCCCATCTCCCACCTCTTCACAGCACTCCTTCGATCGATCGTCGAACACCAACATTGCCGCGGTGGGTGTGGTGGTGCAGTCGGTTAGAGGGCGGAGTATGGAGCGGAGGGTCAGGGTTCGAACCCCGGCCGGGGAGACTTTTTGTTTTTTAGGGTTTTAAGCATAAATTTATGTTTGTTTTTTTTAGGATTACGATGGTGAATTCGTGTCGTCCCTCTCCTTCATACACTCGTCTACCCGGAAAAATGGTAAGAAAATTTTCACGGTTTCCTAGCTCTTTAAAAATCATGCTTAAGCTTAAAAGGCCAAGACAAGTACATTTTATCAGGATATGCAAATTACGATAAAAATAGAAGAATTAAACAACATACCATTGATAGAAAATTCTACTCTGAAAAGGATGTATTTACTTATATAAATAAAGCTCTAAAAATATACTAAAAATATCTAAATTAAAGTAACAATCTATAAGAGTCAAAAAATGTAAAAAGCTAATAACTGCAATATATCTTCTAAAGCAATAATTTGAATCTAAAGAAGATGTGTTTAAATCTATTTTAAACTATTTTACTAATTTTTAAAAATTTTTAACAATAAAATAATCAAAAATAAATAAAATAAGCAAAAATTAAGTTTAATATCCTACTATATATAAAAAAATAGTGTTTGTGTGTTTGTGTGTGTGTGTGCCACTTTGCATCCACTTCCGTCTGTCTGTCCGGAGGATATCTCGATAGAGGATGGATTTTAGAGTACGTATGATACGTCATTAGGTGCGCAATGGTCTTGGGATGACTGCACAACTATCAGATTTTACAAAATTATCGATTTTCGACATTAAATTTAAGTTTTTGTGAAAACTTCTTTGTTAGGAATAATTAGCATAGACCGGAAGTGAGGAGTCGACTATATAAAGCGGCAGATGAAGTGGTTTTTCATTTTTTGCCATCTGAATTCAGGACAAGTATGCAAAGCGAGGGATAAAATGGGGTCAGAAGGGGCCAGGGTTGAAAAGTCGCGAAGCGGCTTTTCAACCCTGGCTGATGTATAAAAAAATATGCAACTATTTTAATTTTAGACGGAAAATCGGGCGCCTCGCTGTGGGTGGGTACATCAAATGGAGCATGTCTGGGTCTCTCGCTCCTCCTCCCCGGTGATCGTCTCTCATCTACCGTTGTCGTCGCCCCATCAGGTACACTTTTTTGAATACCAAAAATGGCTGGTTTCCCCCATCGCTTCAACCTCATTTTCGTGATCCCCCAAAAATTTCCTTCTTATTCTTGATTTTTGCTCTAGACGACGCGGAAGGTGAGTCTATATTAGGTTGCTGTTTTTCGCCAAACTGGGGGCCCGGTATGGGGTTACGGTAGGTGGGGCGCGTTTTAGGGGGAAATCGGGCAGGGCAGGCTAGCAGAGATTATTTGGGAAAACGTGCCGGTGGCAGGAAAATCAGAGAGAAAGAAAGAGAGAGAGAAGGGGCGAGAGAGCGAGCGAGAGAGAGAGGGAGAGAGGGAGAGAGGGGGAGAGAGTGCCACACAAATTCCTAAAAAATTTTTAATTTTCCTGGGATTTTTTGGTACTGTCCTCTTAACACGGGGTATGTTCATGCTCCATTCAGCATCATGGCCGCCTCGCAGCAATTTTTGAAGAATTCGCTGGGTTTTAAACTTTTCTCTAAAGGGACGATCAAGGCATAATGTTAATTTTTGAGCGATGGATTGGCCAAGAAACTCGGGGTCGCTAGCTGAGACCATTTGCGAAAAAAATTTGTACTGTTCTCGTAACGGGGGGAGGCTCTTGACGTCGAATTCCAGACATAATCCCGATAATGATAATCCCGACTGCCAGAATGTTGACATGGAAAAATCCCGACAAATCGGGTTTTTGGAGTTTTTATTTGACGCCTTATTCCATAGCCCGGGCAGGCTAGCAAACCATTCAGGAATTAGATTTTGTATGTTTTAAATGCCGGGCCCCCAGTTGCATGGTGTTAGCCGTCTCTTTCTATATATGTATTTATATTTGCTATCATAATGCCAAAAATTATCTTGTCAAAATGTCATAATGTCGAAATTCAGAATGTCGATTTTTTGCATAGGATTCGGGAAATTCGTTTTTATAAATTTCGGTAGTCTTATTTCGACACTAAGCCAAGCCTTAGCCAAACCTAAGCCAAGCCTAAGCCAAGCCTAAGCCTGAAGCCAAGCCTAAGCAAAGCCTAAGCAAAAAAAAATTTCGGCATTATGATTTTCGGCATTTTGAAAGTAACCCAAATATGCTATGTATATACTCCGTTAAACGCTATAACTCTCACAGAAAAACCCCAAATATAACCGGCCACCACCCATTTTTTTGCAGCCCGGATCCAGGCCGGCGGTGCAGGTGAGCCAAAAAACAAGACAAATTGTAGAGCCCCCTGCTCCCCGCACTTTGTGCCAGTTGTGTTTTTTGATTTATTTTTTTGTTCAAACTACTGACATTTCCCTCGTTTTCTTTGGACTCTCGTTTTCTTCGCTCACACGCACACCGTGGTTTTTTGGAAGGGTACTTGTGCATTATCGGGGGAGGGGAGGGGGGTGGACTTTTATTCGTTTTTCGCCTTGACCATAACCTCAAACTTTGATTTAAACTTGAAAAATTTAAATAAAACTTTAAAAAGCAAAATTTAATTTTTTCTTAAATGTCAAAAACTATAAAAACCTATTTTAATCTCAATTTTTTTTAAATTTAAAGAGCTTTACAAAAAAAGCTAAATTTTCACTTCAATTCTAACAAAATTTAATAAGTTTGATCGAGTTTTTAGCAATAAGAACATTTTTAAAATATTGAATTTTTGTCGAAAAATCTGTTTTTAGGTTAGTAAAGTTTTTCGTTTCAAATAAAAAGAACAACTACAAATTACGAAGCTGCAAAACGTTTAAATTTTTAAAATTTACCCAAAAATTGCTCATTTTAAGCTGAAAATCAACATTTTCGAATTTTTCAAAAATTAATTTTTACAGACTTTATCTTTAAAAATGAAAAATACCATATCCCCCCGATAATGCACAAGCACCCAGTTTTCTTAATTTATTGGAATTTTATTGACGAGCCCTACGTTCTAACTCGCGTGTGCCTTGTCCGTGGCTTCAGAGACTTACGTTTTGTTCACCTCGAAATTGTGGAGAAGTGATTTTTGGTTTTTCGGGGGTATATTTTAGTTTTACAACCATTTAACTTTTCTAACAAATTAAGGGGCCGATTTTTCACGGCGATTTGGTGTTTTCTATTTTGCGACATGGGCGAATCGATTACGCGATGGGATCTGGATTTTTCCGGCGCGTAAAATAGACCAAAAAAATCCTACTATATATAAAAAAACCAGATGGTTACAGTCGCTTCGCGACTGCAACCATCTGGCCTTCGGGCTACCCTACATGTCCTACTCCACGACATCCTTCCCTACCTCCTTCAACCCCCCCCATAGCTGAAATCCCCGTCAAAAACTACCTAAATACCTTCCCGATGGCTTGAGATACCCCCCATGGCTGAAATCCCCTTCAAAAACTACCTAAATACCTTCCGATGGCTTCAGATACCCCCCATGGCTGAAATCCCCTTCAAAAACTACTTAGATACCTCCCTGATGGCTTCAGAAACCTACCCTAGGCGAAATCCCCTTAAAAAACAAAAATAACGACCGACCGGATGGAATGAGAGAAAAAAAGAAATGAAATCCCCCGTGAAAATTTTCATCCACGAAACGCGCGCCACCTGGCCCACTATGTCCAAAATCACCCCAACCTCCGTCCCCCGCCCCTTTTACTAAGGAAAAACTTTCAAAGTTAATTTTAATAATTTAAACTAAAAGTTTTTCATAATTTTTTTATCAGTTTGGGGGTTTCTGACCACGCTCTATCCGAATCCGAAGAGAGCTAAGCTCTAGCTCTTTTCCCCTTCGAGTTGAATTCGGCTTCACACAGACGGACGGACAGACGCGTCAAGAAAATTATTATAGTTGATAGTTCATGTGTGTGTGTGGACACTTTGCATAAATGGCTCGAAAAAACCGTGTTACCAAGATATCGGGAAGGGGGATCAATTTTAGGAGCCAGTCGAAAGGTATTTAGGGAGAGTCGAGGGCGTAGATTACTGCAAGCTTATCAGATTTCTAATAAAATGACGATTTATACGTTATTTTAGCGATTTAAAAACATATGGAAATATCTTCATTTGCATACGAGGTGCCAGGAGGCTCATTCCGAATTTTGTCGCGCTAGCGGCCGGTTGCTTTTGCCGTTTTTGGGTTCGCTCACACTCTTCGCTCGAATTATGTAAAGTGCCCAACTCTGAGAGTTCCGTGCGCGAAGGCCAGGGGTGAAAAGCCGCGTAGCGGCTTTTCAACCCTGGTTGCAGTTAATATTTTTAATTTCAACGATTTTTAAAATCTAGGCGATCGAGTTTTTTTAAAATTTCGTTGTTTTCTATTTTGCGCTCCGGGTTAAACGGTTACGCCACGGAATCCAGCTTTTCTGGACGCAAAAAAAATAGAAAATCATTTATCATTTTAATTTTAACGTTTGCTAAAAAGTTTTTTTAGAAGTCATTGTTTTCTATTTTGCGGTCCAGGCTATACGATTACCCCATACAATCCGGGGCGGAGAATAGAAAACACGGAGCTTTTTTTCTAAATTGTCAAAAAAATTTAGTAAAAACAACTTTACCGAGTTTTTCAAGGCTCTTCCTATGTTTTAAATTTTGTGCTGTCGGCGAATCAATTACGCGACGTAATCTGGGGCGTAAAATAATGATCATGTCTAGACGTCTATAATTTTTAATCTTTTAATTTTTAGAAATGTTTACAAAACTTTCTGGGTTTAAAACCGTTTAAAACCGTTTTAAACTCCCGAAAAATCCGCTAAAATTTGTGAAGAGGCTAACGATGTGCGGTGTGTGTTTTTGCAGTGACCCAGATCAAGTTCTGGTCGTATCGGCTGGAGCTGGAGCGGCGGCGACGGCGAAGTTCGCGCCTTCTGCTTTTCGCTACAATAGCTACTACATACACTACCCCCGTTAACTGTAGCGACGCGTAGTCGAATGTGCGAATAATAATAATCATAATCTATAACACTGTAGAGTTCGGGGTGGCGAGTGCAATGGTGGAAAAACAGCGCCAAAAATGATGGAGAACTCTGGGAAATTGGTACTGTTCTCTTTTGCGGGGAGGAACAGCTATAAAATTCTTTCCGGAAGCCTAGACGTTTGATAGTGTTTTATTTCAACGTTTTGCATAGATTTTCCTTATTATTTGAAAGAAAAAGATCGCTAAAAACCGTTTAACTATCGAAAATGATTTTCAACAAAAAAAAGTTTTTACAAGCCTGTCGAAACTTTTATAATCAAGTTCAATGGTCTTTTTACATAGATTTTACATAATTTTATTAAAAAAAATACCTCAAAAACTTTTTGTCGCAACGAAGGATCGAAAATTTCCATATTTTCCCCTTTTTCGCTTAATTTTAGCCGTATTAAAACTTGCCAACTTTCTGTATTATTGCTATTATTAAATGCCGCCATTTTGCAATAAATTGCCAGTCTGAATTTTGCAAAGTTCCGGCCTTTTCCACCATTTTTGGCGCTTCTTCCGTCTGCGTACTCGCTGGTGTCTGGCTATTAGTTGTTCAACACCGTTGTAGAAGATTGCTAAATGTATTATGTTCCATTTTTAGGCACGGTGATCCGATGTCGAGGCCAGGTGCTGCACTCGTCATTTATGGATGGTGCATTCTGCCTGCTTGCCCCCGCCGTCGAGCCGTTCAGGGATGCCTCGAGGGATAGCCCCGATCATCAGGTATTTTTCAGTTTTTTTTTCACCGTTGCTCTTTCCTTCCTTTACTATATTTTGATAGGTAAAACCTTTTTCGTTTTTTAGAAATTTTTTGGTACTGGACTGTTAGCGGGGGGTATTTTATTTTTCCGTCGACACCATACAGATAAATAATGTTTTTCCTAAAATGTTTTAAAAAAAAAAAAAAAATTTTAAAAAAAAAAAAAATATAAAAAAAAAAAAAAAAAAAATAAAAAAAAAAAAGAAATTTTTAAAAAAAAAAAAAAAACCTAAAATTTCACCGAAATCTATTTTTAGAACTTTTTGTCATTGTTTTTCTACTTAAAACAGAGTTAAATTTCGGCTAAAAACCCTATAAAACACTTTCTATTGCGTTACTAGGCATTTCTCGACTTATGGGTCGAAAAGCTGTTTTCCCCGCTTCGATAATGCGAAAGAATCGTTTCTTCTAATATCTTTCTTTACTTTATAAATAAATTACTTTATAAACTTTACTTTACTTTATAAACTAATCTTTTAAACCTTATATCCACAATTTTAAGGTATCGAATCGCGTGCGAACGAAGACAACCGTCTCCCCCACCGTCTCAAACAGCGTCGATTCCGATGGGGGCACCAATGGCCAACAATCTACCGACATCTCCCAGGTAATCCCGAATTTTTTAGGCCTTTTTAGACTGGTATCAACCAAAAAAATTCATATTTTACGCCCTAAAAACCTCGCTCAAACCCCGACCTAATTTTAGCCCCGCCCCCCTTTTTCAGGTCGCCCGGCGGGCCATGAAAAAACTGCGCACCGTCAGTTGGGACATTTCTTTAGCATCCCAAATCCATCCCCACCCCCTTCCACTCCTGCCACCAATTTCCAATCCGTAAAAACCGCTGCGCAAAGAATCAAAAAAAAATATAGCAACAATTTGCTTTTTCTAGGTTCTTTTACAATATCGGGGGACCGTGTTTTTCTAGTTAGTACAGAATTTCTAGTAACGTAATAGTAAACATTTGAACAGTGTCTTAGTAAAATTAAACTATATTTCAAGTCCAAACAACTAAAAAATCGAAATTTTGGTCATAAAACGGCCGTTTCCGCTCGAAAAATCTAAATTTTTGCATGGTTTTAACGAAAAGCTGTAAAGTTTTTGCATTTAAGAATGGTAAAAACCAGTTTAGAGGCGCTTCTTCTATTTATGTTAGTAAAATTACTTCCGTAAAAAGGTTGATTGCCCCCGATAATGCACAAGAACCATTTTTTATCAAAATTTAGCTGGCAAAATTGAAAAATTCATTAGAAAACTTAGAAAAAACCGTAGATTTTATCGGAAACTACATATTTTATTGAATTTGTGAATAAAATATTGTGACATTTTAGGCTGATAAATAGTAAAATACGGCCAAACACGCTTTTGCGATGGAACCGCTCATTTCCAAATTCCCCGCTTTGCGCAGCGGTCAGCAATGTTAAAAAGTGATAATCCCGAAAATTTGGATCGTTCCCTAAACCAAATGTGTGCCTTTTTAGCATGAATACCCCCTATGGACTCCCTCCTCCCGTTTGAATGAAAATTGTTTTTGATTTCTATACCGTCTGCCGTTCTTCTAACAACAAAAAAATTTTTTACCGTTTTATAACGCTTCTTTTCTAGGTGGCGATCGTGGTGGCAGAATGGGAGATACGTGTACTCGCCCTGCCGTCATTTTCGCTCATTTTCCATCACAAATGCGACGAAATTCCGTTGGTTAAGGTATGTTGTGAAAAAACCGAGTACTGGACTCTTAGCGGGGGGGAGGGGTAATTTTTTCCGCTTTTTATATTTATTTTATTGTTTTAATCTTTTTAGCAGCTTTTGGTTGCTAAAAAATTTTATACATTTTGTTAAAAAATGCTTCCAGTTCGAAAATTTTCATTTTTTCGTTATTTTTAATCGATTTGACTAAAAGTTCAAAATTTTGCAAATTTTCTGGTTTTTTAAGAGCTTTTTCTATCTAAAACGGCATAAAATTCAGTAAATTCAGTCTACAGGATTACTTTCAAAAAATATGGTTCCCCCCGCTAACAATCCAGTACCGAAAGCCGATTGAAGGCGTGAGTGCGCGTACACCACACGCAGCGCCCCCGCAACGCGTCTTGTGCTGCAAGGACTAAACTTACTTTCCAGGCTTCATCCTCGCACGTCAACGGCCAACCAGTGCTTCTCTGCCTGTCAGCATCCGGTCAGCTTCTCTGCTTCTCCCTGCCCTCTCTCCGGCCCCTTCTCTCGCATCAGCTCATCCCGCATTCCATCGACTATGACGATCCGTGAGTTTTAGATCAAGATTAGCATCCACGCTTTGCAAATAGTTTCAAGAAATTGGAAATCATGCCCAATCGTCATTTTGTCTGTGATGAACGTGGTCTGTTCGCTATTCTCGCCCTGTTTCGAGTCATGTCGATCTCGAAAAGACGACTCGGATACCGTTAGGTGCGCATCGGAAAGGGATTGACTAGGCTAAAAGCATAGTATAAAAAGGGTTAAGAATTAATTAGTACATAACGAATAATCTGCCGTGTTTTTCAGGATTGTGCAAAAAGCGGCTTTCTCGGAGCATGGCCTTGGTGTCTACATGGTCAGCCCCAGCGAGGTGAGCACTTTCCTAAGATAGATTTTAGTCGTTTGCTTTCAGCTGGAAAAGTACACGGTATGCGCGGAGTTGGGTGATCAAGTGGAAGAGGCGCTCGGCGAGCTGTTCGTCCCCGTCGACATGCCCGAGGCCCCAAAACAGACCGGATTGCTCAAGGGTTAGCTGTTGCTCGTATTTCTTCTATTTTTTTATTCTGTTTCCAGGCGGTCTGTCAGCCCTCTTCTCTGCCAATTCCCGGCAGGAAACCGTCGACCTCGATACACTATGTAAGTTTTTGGACATCGGCTGTGTTTACCTACTCCTTTTTTAGTCAGCGACAAGGATAAGCCGCCCTCCGCCGCGACGTCGATGCGCAGCGTGGCCAAGATGATCCCCGGTCCGCAGATATCGATGGATCGGGCCCATCAAGGAGGCGTCTCCGCCGGTCTGGCTGCCCAAATGGCCCTGCAGGTATTTACTTCAGGTTTTAGACACCTAAAAACCCCGCGATTCTAGAATCTCAACGAGCGCGGCGAGCGTCTCAACCAGGTCGCCGACGCCACCGAGAATTTGAAAAACTCGGCACAGGTAATTTTGAATGAATCTTGTGAAACCCTTTTCGGTGGCATTTTTTATCTTTGGCGTCAAATCTTTCTAATAAGTGTTAGGTTTCGCTTTGCTAAGCGTTGCTCAACAGTTTTTTATGATTTCTAAAAGTCAAAACTTTAAAAAATTTTGTGAAAACATCTAAAAAAAATTTATTTTTCGACCAAAACTTGAAATTTTTAAAGTTTTTCTATGTTTTAAAATAGTTTTGGAATTTAAATAAGGTTCGATTTGAGAGATATTGAGTAAAAGCTGTTATAATACTTGCTAAGTTCCTTCCTTCCAGAGCCTCTCATCGCGAACCGGCAAACTGGTGGAGAAGTACGAGAAGAAGAAGTGGTACAACTTCTAGTCGACAAGCCCGGCCCACCCGCCACTACTAGTCCCCCATTCATGATATTGTTTATTGCGGCCCGTACCCATTCGATTCTGTGTACACATTTGATGCATTCAAAAAGAAACTGGCGGTCACTCGCTTACTAGATGCCGCAAAATTGTTGGGGGAATGGGCTTTGTGCTACGAATTTTGGCAGTTTCCGAAATTCTCGAAATTGGCTAGGACACCGGTTTGAAAATCGGAATTTAGTAAGTGGATAGGATTTCTAAACGTAATAAGTTTGCAAATTTCTATTAAAAAGACAAAACCATTGGTTTTCGATCAATTTTCAACTTTCTAAAAACTTTTCTAGCTAGCTCTCCAGGTGAAATGTAACAAAGTTTAATCGAATAAAGCCAAAACCCTCGTTGCGCAAAGTTTAAACCCCCACACATCCCTCACTCCATCTGTCAATCACTTCTCCCTCTCCTTTTCCCGTATATTATTTTGCGCGTTCTACTCGCCCGGTGTATTGTTCACCTCCTCTTGCACATTTTCCTGCTTTACGGGCCTCATCAGAGATGTTATTATTGACTATTCAAGAGTTCTCCTTCTATCTTCTCCCTTATATAAATGATCGCTCCCCTTCCATAGTTGTTATACGGTCATTTCACAGAATACACATTCCTCTAATTACAGTCCGAAGCACAGCATAGCCCCTCCTATAATATTATTATTGATTTACCAAGGCAAACGCGATACCCTGTGCAAAATCATTGACGCCCAGCAGCCCCATCCCCCATCTGCCTTTGCCAGTGATAAATTATGAACTTTATGCTACGTTACGAAACGCAAAGTTACACTTACAAAACCAAACCAATCACAAATGTTTATTATCAACAACTGCATTCTGCGTACCGCTGTCTCCGAGGATATATCAAATAAAGAGAGAGCGTGATGCAGTGACCCGTAAACAAGAACATATTTTTTTTAAATCATGCAAGAAGTGATGTTTCAATAGATGAAAAGCCCTAGACGTTAGTGTACACAACGCGATATAGCGAGCGAGAGAGAGACTAGAATTCGGTGGGGTCATCCTCCTCGAAACGGGGACGCTTGGCGCCGGCGAGGCTCTCATCTTCGGAAGAATCGGACAGCTCCAGGTCGGCGTTCAGTTGGCCGGCCGAGTGCATCTCCGAGGCGAGCAGGCGACGAGTGATTTCCTCTTCGTCTAAAAGAGGCGAAAATGAAACGAATACAAGGACAATGCATACCCAATTGCGGCGCATCCATCGTATCCTCATAGTCATCATATTCGACAAGGCGAGCGCCGGAAGTCGTTGGTTGCTGGCCGCTACTTGGGTTCTGCGAGTCCTCGTCCATGTAGGCGTCTAAGAGGAAATATTTTTAACACTTTTTTAGGCGTAAATCGTTTTTCGACGCTAAATGGCCAAAATGTCGACACTTTTAAACCATTTTTCTATACGTTTTGAAAGCTTTTGACGTCAAATAACGTTAAAATTTACCAAAAACAATATATAAAGCAATTAACTATTCAATTACGTGAGCAATCTGGGCCGATAGGAAAAAAGTGAGGATTCCAGCGAAACATCGAATTTTACGATCCAAGCTCTCTCACCCATATTACTATTCGAAGCATCCGGATCAGCCGCCGCGTGCATGTCACCTGCCGGCCCCTCAATGCCGCCCGGAGACATCATCTCGTCTTCAAAAGCATCATCGTCCATCTCCTCCTCGTCCACCGTCACCAGGCCGTCCGAATGGATACTGTACTCCAGCTCCCGCAATTGTTCAGCCTGAAAAATACAGAAAATCTAGCAAAATCTGTTAGAAGACGTTACCTTTTCGTCAAGGAGATGCTGCCCCATTTTCACCAGCTCATCGGCCTTCAGCGTGTACACCGAGTGTTCGCCGTTGAATGCCTTAGAGTTGGCGTGGAGGAGCTCGAGATCTTCGATGAATTGTTTAACGAGCACGTATCTGAAAACTAACACTTTGCAAAGCAGAAAGAGAAAAAGAGGCTGAAGCAATAGAGCCAAAAACCAACTTGTGTGCTTTGGCCTTTGCTTGAATCTTGCCCAAATCCATCGGTCGTTTCACCGTCAGATAATAACGAGGAACCTGAAGAAAAATATAAAAAGAACTGCGCTGCAAAAATACCTTCTTCGCGTCGACGGCGGCGTGGAAGGGGCCGCTCTTCGGGATGTTCCGCAACTTTTCCACGATCTCATTCAGGATGTACGAGAAACCGACGCTGAGAAAAGATAAAATAAAAAAGGTGTTTTTTTTTTGCTCTACCGATCGTTATCATCCAGCAGCGGGTTGATCTGTTTTTCGAGCTGCAACAGCCGGTGCTCCTTCTCTACCACTCGTTTTCCGGCAATTTCGAACATCTAGAGTAGAATATAAAGCTATATAAAAATATAAAATTTAATAAAGGACCCTAGAAAGCTAGAATTGTTCCCAAAAGATATACCTTTTGCGCAATCATTGTTATATTATGATTGATGCCATTGTAGAGGATTGAATTGTCTAAGATGCGCTTCACGTCGCCAAGGAAGTCCATTCGAAGCTCATATTTGTTGTCTTGGATCTAAAATATTTATTTTTAATTGATTGAATCTAAATTTCAATTAATTGTACATAAATTTATTTCGTACAGTTGGCATTCAAATTCCCTCGTACCTTTTGCTTGATTTGCTGCAAATCCATCGGATTCTTCACCAATTGGTAGTAGTCGGTAACCTGAACAGAGTGCTATAAAATTAAACTAATGTAATACTGACCAGCTTGGCGTTGACGGGTTTGAGAAGGGGCTCGGAGCCGGGAACCTGGCGAAGCTCGTTGACAATCTCGCTCAGCAGTGTGCCCATGGTAATCTGAAGGAACGGTTGGAAATCGATGCTGAATCGTATCGCGGTATTTTAGTGGGGAAAAGCTATTTTGTTTTCCTAGCTTAGACCATGTTCTTAGTAATATTCGGACAGCTTTCGTGTTTTGATTTCCACTTTGGTCAATAAGCCAGAATTTTTAAAAGCTCTAAAACGTTTTAACTTAAAACAGTTAGATTTGCACCAATTAGCGATTATTTTTCACCTTTGTGCGGCGACGAGAATTTTCTGCCCCCCCCGATAATGATCCAGAACCGAAAATTGCCGGCCAATCGAACCTTGGGGTCGCCACGCGAACGCTGAATATTCTTGATGGGGCCCTGAAGATAGTCTGTCTCATCGATGATTGCAGAAGAGGGTCGTCGCTTTCCTAAATAAAATATTCACAAAAGTGAATATTGTTCTTACCACCCCATTTCATCGAACTACGTGACATCTCGCCGTCGCTGCTCTCATAGCCATCGGTGAGAGCCTAAGCTCAACATTAGAAACTATCAACTTCCACTTACAAATTGATCCAGCGACATGCTCGTGTCCAAGTGCGATGAATCCTCACTAAAAGGCCGTGAAGTAAATCGAGCATAAAACTGACGTTTTGATCTTCTTCTCGGGGAACAGGCCCTTCTTGATGCGGATCTTGGTGCCGTCCATTTCAACGAGACTCTCGCCAGAATATCCAGGCAATGACACATCAGCACCACTCATTGAAGCCTCATCATCGGTTGGCTGAAGAAAAAGATAAAAAGCATACTCGGCACTGGGCTGTTAGCGGGGGGTATCTAGCCCATTAATACTTAGGAATTTATTTTTAGCGCGTGTATTATTTTTATAGTGTTCTGATTGACCGGAATTTTACGAAAAAATTGTAAAAACTATTTATACAATTTTTAAAATTTGAAATTTTTTAGGAATTTTCATCTATTTTCGATCAAAAATGAAAAAATACGAATTTTTTATGAGTGCGACTTACGAATTTGGGTGGCGGCGTACTTCTGCCAAAGTACGGGCAGTTCCTGTTCGTCTTCATGTGCCCCGTCTGGTTGCAGGCTGAGCATCGCACCTTCAGGTTGGCCTTGTTGGGCTTTTCTTTCTTGGGCTGAACAAAACATATATGAGATTAAATATACCACTACCAGAACTTTCACATCGGTCTGATGACGCTTCAGGCGGCGCAGTTGGTCTTGAAGGCGACGGCGCTCTTTGCGGCGTTCCTGAACACAGCAGGTGCAACATCCCAAAAAATGATACCTCCTTGAACTGCTCGTCCATGTGGGCAAAGACCTTGATGAAATCGTCGTTTCTGGTGGAGCGTATCTGCAGATAGGCTTCGACGAGCTGCGGTCGAGTCACCACCTCGGTTCGAACCTAAAAATCAAAAATTCGGACTTCTAAGTTTCGATGCTCTAATAGCAAACAACTTAAAAATATTTTCCAACTACAAAACACATTTTTATATGTTTTTGAGGGCCTATAATTCCTGGCGTTATCCGATAAGCCGATAATATTGCCTACCGTAACGTTGCCATCCTCATCTCGCAGCGTACGGTAAATCTTGAGCTTTTTGTTGCCCGTGATCCCGCCGAGTTTCGAGGCACTTTCCACCAATTCTTCGCCCATACGTGCCACCACTGAATTCATAAATAGTAGACAGAAGCGTGACCATACCATTCTTCTCTTTGGCAGCGGCGTCTTCAGCACTCATTTTCTTGGCTTCCCCATCACTCTGGAGCATCATCTTGCGAAGGTCTTGAAGTTCTTTCTCCTCCTCTTCGAACTGCTTGCGCTGCTCGTCGAGCTCTTTGTTCGTGCGATCTAGAAAAAAAAATATTAATCGAGGAAATCAACTGCATAGAATGGAAATAGAGGCCAATTTTAGACGAAATAAAAGAAAAATGAGTATCAATCTCGCAAAGTAAAACCAACTTTTCGCATCGCGCATCATCGTCTCCAGCTTGGCGGCCATGAATTCGTTGTCAGAATGATCATCGCCACTTCCTTCATCTGTCGATAGCTCGTCCGGATTTCCGAGGGCCCTAAAATCCCGGAATAAATTCTAAAGTATGTTCATACGCCACTTACGCATTCTGAAGGTCGAAGATCCGTTGGGAATGCTTCTTGCCCTTCTCTTGTAAATCAGCCATATTCACTCGAATATTTCCGCGGGCAAAGCGAGCCATCCCGGACACTAAAAACACATTTTTAACTTAAAATTTCTGCCATACTCTCTTTGTTCTCTCCGGTGCCGCTGACTTTGGCCGCTTGTGTCGACAGGGTACGGATGACGTCGATGATCTCCCAACGAGTCAACGCGCTTATCTAAACTCAGGAATCAGAAAAATGAGCAACAGCTTGCCTCCTCCTCCCGGACGCCATATTCGCGACAGATTTCCTTGGCCTCCTTCAGCGGCAACTTGCGCAGATCGGCGTTCGTGCCAGTGACCAATTTTTTTCGGCACGGTTGGCCCTTCTTCTTTCGGAGGCTTCGTGGACACGCGAACATAGGAAAAGCCCAGGCCACAGCCGGTCGGATCAGCGACTCCAGTCTGATCGAGCAGGCACTTTCCACGTAGGGCTGACAAGAAGGCCCTGGAAATATTCTGGGTAAAACGGAAGGTACTGGACACTTAGCGGGGGGGGGGGTGGCAAGCTCGCTTTATTAGAAAAAGCAAAAAATAATAACGTAAAGCCGCACTCATGAAAAAAGCCGAATTTGGCGCCGTTTTGGATCATAAAGTTCTTGAAAAATTTTAAAAAGCTCTAACACTTGGCAAAAAATGCACAAAATTAGTCAAAAATTTGTTAAGTTTTTAAAAAAAGTTTATGGATTTTCACCACAGTGACCAAAAACTCATAAAAACGCTATAAAACGCTAGCAATTTTTCAAAATTGGATCTCACCGCGTCGTATTCCAGGGCGCCGCCTTGATCTCGTCCTCGAGCGTCACCTCGTCATTCGAGTCATCATCATTCTCCGGTGTAAAGAAATAGCGCTCACCATAACCGGCATCCTATAACAACAATATTAATAATCAACCAATCCATTCCATTCCAAACCTTTAGCCTTTGCTCGGCGGCCAACATGCTGTATTGGGCACAGCACATCTCCGGCGTCACCAGAGCCATCACTTCCTCTTTTGGAGGCAACCGGAAGTCGGGGCGTAGGATCTGATCGACGGACATCAACCGAACGAGCCGAAAAACTTACCCAGCACGTGTTTTCGGGACCCGGGCCGGTGCGGCGAAACTCGGAACAAGCCTGAAGGAACGGTAAGCGTCATGGAAATCAGCAAACCTTCAGGCGCTTCCGCAGGGTGCCCTCGTTAAAGTGAGGGTATGCGGCGCGCAGATCTTCCATTTTCAGGCGACGTGGTTCCTCGTTGGATTGCCAGAAGAGTCGATAGATGTTCGCCTAAATCACGCGTAAGAATTGTTGAAATTGCGATGAGGATAAAGGAATCAAAAAAAAAACTTTCTAACGGTTCAGGAAAGTGTCAGAATTTCACGCTGACTCATCACTCGCAAAATTCGACGAGAAAACAGACACTCGTGTTCCTGATTTTTTTCAAAAATTCCGGAATTTTATGCAAGATTTTCGGTATCTTCGGTATTTCATCTAAGTTTAGATGCTCCCAAAAAGGTCATTTAATCGTCAAAAAACGATGTGGCTCGAGATTTCTCAAACATTTTTCGATTTAAAAAAAAACCCGTTCTGGCTTTGTAAGAAGCGTCTGTTTAAAAAAGATCCTAAAAAGCGCGAAATCTTATAAACATCCAAAATGGAACAGAACAAATTCTTCGACTCGGGCTTTCGAACGATAACGAAGTCGTCAAAATCGAAAACCTCTGGGAACCAGAAGATAGTTTTTTGGGGGTTTTTATTGGCATAAAAAATTAACATACCAGCAGGGAGTCGCGGACGAATTGGTTGCTGGCTTTCGAATTGGGGTTCGGCACCTCGTAGAGCGGACACAGTTGTCCGACGACGAATGTCGGCGGCAAACGACGAATATGCCAGCTAAAAACAAGATCATCTAAACGCGCCTTAAATTTTCCACCTTGCGTTCTGGTGAATGAGCAGATAGTCGTTACGACGGGACTGGTGTCGATAGATCGGAGCCCTAAAGAAAATGAGATTAGATTATTTAGCGATACCGAAATAGATGATTTTCGATGCTCTGCAAACCCTGTCCCGGTTGGAGTACACCAAGGAACGGGATATTGTGGGTGAACGCCGTCTCGCCATACTCAAAGTCTGGCTCCGCTTCTTTTCCGGTTTTCTAAAAAGTTTGGGCTTTATGGAAAACAGGGAAAAATCGTACCCGCTTGTAGTAATTTCGGAGACGACTGGCCATGCCGGGCTGGGAAAGAAGCGGCGGATGCTCTTCGGCATATTCCAGCAGGAAAAGATCACCGTCTCTGCAGCAATAATTATTCATGAATTTTTTCTAAATTAGATTGGTACCGTCCGGAGAGATCCTTGACTTCGCGCATGGCGAATGTTTCGACGCCACAGTCGGCCTGTCTGCGTAGCTTACGCATCTAAAATAGCAAGAATAAAAATTCATTTCAGCTTCTACCTCGCCCATTTGGCGAATGTGGTCGGTAAGTGGCTGAATGGCCGTGAATTGACTTCCGACGTTTCGAACGATCCTCCGGTTGAGGTGCTGAAAACATATATTATCGACTAACCAAATTTTTTCTCATTACTTCAATAGGCGATCTAAGAGACAAATTTAGCCAGAAAATTTCTGTGCAAAGTTTCAAGTCGTTTGGGACAAAACAGCTAAATTCTGACAAAAACACACCGGTCGATGCCAACGGCGCAGCTTCGAAATGCCGAGGTGCGTCGGGAAGAACGGCCGGTACAAATTTTGCGCGGGGATCGAGTGCAGCAGCTGGGCGGCGCTCAGATTCGGTCCGGTCCTAAGGAAAAATTGAAACCGTTTCAACGATATTTACTTTGCAGAATTCTTGGGCATATAGTAAGCATCACGGCTCAAATTGAAGGGGTCCACGTCGGAATTGCGGAGCATCTAAATTTGGGCTAACTATATGGCTCGAGATGTTTCACTTGTGACTCCAATTGTTCGTCCTCCTCCTGCTTCTGCCGCTGCTGCACTTGGTTCAAGATCATTTTCGACTTTTTGGTAAAGGCATTGTCCTGAAGATTACGTAAATTTAGTAACACTTTGAGCAGCACCTTCTTATCGAACCCGTTCGAGCCGCCGTCGCCAGCATCATAGTCATCTGGCATTCCAAAGATCGATGGATCATCATTGATGTCCAGGGTGAAAATCTTTGGCTCTGAAATGGGTAGTATTCGTGAGTGTCTCAGAAAAGCACCCCTTGCTAGCGGTCCAGAGGAAGCTCGAATATGTGGTTGTTTTTACACTATTGGCAAGAAAACAAGCGGTTTTTTAATATCAGACCCAGCAGTTTAATCGAGGCAATGAAATACCAGGCGGCTTCTGCATGGCAGACGGGTCGATGATAATGTCCTGCTCCCATGGTGTCGACAATTGCTCAGTGAATTCCAGCGGATAGATGGAATGGGTGGGCGTTGGCTCGGTGATCAGGTCGATGTCTTGCAGCAATGTCTTTGGCTGCGCCGGGTTGGTCGAGAACAGCGTCGGCAGGTAATTTTGTTTCACTAAAGAAAAATCAGAGCCATTCGACCCAGTCATACAAGCCATCATGAAGCTTTCAAAGGTTCTGGTGTGTTGGGTGGGGAACCAGCCGCCGAGGGGTTGCTTGCCACTCTTTAGGCTGTCGGCCAACTAAAAATGTCATTATTCCATAAGTAAAACCATTAAAAAACACACGTTATTAAAACTTGGCCCTTGTGTATTTGCGGGACAACCGTTTCCTTTTAGCTCATGTTTGCCCTAGTCAGGAAATTTTCATTTGTTTTTATACAGCTTTCAAGAAAATTTAACGATATTTGAAGCAGAAAAAGCTTCAGAAAATTTAGAAAATCCGTGAAAAAAGCAACTTTTTTGGCCACATTTGATCGAAAACAACTTTTCAAACCGTCAATGCAAGTTTTTGGGGAAAATAGTTCGCAGTTTGAAGGTTCGGAAAGAGTTTTTTTGAGAAAAATCTACAACCCATTCCTTCATCATAATAACAAGTAAGCTTGGACCGCAAAAATGTTGGTCGCAGACCACGCGAGTACGCAGAGGCCCAAAACCTCTTCCCACCTCTTTCCTCACTTGATCGTCATCCATCACAATATCGTCTTCCCATTTCATCAGGTTGACTGGCAGAAATTGGGTCGCTTCATGTGCCGAAAGCTGGCGATCCGGCTTCTTCTTTTTCTTGGCCTGCTCCGTGTGCTTTAGGCCGTAGTTGACGCCGGTCGCTGTCATTGGCACGTTCAGCGAATCATACAACGATTTGGCAGGACCCAGCCGCCAAGGCGCTATCTAAAAAACTTTTCACTCATGTCCACAAGCAAACCTCAGTCTCTTCTTCATCATTTTTCTTCTTTCCTCGATCCTTTGGTTGTTCGTTGATAGGACGGAGTAAAAGTAGCTAGAAAACTTTCCTAAAAACGCCGATCCAATACCTCTTGGTCCATCTGATACTCGTCCTGATTGAATGGTGGCTCGCAAATGTTTAATTGGTGGAGTGACGAGGTCTGGCGAAGCTCACCACGTTGGATAGCCTGCAAGTACAGGGATTACATAAAAAAGCTTAAACATCAAAACCTCATTTTTGGCATTCTGTGCCTCGTGGTGTCGTTTTCGTTCCTCGGCCGAGAGGTTTCTCCAAAGAAACGACTTGCTGGGCCACCAGATTTCCGACTAAAAGGGATTTTAATTATATTTGAACACTCTCGCCTTAGAGGTCAGCTTCACGTTACTGCAAAAGACTTGGGAAAAGGGTAGTACAGCTGATGGCTTAAAATCCGGGAACCAGCGCCTAAATATACAGTTTTAGAAAAAAAATACTTCAAACCGGGGGTCAACTTCATCTAGTCTTGGATTCAAAATAGCAGCCAATGGAGCATCTTCCCGTTGTGAAGGCGGTACGAATGGCAATTGATCATCGGCATCAGCATTATCCTGGATTTCCTGATAAAATTACTGGAAAGGGATTACCGCAACTACATTATCAGCCGAATACTCATCATCAACTGGCGCTGCATCCGGCTCTTTGTAGTTCTCGTCCCAGACGTATGCTAGCAAGAAATTTTGACAATTCTCTAGAAATACCTTTATTAGATGCGGACGGGTGATCGTCGAGGTAAGGAGTATCTGACACGAAATATAAAAAATGGAAATGAACAAACCATCGTGATCAGAGGTCGTCCCATCGTCCTCCATAGAGCCATCCACGCTTTCTCCATCGTTCCGATTATCGACCTCCATATACTGAAATAGCTTTATAACTTTCAGATTTTTTTATTTCCTAGGAGGTTTTGAAAAGGCGGAAGAGGGAAACCCGGGATCGGGGGGGGAAGGGTTGAAAGCGATAGAAAGGAACACACGGGACCGCCGTGTCAAGTGTCACAGCTCGGAATCGGGTCAACACATCCCTTTAATGCGTTCGGATAATGCCATTCCCGTCACCAAATCTCTGTCAATCCAACCGCATATCGATGAGTTCCAGTCGCCAGATCTGGCAACCCACAATCCTTTTCAGCCCCAGGATACCCTATAGGTATGGTCGAGACACGGAAAAGAGAACGTTGAAATCCAGGAAGCCCGAAAAAAACACACATTTTTAAGCCTAGAAAAAGCTAAAAACTAGAAAAAAACCCGTTGTTTGCCTCGCGGTTCCCATGAGGAAACAACCTTCGGACGCACGGTGGAAGTATTTACAAGCTCGAAAATTTTTGACTACCATAATTTAAAAACTAGAATTGTTCAAATCCTTGTGCGTAATTCCAAGCCACGCGAATTTTTCTGCAAGTACTCAAATAAACCAGATAACTCAACAGGTGCGCCTGATGATTCACCAAAGAGCGGAGAGACGCACATCGACTGATAAGCGCAGTCTTTGCTTTTCCGCCTTGCTTCTCAAAAAATGGCTAGCAACCTGCAGACGTATGATGTCGTCTTCCCAATCATCCATGCCGACGGGGTAATGTATTATCACTAAACGGTGCCCAACGAAATCCAGGTGCGAAAGATTAGAAACCTTGGGCAAGGCACCTACGGGACAGTCTACAAAGGATTCTCAACGGCTGTCGGGTACCTATCACTCTTAAATCGATATTCTGACGCAGCACCGTTGCCGTGAAGGTCTGCCGGCGGGAAGATCAAAGAAAACTTGTCCAAGAAGTTGTGAGGACACTAAAGTACGGCGCCGCTCACCCAAACATTGTGAAGGTAGGTCGACCTGGATGTTCATGCTATTGGCACAGGTCTTCGGACATTTCGATGATCCAAAATTTGGACTATCGTTTGTCATGGAATATATGGATGGCGGCTCCTTGATGGATGGTAAAGTAGAGATCATGTTGCTACGTGGATATATTTAGTGATCACCAAAAGAAAAGATCTAATTTATTACGTGGACCACATCGTCAGCTGGATGTACCAGGTCTAAAAAACCGTAGCAATCAAATAACTTCCCAGATTTCGAGCGCCGTCGCTCACATGCACAGCTGTAATGTGCTGCATAGAGATCTGAAGCCGGATAAGTCAGCCTAAACGAGGGATTTCAGCTAACAGGACGGCTTTAGCATTTTAATGAATGAGCTCTATACTACGGTCAAACTTTGCGATCTCGGGGAATCGAGAGTGATGGGGTTGAACAACGAAGAAATGACCAGCCGAGTCGGGAGTTTCCTTTTCATGGCACCCGAGGTACATCGCAATTCGTATCCGGTAGATGAATTCAAGGTTCTTGCGCATTATCGGGGGGGAGAAATTTTTTCTTAGGGACCAATTTTTTAAATATAAATTGCGGAAATGTTTGTAAACTGTTTCTACTATTCCCAAACGTAAAAATTTTATAATTTTTATTAAAAAATATAAAAATATAGATTTTCGACCAAAATCGACTTTATGAAATATTTTTCAACATTTTAAAATCGTTTCCCTCGTTAAAATATATATTTGGTTTACTAAAAATAAAAACAAAAACTAGACGTTTCTAGATATACAAAAAATTTATTTCCCCCGCTAATGCAAAAGAACCGAATTCAAGGTGATGACTGGTGGGAAATACCATGGCAGTGCAGATATATTTAGTCTTGGCATGGTTTTCTGGATGATGTTTTCAAGGAGGTATCTTCGCTAAACATTACTTCCAACATTTTTAGGCTACCCGGTTTCATTGAAAAATACAAGACCCCGGCCGCATTTATTGTGGGTGTTCGTGATGGGAAAGAACGGCCTTCCGTGCTTCCTATCCTCAAAGTCTTCAACGAAATTATCAAAACGTAATATTATTTTATTTACTATTTATTATTTATTATTTCATTTATTATTTATACCTCTATCCCATCCACAATCGTTGCTAACCAAGCTATTTCAGATGCATGGACGAAGACCAGGAAAGCCGTGTTTCCGCTGCTAGCCTACGCGATTTTTGCGCTGAATTGACTGAGGTATTTCAATGGGCCAACTCCAAAGAATCCCTCTTATCCAGAAATTCCCCCATGGCTACAACTTTCTCATCACGATGCCAGACAGCAACACTCTTTACGAGCCTATTAATGTCCGGGTAAGGTGCCCGAGGCATGCGACACGCGATCCCTTTGGGCTTTAGGGAGATGTGAAGGAATCAATGACGAAGCTCATTGAGAATCCATTGATGACTGTTGGCCCAACCCAACATATCGGAGACGGTATGTGTATCAGCACATTGACAGCCTTATTATCAGGCGAACGCGAGCCGATCCCTGGTCTTCGTGCTGTGGAAGCAACCCCAGCTGGCACGCTAATAACAGCCGCTTCTGAACCAGCATCCCCCGTAAAAGTGGGAGTGGCACGAGTAGCAACGCCACCCCCAAAAGCAACACCTGTGCCCCGTGTCAGAGAAAAAGTTGGGCAAGCTTGAGATTATAATTCCTTGATTAGGTCCAATTCGCCGAACCGGTTGAGATCATAAATGCCGATGAGGCTAACACGAATCCCGCCGCCGAGCCAGAGACTTCAGAAGTGAGGGCCCGACTGCTTCACTTAAATCTACGACTTTCCAGCACGACCGCGATGCTTCATGGAGCCCCAACAAAACCACGAAAGTGGAAGCCGGCAAGGTGTCAAAACTAGCCGCTGCGTCAGTTTAGCGTCTAGTCCCCAAAAATCTTTTATTTCAGATATCTGCAGGCAATACAGGGCAAAAAATGAGGCTGCGGCAACAAGAATAAAGTCGATTCTTTATTCACAGATCAAAATTGCACCAGGAAATGATGCGTGTTGTGCGACACTTAAAAAAAGAATTCACATGTTCAACTGAACCAGCCGAAAAACAAAGCGTATAAATTACAAAAGTTCTCGCTCATGCACCAATAAATACTAATGGGGGGAGAAGGGTTCAGCTCAACGTGGACAAATTGGGAAAAGTAAACACAACAAACGGGCAATTTACAGCTCGATTTTGACGGTGTGGAAGACCTTCTCGGCCCCATCCATATCCACCTTGGTGCTGCAATGATCGAGAGCAGTGCGGAGAGTGGCACCGGCTGCAGTCAGCTCATCGGCTCTCATCGTGCGGAAGGCCTGGAGAGCCGTGCTTTCCCGAGTCGGAAGCAAGAACTGTGGTGCTTCTAAAAATTGGTATATTCATAGAAAACACGGAATCTCAGTATCCTGTAATCCACATGCCGAAAAATTATTATCTCGCAATTTATAAAACAGAAATTTCGTGATCCTCAAAGTTCAAATTGCATTTCAAGATAGTGAATGTTTCGAAAATTTCCGACTTTCTGGACAGTGATAAGTAATCATAATCAGGAAGCCTTACTCCAATCGACAGCGATCTTCTTGGCGACGAGCCAAGAGTCGAGCACATAGGCCGCCACATCTTCCGACGGAAGAACCAGGGTGGAAGCGCTGAAATAGAAATCAATGATAAACATAAAGAAAATAAAAGTTCCCCTGCCGAAATACTCACCGCAGCTTTGCAAAGAAGGCGTCCGCGAAGGCCTCGTCAGTCAAAGCACATTTCGAACCGCTTCTAGGGATCCAGGCCAGTTCAAAGTAGAAAGGACGTGACAACACAGGCACTGGCTTCTTGCCACCCAGCTTCTGAGGCTGGCTGGAAAAGCGTGACACCTAAACACGTTTTAATTTTTAGTACCATGGTTACCTCCAAGGTCGTGGTGAGTGGGCCGAGATGCTGGGGAGCCGAAGAAAAGTTGGACACCTATGCAAGATCAATTACGAGTATCCATCCAGCTGTCATACCTTGGGCTCATCATGCACTCCATTTTGGTGGAAATCCGGGGTGGCTTCACTCAGTTTTCGATCAACAGCTGATGATTCTTCGTTTAGGCTGTCCAACACCTGAAAGTATACTTATAAATTCTATAAGTTTTCTCAAATCTAAAAAGTCTCAACCCCTTCTCCCGTAACAATGGAATAATGTGGCTAGCGAGCATACCTTGTCTAAGGCCGGATCGGTCTCCTCCCACAACTGTTTTTCCTCCCCGTCCCCTCCCAATGCGAAGCGCGAGTTACGGTGGCGGCTCAGCTAAAGGAAAACAATAGGAAGCGCCCGGGGGTATTACAAGTTCATGCTAACCCTTTGACTAAAAAAGAGATTGCCTGACAAGGTAATCTCGACAAACGCACGTTACGCTTCAAATCAAAAATTCCTTACATCTTGGCTAGCCTTTCGATGAGAGACCTCGGCGGGTTCTTTCTTGTCTTCTCCGAGGTCGACGAGGTCTTCAACCTTGGCTCCAACGTCTCCAGCCATCTCCACCACCTTGTCAGCAACCACGTCGGCCGCATGCTGGACAGTGTCGACGAAGCCTCCCAAAAGGGAAGAAGCTGTCTAAATAACACTTTCTAAAAATAGATACTGTGCACCTTTGAGGCACTCTCGAGCGTCGCGCCATCAATGATTGTGGACGCTAGCCCAGATGCGAAGGGAGAAGGAGCATCGACCGAGAACGGGTCCTAAACAAAGATAATGTGGCTTGATTGCTGAACCTTACCTGTACAGAAGTGGTGTGAGCTGGAATCGGCCCGTCAACCAGAGAACCGGCATGTCGGTGCAGCTGCAAAAAATGGTATTAACAGGATCAACAAATATAGGGCACAAACACAACACACCTCATGCTCCCCCACGGGCATGAACTGTTCCTCTTCCGGCGCATCAACCGGCGAAGTGGCCTCAGAAAGACTACGTTCGATCTGAACAGTACGAATCACAAGTAAACACCACGAGCTTCAATTTCAACACGCCTAACAAGAGAAGTTTTTAGTGGCAATAGACGACGAGGTTAAAAAAGTTATGAAACTTTTAAGTGACAAAAATGGTCCAAATGGCCCGATTTCGTTGCTTAATTGCTTCCCAATGTTTGCTTTTTCGCCTTGAAAACCTTCATAACTCCTTTAAAATCCGCGTTCGCAGATTTTCCGAGATTAGAGCCCAGCGAAAATTTTTGCACCGGCTAAGTTTGGACCAGTGGGGAGATTCGATTGTCACTAAGAAGTCTGCTTGTGAGCACTAAGATACCGTTTTCTCGCAATCAGCCACGGCAGCGGTGACCTCGCCATTGATGTCGTCGATGAGCTTCTGCGTCTCCACGTCTTCCGTATCCATCGAAATCTTGCGAACACGCATCGGCGGCTCTCCAACATCCAGGAGCCCATCATCTGTCAGCTTCTCAGGCTCATGTGGCCCCTAGAAAATTGAAGTTGTCAGTATTCGAACGAAAAACATTTCGTCAATCGCAAATTTTGCCGTTAGATTGTGAAGCCAGGGGTCTAGCGATTGTGTCGAAATACGTTGAGCCTACCAGAGGAAGCAAAACGAGTTTATGAATGAGGAGCTCGGTGGAATACTGAACTACAACCATGAAAAAAAGGAGACGGACCACACGAAGCAGACAAAATAAAACCAAGCACAGCACAATTACCTGGAATTCCTTCGGAGTGTCTGGAGTCTTCCTGTCGTCATCAATCTTCGAGGAGGGGTCGGTCGGAGTCGGCTCGTTCGGGACGTAGACAGGTGGTGGGATGGGCTGCTCGTGGGCATCATCCTTCGCTTGGCCCGCTCCACCATCAGAGATCGTGAGACCGGCGAGGACTCCAGACAACAATCCATCGATCTCGGAAGGCCTTCCCGTGAGGATATCTTCGCCAGCAGCCGGGGCTACAGCAGCAAGAGGTACGGTGTTGGCGTCGGCCGGTGGAGCTGTGGGGACGACGGCGGCAGGGGGAGCTTGTTCGCCAATTACAGGCTGAAAAGACACGGTACACCACGAACAACGAACAACGAAAAACCTTGATCAACATACCTCAGGAACGGGCTTCTTCTGCGGTGTCGCATCTTTGTTGGCGGGTGCCGGCGTCGGCTTTGCAGGCGGACGGCTCGGGCCCGATGCCGGCTTCGAAGGAGCGGCCCCACGAGTAGGTCCCCTAGATTTGAATTTGAAATTTGTTTTGGAGAACAAGCGGACATCAGCTCAATTCCAAAAATTCTGCCATACAACTCGTATTGATCGCCCTATTCGCCAGCTTTTGTTACTATTAGGACTATGAAGGTTACGCTATGCCTTGACGGGATTTTATCGCAAATCGAGGTGAGCGTTCACTAAAGCGACAAAACGGTTTCAGCTAAATGATGAGCTGAAACTGGACGCCGCGCTACTTGTGTGCTTGACTAAGAACGAACGAGGAGGAGAACCGTTGACTACCCTGACCCTGTACATCGACGATAAGAAGATCGACATTGCCGAAAATGGCCCCAAAACTCTCCAGGTAGTGCCAGCAAAATAAAAAGGATAATTTTTTAGGAAGCTGGGCTTCATGAAGGTTCTCTATTGTCACTCTGCCGCCTCGATGGAATTCATGCGTTAGGCCTCTCAAACGACAAACTGACTAACTTGATTCGCGTCATCAAGTAATTACGATTCATTCGGCCCTATAACGAGTTCTAGAATCCCGAAAGGCAAATCGAAAAAAGAGGAATATCTTGCCAGTTCGATGATGAGCTACATTGCGTACAAGTAGGAGAATTTATGAAGACTAATCTACCCTCACAGAACATTCCCCAGTATTCCACTCGAGCAGCGGGTGCAGATGCCGCTTTTGGACGCGGTCACGAAGAGTCACCCTGGCGATTTCGGTTATTTTATTCTAGATTGCCTATAGCTATATAATTTAGGCGCTTTCCACTTGGTTCACGAAAAAAATCTGAAAAGAAAGCGCGGCGAGGCCATCCCAGCCAACAAGGAATCAAAGCGCCGCAGAATGCTTGAGGAGAATATGGTGCGGGCCTACGACGAGCTGCCAGAATCGTTCACCAACGCTGGCATGCTGTACATCAAAGCGTCAATCAATGCAAAGCCGATTACATGCCTTGTCGATACGGGTTAGAAATTAGTTCATGGTATTTTCAATCTTGCTGACCTAGGTGCCCAAATGTCGGTTATGGGTGAGACGACTGCAAAAGCGTTTGGTTTGACAGATCTGATTGGTAGGTACCTAGTTCGACTATAAAGATATTACTGGTTAGACACCCGCTTCCAAATTGACGTTGCCGGTGTTTCCGGATCGAGCAAGGCTTTGGGCAAGATTACTTATGGTACGTCGTAATCTCCCGATAAACTTCCGACTTAGTGTTGCTAGCCGTCGAAGGCGTTGAGATCCCGACATCTCTAACTGTCGTTCCCGACTCTACCCTACGCCCCCAGCTCATCTTGGGTATCTTTTCCGGCAATGGCAACCCCTTTTTAGGCCTCGATACGATGCTCCGCCACAATGTTAAAATTGATCTCGGAACTCGCGTGATGATCTTTGGCGACAGCCTGCGCACGCCGTTCATGCACCCCGACGAGGCGGCCAAGGTCTAGCACCAAATACGGTCCGTCCTATTATTTAGATGCTCTCGCGTGACATGCCCGACGTCAAAGAAGCTACCGAGACTCCCCAGCATAACACCCACTGATTTCGGATGATAAATAAACTTACACAGTCTTTTTGATCAGCTGCTTCTCGGGCGCTGCAGGCGGCACGCGCGTGTTGGTGGACTTTGCGGGAACCGGACGGGCAGCAGACGATGTGGTTGCACTGGGGCGCGATGAAGCTAATCAACAATACGAGAAAAAGCGAGAGATCATACCGGCAACGCCTCTGGATGCAGAGGAAGGCTGTCGTGGGGCCGATGGGGCAACGGGTGCCGTCCGAACTGGCTTCTATAACAGCGTCTGGGATACGATAGATTATCTACCGTAGGAGCCGTGTTTGGCTTCGCAGTTGGCGGTCGAGCAGAGGGAGTAGGCTTCGCAGCTGCAGCAGGCACCCTTGCTGGCGCGGCAATCTTAGGCGGGGGCTTGGCAGTGCCACCCTTGCGGTACTGCTCCACGGTGATCGTCGGTTCCGTAACCAGAGGAAGTGTCTTCAGCTTGTCCACCGCTGCCACGATCTTCTCGTATGAAGCATTTCCTGAAAAATAATTTAGTCACTTAGCATAGAAAAAATACCGGTGTGCAAGATGCGTTTGACGAGCTTATCATGGGCCACCGGCACAAAGACGATTAGCGAGATCATCGACGCCACTCTCGCAGCATCAAGGATCTAAATTGGAGCGCAAGGTTGAAAACGGAAAAACAAAAACCTTCTGCTCGTCTCCGGCGTCTACAGCCTTCTGCAAGGCGTCAAATTCACGTGGCTCCGCGTGAAGCACGTAAATCTCCAATGTTCCAGTACGGAGGCTCTAAAATTCAACACATATAGAGGCTGCTGGAAGAAAATGATTACCTTGAAAGCCACAAACGGCTCAATCTTCTTTACATCCACCGGTTTCGGGGTAATGACATTGGTCTTTCCCGCACTCAAGCGTTGAATCAGCCGGGCCGTATCACTGTTGTTGCCAGATGCCGAGCGGGGCACCTTGCCGAGGACAGGCACATTCACCTAAAAAAGCTCTCAAAATACAGCTCTTTCCCACCTGTTTGTCATTGAGGGCCGCGACATTAGCAAGGGTGCTAGGAGCACTAGTAGAAAGTACAGCCAATTCAGGGCTCCTAAATCCCTGTAAAATGAAATTTATCTGCAAGGACCTGAAAAGTGAAAACATGTCAATAGCTTGCGCGCCGCCATCGAGCAGCACGTAGACTCCATTCAAATCCAGCACAGCGGCCTCCGTGTCTCCCTCTAGAAAACCAGGGTATTTCCAAGGACAAAGGGACGTACCGGTAAGGAAGACCCAAGCGCTCTCCCGTTCGCTTACCGGCAAGTATGATGACATTGCTGAAAATGAAGAGTTTAAACGCGTCAAACGAGTCACATCAGAAAGGGGAAAGGCCACTGCAAAATCCACGCGTCAAGGAAAGAAAAAAAAATGCCCAAAGAGGGCCTTCCGTCGTAGCGCCGAGCACTCGAGAGCTTAGAAGTCGCTGGGGACACTAGAGCTTATGAGGCCGCGGAGGCTGCAGAGACACGAACGGGTGGCGAAAGAACCGCTCGGGAACAGGGCGCCCCCCGTTCGATAAACAAATAAAATTCCTTAAAGAATGTGTTTGAACTGTGGTACGGGCAGATAAACAAAATATCTTCACACTAGAAGGGAATCTCAGAAGAAAAGAAGCTTTTTCGTCGGGAATTCCCGGAAACAAACAAAGATTGACAATCAACCCGTAGATAATACGAAATAGGGTATCCGGTCAGCGGTGCGAGTCAGCGCGGAAGGTGAAAATGACCTAAAAAGCGACCGCCCCAAACAGGCGTGTTCGGGGAATATTGTTTGAATCCAAATTTGATGCTAGAAACCATCCCCTTGCTCCCCTTAATCTTATAAATCCTAAATAACGAGTATTCTAGCTTGCTAGCACAAGTACTGGGCTTGGCAACCTGTAAACAAGACGGTTGTACGGACCGGGGATCAATAGAGTGGCCACTGGGTATGAAGGAAAACAAGCCGCAGCGAGGAGGTGGCTGGCAGGGAGGGGAACGGGGAGAGACAGATGGGTGGTGCCCCGGTGAAACGGGATGCGGCCCTGAAATGACCCCCGGATTGCCCCCAGCCGCACAAAACCTCTCTACGCTAGAGCCCCTCCCACCCTGCGATGCAAGGCCCCCGGGGACACCAAATTCTGGGTCACCAGTAGATAGAGAAAGCTTGGATTGTCGTCGCAAAGTCTGCGAATAAATTATGGTCTGGCGAAACTTTAAACCTACAGCGGAAATTCGATCCGGTGGCGGCAGGCATGATAAAGGAGCGTTGAAAACAAACAAACATATCACGACGTTCCAAAAAGGTGCAAAAGAGGCAATTAAAAATGTCAGTTTTCAGGAGCGGATACTGATTCAAGAACTATAGATAATACGTTTTCCTAGTTTTTCGACCATATATTTTTTGCTCGTGTTTCGAAGGAGCGCATTGTACCAGAAGCCAGGCAAACAGACCAACAGACTCTCGCAAAACTTCGTGAGTTTTCCAAAATTTCTCAAATTCCAAAATCCGAAAATTGGAACCGAAAGCTACTACGGAAAAATAGGAACAAACCAGTGTAAAGAGGAACGCCCCGGACAAAAATCTACGGTACGACACACCATTCCGAAGAACGAATTTTGTAACTTGCAGTCGCTCGGAGCCACGCTTTCTAAATTTCCGAGCTCGGATTTTGTTTTGTCTCATGAAAAGTTGCCGTGATTTGCGCTGCATTATTTTTGCTTACGTAGATGTTCCTCCATCTGTCTCTCGGTCTGTCTGTCTTTTGTGGAGGTCGACCCTCCGGCACTCCCCATGAAAGGAAACCGGCCTCCGGCTGAGCCTGTCTGACTCATGCTGATTCTCTACACTCCGACTCACCGAGGATGTATGCGTTTTCGCTTCTCAGTCAGTCAATTGTCAATATCCTTACTTTTACACTATCAAGACTTTCTAAAGCCTACGACACCCCCTACTAAGAGACGTTTTTAGTGGTAATTGAGTTTCCGCACGGGACCAAGCCCAGACTGCAGAATTCCGAAGCTCTTTCCTAAATCTGCAAAACCATCATATTCAAAAAGTTATGAGTTTGGGGCGAAAAAGGCAAAAATTGATTAAGGAAAAATTAAAAAAAGGAAACAGCTCCTTGTTAACAGACCCATTAACTCTGCCAGCCGCGTTTCTCGGGCAAACTCTAGCAGAACGGTCATGCGGATCCGCGAATCCAATTTGCATAGGGTGTGAGAGACCCAACCGCGCGGTGGATCTTCCTCATGGCGCTGACCCAGATCGGTTCGCGCGGTGGAGATCGAAAGTTTTGTGGGGGGAATTAACCCAGCAATTGCCTGCGGCATATCTCGCACACCCTGCTGTAATTGGTGGCTAATCGATCATCGGCTCGTACGGCGTCCATGTGTTTGACAGGGTTTTATGGGGCTCGGTGGTTGAAATAAAAGCGTTCTGCCTTGTATATATTATTTTCTCTCAGTTCCTCAAATTTAATTATTTTCTAAATGAATCCTTTTAGGCACCTGCCTCTACCCGGTTGCCGTGATGAGATTCGACTGCATAGAGCGGCCGATCTCAAGATTTTTCGATGCCTACGGGCGATTCGTCTCTCGGCACCCCCTGCCCTTCATTGTGATCCCGATCCTTTTCACAGCGACGATGTGTGCAGGGTTTTTGAACATGAAGCCCTTAACGGATGCTGTTTATCTTTTCACACCTGTGTAAGTTTGATTAATATCTTCGATTTTAACTTTTTTTTCAGGGGAGCCCTATCGAAGATGGAGAGACAATCGATTCATGAAAAATGGCCACTATACGATGACAACTACATCCCTGGGCGCGCAGTTACAGAGGCGCGAGAAGTGCAGGTTATTTTGCGTGTCGTTGCCACAACTTTTGTTTAGATTACGGTTTTGGCAAAGGATGATGGTAATATACTCGAGAAGCCCTATTCCGAAGCTGTATACCGCCTGGACAAATTCATCAGCGATCGGGTTTTCGTGGATTATAGAGGAGTCGAGTATCGATATGGGGTATATTATCCTTAGTAGAGCACCTTAGTTTTTAGGACTTGTGCTTGTCTTACAAATCAGCGGGCTGCCCTGGCAACAAGCATGCACACATTATATCCGATCTTTATCAACGCGGCATCAACATTACCTATCCGACCTTCCGACTTGGAACTGAGTAAAGAGATATTCCTTGGCTTTACTTGTGTTTTCTAGGGGCGGCTACATCGGCAGCACGCTTGGTGGTGTCCGACTTTCGCGGGATGAGCAAAATCGCACTATTCTAGGTGAATATGACCCGAGTCTGTTTTATAATTTTTTTTAGCTTCGGCCCAGGCGTGGTTCTTGATCTACCATATGAAGTTTTTCCCAGCAAACGTCAGCTATGTCTCCGGGCTCTTTGAGAACGTAATCTAGATGTCCCTTTGATACTAAACAAATTTTAGGAATTGGTGCGACAACTAAGAAATTATCCGGATGATCCGTACATCACGTTTACGTACTTCCACTCTCAAACTCTGGCTGATGAGTTGAAGCGTAATGCAGAGTCCCTCGGTAAGTTTGGCTGCTCTTTGCCAAACTGGCCTGTTTTTAGTCCCCCGTTTCGGTATCGCCTTTTTCCTGATGGTGGTATTCTCATCGCTATGTGCCATCTCGTTCATTGGAAACTCTTTTACTATCGATTGGGTCCTTAGTAAACCGGTACGTTCTCCAGTCATATACGTGTAATTTTTCTCAAGATCCTGTCGCTGCTTGGTGTCGTCAACGCTGGTATGGGCATTCTCACGGCATTGGGCGCCGGGCTTCTTCTGCACGTTCCCTTCAATGACATCGTCGCTGTGATGCCTTTCTTAGTCGTTGGTTCGTTATTTTGCCGGAATTAATTTGTTTTTGATATCAATTAGATAAGATTATTTATTTCTTCAATGAAAACATACCTTTAGCGGTCGGCGTTGATAATATGTTCCTGATGGTTTCTTCTGTACGACGGACTCCGAGATCGCACACAACCGGTGAAAGAATGGGTATTATTTCCTCGTTTTTCCATATTGTAATTTTAGGCGAATGTCTGTCCGACGCCGCTGTTTCGATTTTGATCACAGCTTTGACCGATGCATTTTCCTTCGGCGTCGGTGCCATTACAACCATTCCCGCCGTGCAAATTTTTTGTATATATACCTGTTTGGCAATCACAGCGACGTTCTTTTACCAGGTATGCTGCCCCTAACGGATTCGACTTTTTTCCAGCTCACCTTCTTCGCTGCTCTACTGTCTATGTATACGCGTTGGGAGCGTCGTGGGATCAACTCGGTGTTCCTCTGCGAAACTGTACCTATCGAACAGATCCACACCGCATCTTTCATCTCGCGCATCTTCAATATGGGCTCGAGGTGGCTACTGGTTTTTGCTTCTTCAATTCTTTGCAGAGCTCCTCCCGAGAAGAAGGGAAAACATTCGCCGCCACACATCGACAACTCTCTGTCCACAAGGTTCTTTGAGAATTGGTTCGCCCCCCTTCTGATGCATCCTGTGGTGAAGGGCCTTGTGCTGCTCTGGTTCGCCATCTACCTCGGCTTCTCCGCGTACGGCTGCGCACAGATCAGAGTAATAACGATTTTGCTCTTGCATTACTTTGCTTTTTAGGAAGGGTTGGAGCCAATCAATCTGCTTGTCCAGGACTCTTACGCCATCCCACATTACAAGATGTTGCAACGATACTTTTGGAAGTACGGCGCCACGCTTCAAGTACTAAAAATTGACCTCCTTCATCTCTTTCAGTTGGTTGTGAATAATGCGCCGGACATGCGACTGCCAAAACAGCGGCAACTTTTGAAACAGATGATTGTCGAGTTTGCGTCATCAAATCATTCCTGCGGTCCGGAATCTATCCAATACTGGGTGAACGAGATGGAAATGTTTGTTTTCTCAGCTTTCAATAGACTTTGGTTTAGCTATTACAAACAAGGCCTGGAAATGGGGATCGTCGATTCGGCTTTCTATGGTCAGGTCCAACACTGGCTCGGCGCTAAGAATCCCAACACTTGGGAGGCCGACATACTTTGGGGCGTCAACGGATGGAATGAGACAACGATAAAAAGTTTCCGGTACGTTAAGTTTTTTCAGTCAGTCATGGTATTTTTAGTTTCTTGATTGGCCTGCGAGATATTCAGTCGACAACGGGCCAGCAAGAGGCAACACAAACAATGCGTGAAATTGCTTCGCGATGGCCGCAGTACAACGTGACATCTTTCATGCCCCTGTGGCTCTTCACGGACCAGTACGCCATCGTCGTCCCGAATACGGTACAAAACATTTGGATTGCTCTGCTGGTCATGATCGCCATTGCCTTCGCTCTTATCCCACAGGTAACGTCTTCCTTAGGATTATTTATTTCTCCTTGCAGCCTCTCTGCGCCTTTTGGGTGGCATTAGCGTGTGCGTCCATTGACTTCGGAGTGATCGGCTTCATGACTCTCTGGGACGTCAATCTAGTGAGTGCTTCTCCTGCCCCCTCACCACCTTTTCTAGGATGCAATTTCGATGATCACCATCATTATGTCAATCGGATTTTCTGTTGACTATTCGGCCCACATCACCTATGGATACGTGGTGAGCCTGTTTTTGCTGTATTTTAAAGAGATGAGGACGGCATCTGTTGAACCCCCTTGGGGAGGGGGGGTTCAACAGGTCCCGCGGCGATCTCGCGCGAGAGAGGGCTCCCAGGGGAGAGGCGCAGAGACATTTTCTTTCCCTCGCGTAATCGATTGACTTATGCCGCCCCTATCTCTTTAAGGACATTTCCTAGGTCTCCCCGCACGCCGATCCGTCGATGAAAATAAGAGATGCACTCGGCGCTTTGGGCTGGCCGCTTTTCCAGGTATTTTGATTCTTCAGTCAATCAATATGAGATAGGGCGGATCCTCGACAATTCTGGCAATGTGTGTCCTTTCGAATGTGCCTGCCTACATGGTCATCACGTTCTTTAAGACGGTTAGCTGAGTAGTTTTTTTAAAGATAATTTTTAGGTGGTTCTTGCCATTTCAATTGGACTGCTGCACGGTCTTGTATTCTTGCCCGTGTTCCTCTCCATCTTTGTCCGCGGCTGCTGCATTCTCGAGGTTTGTCTTGAGGGATTTTAGCAGTGTATTTTTTTCTAGATGCCGCCAGACCGAATGCTACACGGGCATCACGCCCAGCCGCCACCGATTGCCAAGAAGCCCAAGATGTCTTCTTTCGTAAGTCTTTTTCTCCTTTTTACAATTATCGCATAGGGCTCCGGTACTGTCACTTCGTTGGAGTCGGCTCCATTTTCTCCGATAGAGAAAGCAACTCTGGCGTGTCGCGGCGAATTCATAGAGAGCCAATCGTCCACACCCATCCACGCAATCCGTCATAGGGTCGGTCATTTTTAAATTCGGGACGATTCTTTTATATTTTTATTGGACCACCAATTTACCACTCGGTTTTAGGTTTCTCCTCAAGCAAACGGTGCTTCCCCACGTGTAGCAGATCATCACCCTCAAGGCAGCACTCACGCTTCCGACTCTTCGTCGACGGGCGAATTCACGACTTCATCACCAAAGCAGCATAGCTAAGGTCTAACTAATCCGCATTCCTCCTAATCCTAACGCATTCTCTGTACATTCTGCATTTTGTAAACCTGTATTGAATACTTCTAGACGGGTATCTTTCCTTCTCTTTCCCATTGCCATCTTCACCTTGTGAATTTAGGACCCTGTGCCATCCGTAATTTTATGTTGTCGCCGAATAAAGATCTGCATGCTAGAATTTAGGAGGATGCCTCGTAATGCCTGCAGAAGGGACGGTGGGAGATTTTTCGCGAGATCGCATTCGCGTCTCAAGTAAAGGCAATGAACGACCTTGAAGTCTTTCAAGGGCCATGAATGGACCGGGCATGCGTCTCCCTCGAAATTCATTGATCGTTGGTTGGATTTGACCGGACTTTCATTGAATGTCCTGTGAATCAATTCCGGTTATGATTTTCCGTAGGAAGTTTCAAGCTTTGCGCAGCGTGAGTGAAAACCCTGCACCCAGGTCGACCATAAAATCGGCGCTCGGCTGGAAATTGGGCTGGCTGGTGTTTGTGGCATAAAGCGAGCGGTCACATGCCGTGAGGTGGTTGCTAGGCCCGCCCAAATATGCCACCACATTCTCGTCAACAATGTCGTACTCTTGGAAATAGCCATTTGTTTGTTTCGCCAGCCATATACCCTTTTGTATATTTTAACTATAAATCCTAACAATTTTAAAAAATCCCTTTTCTGCAACGTCAGTAAATTAATGTTTCAGAACTTCAGAAGTTGTCTGTCTACCCACTAAAGGACTGTCATATCCCTCTTTGCATATGTTTTCGCGTGTCTGTCCGCCTGTCCCTTTCCCAATTCCGCAAGGCGGAACCGGTTCTCGGAATGCGTGGATTTCGATTTCTGCCCACCCGCTGTCCCCTTCCTTCACTCTCCCCTCCGAATAACCGCCTTTTGCTTTTTGTTGATCTTCTTTTACCCTTTACAACCTTAAATCTCTCCATTAACGTTCTAATCTATTTTTTTAGACGCTCTGCAATGCCATCCCGACGTCCACCGGATTTTTTGAGTCCCGGCGAAACTTTTGCCCACTACGAGAATCGTAGCCCGAGCGCCGCTGGCTCGTATCAACCACAAGGTAGGGCTGAAGTTTCGTTACTGGGCTGCTAGGAAGGGAAGCTAGTTTTTTTTGTTACCAGCTACTTTTTAATGATAATGAGTCTTTTATTAGTCTTTTTTCGTAGTTTTTGATAGTCAGCATTTTGGAAAATTAGAAAATTAGATTTTTGGTAATTTTTTCAAACATTTTTGACCAAAAACTCAGACATCTTTATATGTTTCTAGACGCTTTCTATATCTAAAAACTGATGCTATGAAAATGGTTTATATTTTGCAAATTGTTGTAAGTGTAAAAACACATTTCAAGTTTGGCATATTGAGGCCCCTCTTTTTCAGTTCCACGTCCTCCGTCACGAGAGGTTGGCGGAAGTCTGGCGTGCGAGTACCGGGCCCACCCCTACGTAGGTCGGTTGGCCCCTTTCATACTCCGTATATTGCCTATTTACAGCCGTGCCCGTCGGCAACCATCAGCCCGTGCTGGCCTGCGAATATCGCGCAGGTTTGTAGCGTTTTTAGGCTATTTTTTGCTTTATCGCGAAAACGCTTTCACGTTGAAAACGAACCCTAACTTTTCAAGTTAAAGCTTCTATTTACTAGGATTATTAGGTCATCGACCCAAGGACGCCGAAAATAACTCGATTCGGCAATATTTATTCATTGAATATTTAATCATTGAAGAACAATGAGTATTTCAAGCTTATAAAACTCCCCATACAACCAATTTACAGCCCCATCGATCGACGGAAGCACGCGAATCACCTCCACCTTTTTGCCAAAGGACAAGAAAAGTGGGTGAAAAATTCAATTGCAACAAAAAAAAATAATGATTTCAGTCCCGCTTCGAATCCTGGTGGGCGGGGCGATCTGCTGCCCAATTTTGCTGGGGCTCATTCTCTTTCTGGCCGTCTGGTTGCAACAGCTTGGGATTCTGTAGAGACTCAACACACTTTCCGAAAAAACGCCCCCTCTCTTGCCGATACTCAGGTGCTATTCGTCGTCCAAAATAAATAAAGATTGGTATAGATAGCAAAACATCAAAAAGCCTTTTATACACACAAAAAATTGGGATTAGGGGGGAAAGGGAGCGAGGCTAGACGCGCTCGAACGATCCGGAACGGGGCGCCTTCTTCTTGTCGTCTTTCTTGTTGCTGAGGTCGGCCGGCTGCAAGGGTTAAGATTTTCTATTTATTATAGGCTTTTCGACTTTTTTGGTCTGAATTTTATCTCTGCTTGACTGACTAGCTTTCCTCAAAGAAGCTCTGCTAGCCTGTCCCCTCCGGTTCCTCAAAGAATCGCTGCTAGGCTGCCCCCCGATTCCTCAAAGAATCGCTGCTAGCCTGCTTTTCCAAAATTACTAAACTAACGCACAACAAGCGGTCCTTTCGGAGGTCCCGGATCGACGGCACCGGCGCCGAACAGATTCTGCTCCTTGGCCATCTTCTCGGCCATCAAGAACTCGTTGGCGTAATGCTAAAGTTATAATATAGCCCTTCCTTTATCTCAGTCCCTACGGCATCGCGGGCCTTGTTGAATTGAGCATTTCGAGACGGGTCGGGGTCTTCGGTGCCCTCTCCGAACGTCACTTTCCCGTCGTTCGGCCCGGGCGTCGGCGGATCTGCCTGAATATTGGGGGTTCTGGTGCTTTTGCATTATCGGGGGTGGGTCCTTAAAAGTATCATTAGTACTTTTTAGTAATTTTTAGTAATATTTGACTGTATGTAAAATGGAAAATCGATCGAAACTTTGGAAATTGGAAACAAAAAAAAAATGGGAATTTCAGGCTAATCGCAGTTCAATGACACTTTCTCTATTAGCACTATAAAAATTGGAAAGTTAAGTTAAAAAGTTGTTAATCAAGCTTCAAACTTGGTCCACACAAGTGTTTGTAGATGAACACATTGGCATACCTGGAAGAACTGTCCCTCGGCGCGGGCACGCGGCTGGTACGTCTCCAGCACGTTGGCCTCGTCGAAATAGGCGCGGCGGACGCGGGTCAGACCGCGCGAGTGGACCCACATCCACTAAATTAGAATATATTCATTTTATTAACGTCAGGACCCCGTGTCCAACACCAAAAAAGTGTGTAAAAGGCTTTAAAAATGGTCCTATTTAGTTTTAGCGCTCACTTGCTGCCGTTTCCAATTTTTTTTCGAAAAGAATACCTCATAGGAGAACGCGGCCAGGATGAGGATGGCCAGCCGGGGGACGAGCGACAAGACGGGGACGCGAGATGCCAACAGACTCTGGCAGACTAGCAGCGCCCCGGAGACGCTCAACATCACCAACACGCACGTCAGGAAGCGCACGCTGAAAAGATGCGCATAAATAGAAAAATTTCTTCTTACGCGCGTGGATTAGACTTTTGCAGCGAGGCGTAGATAGAAGAGGAGGGCGTCACAGCCCCGACCGGTTTCATATGAGTCCCGTCCGTCTTGTCGGAAGTCGCCGTCGATGCTTGCGTGGCCGAGATTGAAGCGCTGGGATTTGACATCTTTTGTCTGAAAAGACAGCACTTTAGCTTGAAATGAAAAACAGACCCTTTTGTCGTTTGTATGAAAAGGGAACTGCATGATTTTTGCTCAGCCCGGGGCTATGTGATTGGTGAAAAAAATGCAAATATAATTAACTACAGTTTGATGGAAAGTGCCTCAACTGCGCGATATCTGCGATTAGTCATGTCGGCCTGAAATATTCTGCAAAACGCATTAATAGACTAGTTGAGTTTTATTTGCACAAAAGACAAAAACGACTAACGTAAGGCCATTCGGCTGTGAGGTACAGCCAGAAGGGGGTTCAAAAGTTTTCATAGAAAAAACTGTAAAACGAGCAGACCGGCTTTCGAATGCGAGACATGAGTATTTCTGGGAGGAAAACAATGCAATATCCTAGAAGACAAGGGCACATTCACGAGAAGTGGGGGAACAATCATTACCCGTGCACAAGTGAGCGAGTCAATCAGTCAAAGGGGACAGGCTCGGTTCGACAGCCTTTTAATTCTATTTTTCAAGCTTAATTTTCTAACGGTAAAGCTGCTTGACAACGAAAGATTCAGGGGGGATTGGGGGCTAAATGCAAAAAAATTTTTTTTTTTTTTTAAAATAATATATTTGGAAAAAAAATTTTTTTATTAAAATATTTTTTAAAAAAATTTAAAAATTTTAAATAAAAAAAAAATATATAAAAAAAAAAAAAAAAAAAAAAAAAAAAAAAAAAAAAAAAAAAAAAAAAAAAAAAAAAAAAAAAAAAAAAAATAAAAACTAAATAATTTTTGGGAAAAAATTTTTAAGGAAAAAAAAATTTTTTTTTTAAATTTAAATTTTTTTTTTTTATTTTTTTTTTTTTAATTTTTTTTTTTTTTTATTTTTATAAAAAAAAAAAAAAAAAAATTTTAAAAATAAAATTTAAAAAATTAAAAATAAAATAAAAATTAAAATTTTTTTAAATTTTTTTAAAATTTTTTTTTTTTTTTTTTTTTTTAATTTTTTTTAAAAATTTTTTTAAAAAAATATAATTTAAAATAAAAAATAAAAAAATAGAAAATTTATATCTATAAAAAGCCCCCCCGGACCAACGGGGCCCCCAAGGGCCCCCCCCCCCCGGGCCCCCCCCCCGGCCCCCCCCCCAAATAAGCTCACAAGAAAAATTTTAAAAGAAACAGAGACTAATCGGGGCCTGAAAAAGTGTGTGTCAGAAGGTATTAGGGTTATCACAAGATTAACACGCCAAAAAACCATGTGTCGAGACGTCAATGCGGAGGATAAGGAGGCCGCAGCGGCTGTCGATTAATTTGCGTTGAACGCGCCGCGCACCTTCTCACCCATTCCGTGCATTTCGGAGGTAACCTGAAGAAGATTTTCGTTGTCGTCAAGAAACAAAATATCCATTCAAAGATTTAATGAAAAATAACAAACCTTACTCGCTAGATCGTCATACTCCTTGCGAAACTGCCCGATCACCCATTCGATTCCCGATCGGCCCTGAAAAAGTTAGAATCACCAAAAATTTGACGATCATACCTTGTTGGCATTGCTGGAATAAACGTTCAAGAATGTCTTCTCACAATAATCGGCAAACGCCGGCAATTTCACAGAAATGATGGCTTCTTGCTTCAAGATCGTCCTAAAAATATTATGCATTTCTCGGCCGTTCTTTTTACTTGTCGCTTTCGGTGGGGTGCGGGGTGTAGGTCAATTTCTCGTCACACCGCAAAAAGGAGCAGCCGTTCATCTATAAAAAAGTGGAATTAAAAACCCATAAATTAAAAACTCACGTTTCGCGTCATCAAGGACATTGACTGATTGTTCGGGTCGATTTCGGTGTATTCGTGGGAATATTGCGTGCCAGAAAAGCCGGTCAACTAAAAGAATAGTACTGAAGACGTCGGACAGCCGTTTTTGCAAGTTTTAATAACAAACCACGAAAACACCCACCTTCGTTGCCCAAGAGGGGATGCTGAAATGGGACTGGATGATTCGCTCGCTTTTCAAGACACCTTCGTCGATTCGCTGGCTGAATAACCCGTATTTATAGATTAAGCAAAAAGCATCGCACCTCAAAACGTCCATATTCGTGACGGCGCCATTCATCGGGTTCGGGTACTTCCGCCACGCGGCATTAACAACAGTATCCCAGGGGTGCCTGAAAATTGCATACCAAATTAAGAAGCTGACTTACTCAAAAACATGTTCGGACGTCCAGATCCTCATTTTTTTTTGTTCTGTTTTGTAGTTACAGCACCCTTTTGGCCTGTACGGGGACCCGATAGTTTGATTACTGAAAATAGGGTTAGATCAGGGCCGGAATCAAAAAAATAACCTGGGAAAAGGCAGTAAGAAGACAGACTAAAGAGAATTGAGCGAGTTCGCTATCTCGGGTATGTGGGAATGACGAGAGTCTGACGAAATTTGGGCATGAACCAGGCTCAGGGAAGGGCGAAAAGGGGGGAGCAGGACAAAGTCCAAATGTTTTCCATGTGAAGATAAGAGAGCGGGGGAAATAGGGAGAGGCCGAGAAAACTCACAAAGCAGAGAACAACCCCACAAAAGCCACAAACAGCTCCAAAATGCACTTTGTGGAGTTATTGACGGGCTTTCTAACTAGATACTTCTTTGGTAGATCGCTAGAAGTTCTGAAGCGCGTTCGTGCATCTGAAGCTAAAGCAAAATAGCTTCTGAAGAAGTTCCAAGTTATGTAACCGGATTCAAACATCTATTTAGGCCTTTCCAGGTACATTAATACTTCACCGTTCGAGCGGTTGAAAACGCGAAATGTTGGATTCCCAGGAACAATACTACTAATCCCTTGAATTCTATTCGATAACCGTTGAAAATGAAAGTATCTATTTTCTAGACCTTTACGATACGTTGAAAGCCTAAATAGAAGTTCAAATCCTTAAAATCAGACTTTGTAAACCTATTCAGACCGTGTAAACAGGGCAAATTCGACGTTTTACGGATCAGCTAGTCCCGATCTAAAATCGAGATCAATAAACTTGACCGAAGGCAGCGTCTGGATGGGTGAAAAGACGAATTGTGTGCCAGACCGGCGGGGAAGCTCCTGGCGCTGGCAAAAAAAAAGAAAAAAGATCTGGCCCACACACCGGGGGAGAACCCCGGGCCGGGATACCTCTCTCTCAGTCGTTCCGAGGGAGGAGACAGACAAATCGATGCGACTCGAGGACCAAGTGACGCACATTGCAGGCGATAAAGGAGAAACTATCAGATTGTGGGCTCGGGACAGCCGGCGGGTGTTCATGTGAATATTTTTGAGACTTTGATAAAGAGAACGACTTTGAACGGAGCCTCGTTGGACTCTAACCTAAAAAACATGGAACTTCTCTACTAAAAATAAAGTAAAAGATTCATTCATTACGTTACCTTCATCGGCGTCAGAGAAAAGGCAAACCTTGGATAAAAGACAACGAGCTTCCTACAAAACTGACGTGAAAAAACAACAATCTTCTAAATTAAACGCTTCACATAAACCGGATGATCTAGCTTCAGCGAGGGAAGTAAATGTTGGAAGTAATAAAGATCAAAAATGTCAAAGATTTTCTTTTTTTTCAAGTGGAATCTCTTTTATGAAAGCTCTTTAGCAAAACCGAAACCTGGTAATCCTGAAAAAATATAGTATGTTTTTCAATGAAGGTTAGGCTGTATAAAGGAGGTCCCCCCAATAAAGAACCAGAATCGGCGGTTCTCCCATCGGTATGGCCCGGAGGAAATAAGTGAAGCTTGAATCCGAGACTAAAATTGCATATCAACTGAATATGGAATCCGTAGATTTTACATATGATTCCCGGTATTCGAGCCATCTGAAGCCATTTGAAAATCATTTACCTTTCCTCCACTCAACTCGGCGACAATGACCAAAAATCCGACTAAACGCCAAACCAGGAAGAGGTATGTTTTGCCCGTGGAGGATCATCCACTCCGTCTAATTTAGGATCGATGGGGCCACGGCTGAAGGCGAACAGGATACGCAAAAGGAGAAGAAGTCGGGCGGGAAGAGCCAGATGGGCGCCGTCAGCCGTCAGAAGTCTTCGATGACCACGGAGATGGACATGACCACCGACGACGAGACGCAGAGGCAGAAGCGCCAGAGCAGTCGTCAGTCGAAAAAGGTTTCAGTGGCATATCGGCCCCCGAACGTTATTTCAGCCGGCCTCGCGCAACACCCAGAAAAAAAACACAAAAACCACCGTGCCCACCTACACACCAGAAGTCCACGCCGCCACCGAAAAGTTCTTTCAACACATCAATGAAGTGGAAAAAGATGTTTATAAACCAATATACATTCAGGTGGGGGTGATGGGGATGTGCAAGGAATTCGACGAGATCAAGGCCTACACGGCACCAGGCGCCACGTCCGACATTGGGGCCAAGCATCCGGAGAAGAATCGATATGCTGTAAGCCGACTTGAGAAGTAGCCAAAGTTGTTCCTCTTGATAGGACATCACTTGTCTGGATGCCACGAGGGTGGTCTTGCGAGATGACGTCGGCAATTATACCTCGGCTGACGGCGACTACATCAATGCCAACTGGGTCACTGCCGAAGGTACCATCATCGGTACTAGACCATTAGCCGGGGGGGGGGGCGTAATTTTGGCCCATCGGCTTTAGTTTCCCAATGAGGACATGACGGAGTAGTTATGAACAGTTTACCCACGCCGCTCTCAAGTATAAAACATTCCTAAAAAAATACTAAAGTTTGCGAAAGCCTTCGAAAAATCTTTACTTTTTAAAAGTTTTACAACTTTTTACGAATTTTAGTAGTCAAAAACTTCTAAATACTAAAGCACACCAGGAAACGTAAGCAAATTTTGCTAGGTACGTGGTAGCTAACTACCCCCCCCGTAAACAGCCTAATATCGGATCATTCATTCATGAAGTAACCACGTCTAGACCTCGACCGGAAATATATCGCTTGCCAGGGCCCAAAGCCCGAGACCATCGAAGATTTCTGGCGTATGGTGTATCAGGTATGCCCGGAGGCTTCAAACAAACGGCAACCCACCTAGGAGTCTGTGGTCAGCGTCATCATGATGTGCCGTCTGGAGGAAGGGGGCAAAATCAAGTGCGCCGACTACTTTCCCACCAAGAGCGGCGACTACAAGAACTATGGGAAAATGTTTGTCAACAACAAGAAGGTCAGCGTAGTAAAACATCCCTTCAAAAACCTGTATCTAGGTTGAGAGCGAGGACCGCTTTGACACGTACACCCTGGAGGTGTTGCCGGATGGTTGCTCGAATTCAGTGATCATCAAACTTCTTCATTGCGCAATGTGGCCCGACCAAGGGGTACCCAGCTCGGGTCGTATGGTTCTGCGTATGTTGAAGCTGGCAAAGGTACGCAATGGGGTGCGCTTCTCCATCTGCTTTGCAGGAGGCTGGCCAAGGGCCCACTGTCGTTCACTGTTCCGCCGGCGTCGGCAGGACTGGGACCATACTCGCCATCGAAATTGTGACAACGCGTTTGCTGAAAGGCAAAGAAGTCAACGTACATTTCGATTCGCGGCATACACTCTCAGCTCAGGTGCCCGACGTGATCAAAGAGATCCGTAATTGCCGTGCTTCGTGTGTTCAGAGCGACCGTCAGCTCCTATTCATATACACCACCGTCATGGATTATCTGAAGGTTTGATCAAAAACCCCTTTAGCACCCCTATTCCAGGCCAAAATGCTGGCGGGCAAATACGCCGCGGATATGAGGCGCTTTATCAAGGACATCGGCGATATGGACCAGCCGGGGAAGAGCTGAACTCTGGTGCACCCTCGACAGCATTAAATGACTTATGCTCGAACCTTACTTTTTAATTCCCTTACAAATTTCGTTTTCCTGTAGACCTGCAATCGCTACTCGATCAGACCATTGTGATGAATTTGTTAATCAATAAAAAATAGATGAAATGTCACGGATGAGAAGTGTTCACCCGGATCACCCAATTTTAAAGTCAGCGTCAAATCGTCTACCTACTGCGCGTGAAAGTTTCTCGTCTATTCGACCCGGCTGACCCTGTCAACTAACTTAGCGCCGGCAGGGGAGAGGCCGATTTGCCAGCCAGCTGGCCCGGAGGCGCTGAAGCATTAGGGTTTAGGTGGAGAGTGAGGGCGCTAGAGACCCCTAACGGGAAGCAGCAGAGTCGACATCGGGACAACCTATGCCCTGAATTTTATTTTAATGGACTCGGTCTACGATATCGTCGAAAGTAAGCTTTTAAGACTACACGTCAAACATCGAAAAGGTATCCATTTCTTCATCCCCTTGGTCGCTATCGCATTGATATGTGGCTTGCTCTACCTCTACTCCAAAGAACAGGATGAAGAAGTTATTGGTGCGAGCGTAAACCATGGTATGTGTAACACTTTTACCCATTTAGCGTTTTATTAGATAAAAACATCATCGGTTAAGAACATCCGGGATAAGTAGTGAGATAAATTGCAAAGTTCAAAATTTACTAGTTAACTTTTCAGCGACGGTTGACAAGAAAAACGACTAGTTCTCGGAAACCACTGCACATTTTGTGCATTCGCCAATAAATATTCGCATATACTGTTCTTCACATAACGAAGTCTCGGGTTAGCGGGTTAAAAAGCTTCAGAGAAAAATGTCGCTGGCGCGATTATGCAGAACATATAAAATTGATGTGTGAGAACATCACAGATCAACATAAAATTGTGGTCAACGGCAGATGAGCTATAGAGGACGAGAGCCAGGGTCGTCTCAGTTGCCAGCACCAAGACGAACAGTTTCCGCGACGAATGCAGCGAACGCACCGTTATCGTCGAATTGAGCATACCTAGGAAAAGTCTTGATCAAAAATGAGATGCTACCTTTGGAAAAATGGATGGGCCGTCAACGTTTTCAGGTTTGCACGCTCAACCGGCAACTTTTTGAGACATTTGGTGACAAAATCTAGAACAGTACGTAGTTTATCATAGGCTCTAATCACCAACCAATGCATTCGTCGGTGAAGATGTTCTTGGGCAACGTCGGCGGCGGTCCATTGACAATATAGTCCAGCATCTCGAAGATGGCCATCGACGCTGGTGGGGCCGACGAGCTCGACTGGGCTGCCTGAAAAGAAAACAGATAATTGAGTCAAGAAAACGGGAACCTCGGCTCTGTTGTCGGCTAAGACGATGTCCTCCTCGGCGACTTGGAAGATGTTTGCAAACTCTTGCTTTGTTATGCCGGGTACGGGATATCTAAAAAGGCTTGAGGCAAAAATTATGAGACCTACTTGCCAACCAGCAATTCCACCAGTGAAAGGCCAAAAGACCAGATATCGGAGAGGATGCTGTACTGCGATCCGGTCAGGCGTTCCGGCTAAACTGAGAATAGTTCAACGCTCATAAACCCACAGCCATGTAGCTACGGGTTCCAACGAACGAGTTGGCCATGCTGTCAATCAACATTCCCGACACACCAAAGTCGCAAAGCTTGATTTCGCCGCTGGTATTGACGAGCATATTGGATGGCTTGACATCTAACAAAAACTTGAAATTAATCGTCGCCTTCAAACCTCTGTGCAAAATTTTGATCTCATCCTTCAGGTAAGTAAGCCCACGCACAACAGCCACAGAGATTCGGCCAACAAATGGCTCTTGCAGACGGCCAACCTAAAAAAATATACAAGGAACGTGGGACAATAACCACGCGCTGCAAGATGATATCGAGCGATAGGCCGTCCATATATTCCATGCAGATAGATATGTCATTGTTGTCCACAAAGGCACCATAGAAGCCGACGATGAAGGGAGAATTGCACTTGTGAAGCACCGCCAATTCTGAAGCAAGAAAAAATGTGTTAAATGAACCAGCCACTTACCTTTCTGAATCTGCGTGCGAACACTTGGCTTGACCTCGAGATGAACGAGCTTGCGAGCCATTATCAGGCCACGCGTCTTATGGCGAACCTTGTTGACGACGCCGCCATTGCCGTGGCCGAGTTCGCCGAGCGTCTCGAATTGGTCCTCGCTCAGCTCGTTTTCCTATGAAAGAATTGAGGATCGAAGAGAGAAACTCACATTGATGCCCTCCTTCATCTGAATCCATTCGTCCATGCGCTGCCGCTGCGGCTCCGTCAGGCCAAGGCGCTTCAACTGTTCATCGAGGGACACTTTGGCGATGGGAACCTGAAAATGAAAAGAAGTCAGTGGCAGGAATAGCTTGGAATACCTCCTCAGCTTCGCCCGGCTCGTCACGCTGCGCCTCCTCACTGACGGTGGGCGGGAGGCTTAGCCCAAGTGGGTTGCGGCGTTTTCCACTTGACATTCTGAAACGCGGGATTGTTGCCGGGGTGTTGAGAAGGGAGTGGTTGAAAGTTTCGATTTATACAAGAGGGTAATACGGCAACAGCGAACTGAAGAAGCAAAACCTCGAAAAGGCCGAATGTATGTAGGGGGTAATTTTGAGTTTAGCAGGATTATACGAAGACCAGCGCCCAAAACCCGCTTCGCGGGCCTTGGGAGCTGGAATGCGGCCTTTGCATGAGAAATTTGACTTTTCGATAGCTCGGGTCCTGCGGACTCCCACCGACCAAACTCGCGAGTGCAACTGGCTAGAATGATGAAATTTTTTCACTTGCAAATTAGCCCTCCCGGATACCGGACCCACAGACATCCAGAGCGACACGCCAAAATTATAGGCTGCGAAGATTACCTAGCCTTCGTAGAAATAAGTATACGACTCATACGAATACAGAATAATAATTTGAAAAATAAGGTGGAAAAATTGGGAAAAGTCTAAAACAACGGCTAAAACAACGCCGAGATGGGTTGAAGCAATTTCAGGCCCAGAAGCATGCTTATACGAAGAAAGTAATGGAAAACGGGTTTATACGAAGAGAGTAATGAGGGAAACTATACTCATAGTGTCGAAAAGTTCAAAAAAGAGAATTCGACACGCTACACAGCTAGGGCAATTTTGAGCGAGATTTAGAAACGAAAGGGCGTCATAGTTATGGTCGTCCCAATCAGAACCGCGCATTAAAGACACCTTCATGCCCCAATGTGGCTTGGCCAAATAAAGTCGAATACTACGAATTGGGGAATGTAGCGGTGGCCCAGTATGTCCCACCCGACCCGGGCCCCCGTATTATCCGGATGATCCGGGGTGGCCGGAGTGGGGCGCGTGGTAATGGCAACCAGCCCGCCCCCTTGTTCCTAATTCGACATGGCTAATCGGGGGGCCCTGGATTTGCCGGCTTCCGCCCCACTTTCTATTCTTCAATTCAAACGAATCAACTGAAGCTATTCAGCCATACCAAACTCTTTGCGGGGCAACTCACGCATTCGCCCCGGCCCCCGTCCATTGGGGTCCCGCGTTTCCGCGCCTAATTTTTGCACCCGCTGCGATTTTTACTCCCCCAACTTGGTTTATTTTTAAAATTTTAAAATTTTAATCTTGCAAATCTGGAAAGGACCCCCTAGTAAATCTTCTGGAAAAGAAACCCGGGGGGCTGCCCGTCCTCGCGGCCCGAAAATTTATTTTAAAACCCTTGATTTCTTTTCTTTTTCTTGATTTTGATAGGTGCTTTCTTGTTTTGTAAGACCTGTATAGCCTAGTAATCTCAAAGATTTCATATAAAATTGAAATAGACTGTGAGAGACACATTTCGGGCCGCAGATGTCCTGAAACCGGAAAATACCTCCTCGATTTAATGGGAAAATGAGATTCTAGAGGGTGTAATTTCCTTTTCTATTGCCATTTATTATACAAAACAATTCAAGCGTTTAGGCACCCATGCAAAAGCCGAAGAAACCTAGTAAGAAGCCGAAAGCCGCCGAGCAAGAAGCCAAACCACTGTAAGCCAGGCATTACCCAGAATTTCTATAGATTTTTTAGGAAACCTAAACAAAAACGCTCCCTGAAACGTTTCGAGAAGCAAAAGCGAAAGAATGTGCGCCAGACGGTTGAAGAAATTGTGAAAGAATACGACTCGTTGAAAGAGGTTTTTTACGAATTACTTTGCTATGCATGAATTTGTAGAAGCCCACGACAGCCTTTCGAACATTCAACGATTTTCCGCTTTCGACGGCCACGAAAAGTGGATTGGACGAAGCGGGGTAAGGTGGATCTTACGATTGGTTGTATTGCTTGAAGATTCATCACGCCGACCGAAATCCAACGGGATTCGCTGCCCCACTCATTGCGGGGTGCTGATTTGATTGGGGCGGCCAAGACGGGAAGCGGAAAAACCCTGGCCTTGGTCATTCCGGTAATTTGCTGGGGTGGTACCAAAGTAGATTTAACCACCCTGATTTAACTACCCTGCTTAAATTTAACCACCCATGGTTAAATTTTAACCATCTATGGTTAAATTGTAACTACCCATGGTTAAAATTTAACCACCTAACGCGAAAATTTAACCACCCATCCAAAATCAATTGATCTAATTTATCGATAGAAATTCTTTGGAAGAAAGCAACGTGAACCCAATTTATCGCTTTCCTAAACGATCCATCGGCGTATGTATAAAGCGACTGCCTTCCCAGGGCCCTCCGGAATCGAAAGGGACTCCTCAGTGTATTCGGTCTTTTGGGTGCGTTCCGAAAATGTAGACCATTTTTATAATGTATTTGGTAGGTTTGGCTGCTAGGAAGTTATAGATAAAAATTTTTTAGGTATTTTGAAAATCTTGAACATGTTGAGCTTTTTTGGCCATTTTAACCAACGAGTCCAAATTCTCTCGAACAATGTTATAAGTTTTCGGATTTTTATATCTAAAAGAGTATAAAATACTATAAAAATTGCCTATATTTCGTCATAGAGCCGTCCCAAATTATGCACGAACCGCAGGCGAAACGGGGAGATTTGTCGAAAAAATTTATGATTTCCTAATTTCGAATAGGATAAGTTACATTATACGAAAGGACTAGGTGGACGTGGCCAAAAAGCCTGCTGCGTTGGGACCCTTAGGAAAACGGCTTCCCAAGTTACTTGTTGTGAGCGATCGGTGTCCAATTAATGCGAATCCTCGTGGTAACAAAGTATCCAAAATATGCGGATTTATCGAAACGAAGATTGGGGAGTGATGTCTAAAGAGAGAATATCAAAAAAGGGAGGCGGAGTGATTCCGTTGTAATCTTTGATGAAAATTTTTGCCATCCGGAAGCCGGGAGGTGGCTAACTTATCCTAAAAAAATTTAACTAGGGTGGTTATATGTTTCGTGAAAACGTTTTCACGAAATATTTAACCGTGGGTGGTTAAATTTTTGAGGTGACTTTTATGCCCATAAACCACCGTCTACGGCCCTAATATCTTTAACACATGCTAGAATATCGTCTAAAGAAACCATATTCATCTTATTGGTGAGTTTGAATTTCGGCGGAATTTTTAACATGGTTTATAAAAAGTAATACTTTTTGGGTGGTTAATTTTTTTGGTTTTTGGCCCTCGATGAGTTAATGTTTAACCACCTATGGTTAAAATTAAACCATGGGTGGTTAATACTTAACCATGGATGGTTAAAAATTAACTATGGGTGGTTATGGTTTAACCATCGTGGTTAAATTTCCAAGCTCCTTTCTAGCCTTTCCAAGTATTGCACCAAAAATGGTTAGCGGTATTCGATCAAGCCTTTGAAGAAACCTATCCGTGAATTTTGCGATCTTTCTAGACCTCTTGATTGTCGTAGAAACCATCCTCCAAAAGTTAGCTTTTACCATTGGCTTTGGGCGGTTAAAATTTAACGATGGGTGTAAAATTTTAACTATGGGTGGTTATAATTTAACCATGGTGGTTAAATTTTAACCACGGTGGTTATGGAGCTTTGGTACCACCCCTGAGCAGTAATCGAATTTAGTTTAGTTGCTCGAGAATCTGTGGAGGAATCGATGGACTCATGATGAAGGGTTGGGAGCTGTAATTATTAGCCCCACCCGAGAGCTGGCCTTACAGACTTTTAACACAATCAACACGGTGCGGGATTCTTTTTTCAATACCCCCGAATTTTAGATCGGAAAATATCATGATTTTTCGTGCTGCTTGATGATTGGAGGCGGGACCGACATCGAATTCGAGAAGGCCCGTATCGGGCGGATGAACATTATCGTCTGTACCCCGGGTCGGCTACTACAACATCTCAACGAGAATGAGACGTTTTACGTTGGTTGATCACTATATTCATTCACATTTTTTAGCCGGAACAGCTCCAAATTCTCGTGATCGACGAGGCTGATCGAATTCTGGACATGGGCTTTGCAAAGCAGGTGTGATTTTACTTTGAACGCTGAGAATAAATTGTAGATGAACGCGATCGTCGAGTCGTTACCAAAAGAAAGACAAACCCTCCTTTTCTCAGCAACGCAAACGAAGAATGTTGCTGATCTGAGCCGCGTTTGCACGAAGGTTTCCTGTCATCCCTGAGCTGGTTAATTTATTCTTAGGACCCTGTCTTTGTATCTGTGCACGAGGAAGCGGACAGCGCCACACCGGACAAGTTGGAGCAGCTGTATCTGGTCTGCGAAGAAGAACAAAAGGTATTTTAGCCAAGTCTTCCGAACTTGCGATTACAGCTAAACATCCTTTGGTCATTTATCACTGCACATCGCAAGGCGAAGACGCTGGTTTTTGTTAGTACGTGCAAGCAGGTATTTCGACTACTTATGCCAACATCTCCTGTAGGCCCGCTTCATCTATGAAGCCTTCCACAAATTAAATCCGAGCGTGATTTTATTGGGTCTCTGGGGATCGATGAAGCAAAGCAAGAGGATTGAGGTTCATGAGAGCCCGTTTTTTAATTGTTTTTTAGGTTTTTGAAAAATATCAGAAAACCTTCCACGCTTGTCTAGTCGCGACGGATGTGGCAAGTCGGGGTCTTGACTTCAGTGGCGTGGATTGGGTTGTCCAAATTGATGCACCTCCGGAAATCGATGATTACATCCATAGGTTACCTCAAATTCACACGACATATTTTTTCCTTAGGGTTGGCCGTACCGCACGTATGGATAAGGGTGGCGAATCATTGCTATTCCTTACGCCTAATCAAGAAGAACCTATGGGAAATTTGTTGAAACAGCGCAAGATCCCTGTTAGCAAAATGGAGTAGGCGACCGTCATTTTTCATAACGAAAATTTAGCGTTGACCCCCGAAGCCAAAAAGATATACAGCGAAAACTGCAATCGACTCTAGCCCACCATCCTGAGCTTCACGACTTTGCGCAAAGGGTATCTTCGTCTTTTGTTACCATTTTTTTCTGTCAGGCCTTTGTATCCTACGTTCGGTCGGTATTTGTGATGAAAAATAAGGACGTTTTTGACGTGGAGAAAATTCACACCAAAGAGCTGGCAGAATCGATGGGGCTAGTTTCCGTGCCCAGAATCAGGTTTTTGAAGCGCCAAGGCATCGAACTCGGAAAGGAGGTATTTTTTGGAGATCTTGGCGATTACTCTTTTTTTTAGAAGCCCACTAAACCTTCGGTCGAATTTTCTGCTGGAAATGGTTTCGGCGATTTGGTTGACGATATTGCTGCAGATGATTTGTTTGCCGTCAAGAAAAAGGACATTTTTGCGGTCGAGGAAGAGGCCGAGGCAGAGCCGGAAGAAGAAACGAAACCGCAGAAGAAGGGCCGCATCCTGACGAAAGAGGAATTGGCTCGTAAAATTTTGAACAAGAACGTCAAGGTAGGATTTTTTAACTTGCTGCCTGAAGCTCGTATTGTTAGGTGAACACACGTACGGTATTCGAGGACCCGGAAGATAGCGATGGAGAAGGTGAAAGGGAGGTTGATAGACCAGCTGCTGGCCCGTCGGAAGGATTGGATATCGAAGAGGCCAAGAAGGAAAAGGCGCTGAAGGACAAGGTTTGCCGCTTATTAAATCCTAATCTTTTTTAGGGTGATCGAATTGCCTATAGAGCTCGCTTGAGAGAACTAAAGAAACAGAAGAAACTAAAGGAAAGGAAAACGAAGGTAAAGCTGATTTAATTTTAGTTGAGTTTATTTTCTAGACCAAAAAGACGGAAGACGACGAGCTGGAGCTGGGAGACGATGATGATAGAAGTGATGATGAGGGTCCGGACCTATCATGGCTTCCGAAACCGGTCGGCTACGATAGTGATGAAGAAGACGGTAACTTAACCTCTTTTCTCAATGCTTCTTCTCATAGATTTGCCGGCCGAGTACGACCCCTCGCTGGACACGAAACTCGAGGAGAAGAGGGCCAAGGCACTCGACAAACAAAAGGTTTGCATTTGTTAACTCCTAACATTCCTCGGCAGAAACGTCCTGCGGCACCGGTGAACGGGATGGCGAAGAAGATGAAGCGCTCGGCGGAGTTGTCCTCGATGGCTGACGTCGAGCAGCAGGCACTCGCCCTGCTCAGCCCATTTTAGGCAATTGTTATGCTCACAAACTTGTTGATTTTTGCTTGGTGTTTTTGTTGATTTGTCTGTTGGATTGAATAAATCGTCGTAATCAACAAATGGCTGTTTTTTTCTACGGGTTCTGTGCCCTCACTGTGCTTTTCTGATTGAATTGTGAGGTTTGTTGTCGCGGTTAGAGGAGCAAGTGAACTTTTCTAGGATGACGGTCTACTATCCAACGCAAAAGATCGGTCCGTCCGATGTGCAGCATCGGAAGACGAACAAATCTGCGCTATATTGGAAGCGCATGAAAGAGGTGTCCGCATTTGCCGAATCGACCCACATCACCTCCGTAGCCATCTCTCCAAAAGCGCCTCACCATATCGCGTGCACGAGCGGCGTTCGTCTGAACTTCTATGACGCCCATTGGTCTGTTTTTGGTTTTTATAAATAGGCAATTTCTACTTCTATCAAAAATAAAAAAATTTCTACGGGCTCTTTTGGCACTATACTGGTTAGGGGGGGCCACTTTGGGTACCTATTAGGAGACCCTTTTTTATCGCCTTTTGGAGTCTTTCTGGAATAGTTTTTTACGCTGAGTGGGATTAGAGTCGCAACAGCATGCCAAACCGTTGCAACGGTTTATCCAGAAAAACTGGGTAAAAATTTATTAATAAAAAGTGTACTTATGCACAATTTGAGGCTTGCCGCATTGTCATGACTCTGTTGGAGCCAGGGCAATGCCAGCCAGAGCAGGCACTCTGTTGCACGGGGCGCACCTGCCGGCATGGTAACGCCCACCGGCACGGCTGCTGGCGCTGCTGCACGGTTGCTGGCGAACCAAAACTCAGCGCGGATGCTAGCACAGCTTCTGGCACGGCTGCTGGCACACCTCGAGAGGCGGCAAACAGGCCAGATTTGGCACGGCTGCCGGCGCGGTACTCGGCGCGGCTGCCGGCACAGCGGTACTGCACGCCTGCCGGCAGACCACTGTCGCGGAGCCGCAACGCGCCATAACTTACAAAAATTTCTGCCTCGCGCTAAGTATTGTTTTTGTCATAATAATTCTTCAAGACTTATTATATTGCCTCATTTATGTCATTTCCAAGAGGTGTAAGGTCGCCATGGGCTACGCCATCAGCTACGCCATCAGCTACGCGGTTTCTTGCTTACTAATAGGTACAACTTGCTTGTTATACGCGCAATATTTCAGGTGAAATCTTTTGACCACAATTATGAGGCAAGAAAAGTCTAGCAGCATGCTTCATGGTCGAAGAACCGACTGGATTGATGATATTTAGCAGGTACATTGCTAATCGAGTTTAGATAAAAGCTTTTCGATCGGCAATCCTGTCCGGTAACTGATTTACCTTGAAAATATGGATATTTGCCCCATGTCACATGCAACGATTGTTTTGTGAGTATAATTTACCATTTTTTTACCTCTATCGTCAACGTTTAATCGTAAGTTCACCAAGAAAAAGTTTGGCTCCGATTTATGAACAATAGAAAACCAAAGAAACCAACTAATTTAGTTATTCCTGCGGCTCCCGGTTCAAATACGCGACGGTGACGGCGATATGCTTCAGCCACCACTTAAACGCAATAAAAAATAAGCAATGCTGTTTTTATATGCCGAAAAATAAGCGTAAGGTGCGCCGGGAGCCGTGCCACAGCCATTTTGGGCCCAGTTGCCGGCGCGGCGTGCCGGCAGGCGTGCCACGGCACGGTTGCGCCGCGCGACATTCGGCAGCCGCGCCGATTGTGTGCTGGCAGCCGCGCCATTCGAAACAGAGCAAGGTGGGCCGTCGCTTCGGATGGCCTGCCGCTCTACTCTTCCGAAATCGGGGCGCCAGGGCGCTTCGCGCTGCTCGGGCGCCCCGATTTCGAAACCCTGTACGAGCTCGCACCCATCCGAAGCGACTAGGCCCCCGGTGGCACGAAGCCTTATTTTTAGGTCAATACCGAATGTCTTCATCTCTAACGCTTAACAAACGTTTAGATAATGATGTTTTACTACTTTGATTTTGTTATATTCGAAACCAGCACAAAAAACTAGCCTAGAAAGACTCAAAAAGTCGAAAACCAAAGTGACCCCCCCTAACCAGTATAGTGCCGCTCTTTTCGTAAAATAAGCTTTAAACAAGGTGGTTGATTAAAGGGCTGCCGACGGCAGTGTCGATCCCCCCATCATCAAATTGGCAAGTAGCCAACAGGGCAGAGAGCGCGCCCTGGGGAGAGGCGCAGAGACATTATCTTTCCAGCGCGTAATCGAATGCCTATGCCGTCGGCATCCCTTTAAACGTGTTCTTTTTCAGGACCGAGCCCGTCACGCAGATCACTCGCTTCAAACGCCCGATCTACGGCGCTACTTATCGCAGTGACGGCGAATTGATTGGTGAGAAAGTGTTACGCGAAAATGTCGTTTTTTGAGCCATTGGCGGAGACGAGGGGAAGCTACGAATATTTGATGCACAAAGAGGGAGCTCCCGTCAAAAGGTAGGAGTTTTTCTGATCAAATTACGCCAATCCTAGGGGGCGCTTCGTGTGGCCAAGTCCGGCGATGCTAGTCTGCACACCATCCGCTTCAGCGCTTCTGGCAAAACGGTATGTCTAAATTGCTTGCTAAACTTTTTTGCAGGTATTCTCGATGGCCGATGACGGCGTTGTGAAACAGTTTGATGTCATCGATACGTCGTCCGAAGCTTTATTTTCCTTCAAGGTATTTATAATCTTGATGCAACATCCTCGAGCTAAATTTAAGGCTCACAAGGATTCAATCAGATGTGGAGCGGCCTCGTCGGCAAACGAGCATCTGATTTTGACGGGCAGCTACGATCAAACGGTGAATTTTACCTTTAGACAATTATACATTCCTTGAAGGTGAAATTGTGGGATACTCGCGTCGATCCGAACACCGCTGGGGCACAAATGTATGTTTTAAAGGTTTTAATTTAAAACACAACATATTTTAGTACGATGAGCGTCGGGGCTCCAGTGGAAAATCTGCTCTATTTGCCGAACGAGAATTTGATTGCTACTGCGGCAGGGAACACTGTTCAGTGCGTTTTTCGATCATATTGCCAATTTTTAGGACTAGGGAAAGTTTCCATAACTTTATTTTTTAGAATCTGGGATATCCTGGCTGGTGGCCGTCTTCTGACGCCTCTGCAGGTACTCTTTATATTTTTGCACGATAATCCCTTATCCTAGATCCATCACAAGACTGTTACTAGCCTGTGCTTGGCGGAACATGGTAAAGTGCTACTGACCGGAGCCATTGACCGCCGGTTTAATGTTGTCAACCTTGCCGACTTCAAGACGGTATGTTATTCCAACTCGTGGTCAAATGAGTTGCCTCCAGACCTGCTCGTTGACAATGGCGAACCCAGTGCTGGCGATTGTCATCTCGCCAGATGATGAGACGATGGCTGTTGGTCAGGGAAACTTGCTGACGTTGCACAGACGGTATTTGCGGTAGCTTTTCGATCCCAATTTAACTTTAGAGCACCAGAGGCCGATCGTTTTACGAGTTTGGACAAGACGAATGAAAAATCGGTGATGCGTGCCAGCGCTCCGGCTGTTGTTACAAAAGTTAAAGGTATCAATATACGTAAGCTTGCATTCGCTGAGTCACAACGTCATGTCTATCGGCTTTATTCTTGGGTTTTTTCCGCTGAAAATTGTTGTTTCTTTATTTGTTCAAGGGACTTATAGAAATTACTTGGAAATCTTGATGAAATTAAAAATTTCCAATTGATTCTTGTCTTTTAGGTGGCGAGAAAGAGGTGGTTGAGCTGACTGCAAAACAAGCGGATCAGGTAAGGATGTGTTTTACATTAAAATCCAGATTTAGTTTTACTTGCCGAAATTAGACCGACTGCTGCGTAGCTACGAACACCACAAGGCCGTCGAAATGATTTTTGGCCACTCGGATTTACACGTGAAGAAAGTTGACTATGTAAGCGGCGTTTGAGCTATAATATATTCCTCTCTAGGTGGTTGGTATCTTGAGAAGAATTGCCTATCGCGGTGCATTGCGTCCCGCATTTGCCGGCCACGGAGCGCAACGACAATTGGCAATTTCCAAGTATCTCTTTTTACATTGGTTGCATTATTTCCAGGTTCTTGTGCCGCAACTTATTCGTCCCGCCGTACTTTGATACAATCCTCGCCGTCACGGAAGCCGTTTATGGTGAGTGGAAAGGAATTCATCAAAATGAATTTTTCAGAAGTGTTTGCCGAAGAAGAAATCACCCCGAAAGTTGTCCACCAGTTGAACCGTTTGCGGGTAAAATTTGCAACCCATATAATCTATCTTTTTTAGGATTTTGTGCGACGTGAACTAGAGGTGCAGAAAGAAATCTCGCAGATGGCCGGATCGTTGGAATTGGTACTCCGGGGCGCAGAACACGGTTCACAGGCCAAGAAAATCGAAGAAGATTTGGTGAGTTTCTATTAGTGCCCGGAATTCCGTGTTTAGGAAGTTTTCGGTGCGCCTGTTGTCGTTTCACTTCGCTTGAACCCGAACGCAACGGCATAGTTGGCACGACAGAGATGACAATTAGTTGTTGAATTTTTGTTTTTGTTGCTTTTTTTTCAGATAAAACGGTTTGGTGGAATTCACTGTTTTGCTGGGCACAATTACGGATGCAATTTATACAACCCTTTGTTTTGCTTTTGAGATTAAGATGATGATATCAATGGGAATGACCGGGAATCCGGAGGAGATCATTACAAAGTCGTTAAGTGAAAACAAATACCGGTAGTCAAAAGGCAACAAATAGAACTTGATATGGTTAAACGATTGAAGAGCTACGCATTCAACAGAATAGCTCTGATTTCTTCGAGATCCTTGGCCGACTTGAGCTTGATGCGTAGACTGTCCGGGATGGTTTGGGTTTGCTCGATTCGTTCGAGTACGTTAGAAGCATCCTAGACTCACGAATTAGGGGTTGAGGGAAATGGCTTACCTTTAGCACATCTTCTGGGAATCCAACCATACGTGCAACGTGTAGGCCAAAGCTGCGCTCGGCAACTCCGGGGCGCACCTAAACCGGGAATCACGTAAAATTTCCTAGAAATACCTCGTAGAGGAGCACGATTTGGTTACGTTCAGCTTGGACGGCCATCTGGAGGAAAGGTTAGAATCGGGAACGCCGGGATACCTGCATAGCTCTCGCGCCCTCTTGATCACAAATCGCAGCCATCTCGTGGAAGTGGGTGGCGAAGAGACAGAGGCACCGCACACGCTCCAGCAGATCGCTGAAATGATTTTGAGGAAGGAGATCATGCATCAACTAACCAGGCGATTGCCCAAGCCAGGCCAAAGCCGTCGAAAGTCGAGGTACCACGTCCAAGCTCGTCGACAATGACAAGCGAATCCGAAGTAGCCGTCTGGTATAATTGATTTTCCAATAATATTAAAAATTGTACTTGCAGAATCGTGGCAGAGTCGACCATTTCGGCCATAAAAGTCGAGATGCCGCGACATTGCTGATCCGATGCTCCAATCCTAAATTAAATTGGTTAGACAAAAAGGACAAAGTACCGCGTGAAAATGGCGTCAACGATGGACAGCTTGGCATCGGTGGCCGCCACCCATGAGCCCATTTGGGCCATGAGGGCACAGAGCGCCGTTGATCGTAGATACGTGCTCTTGCCACCCATATTTGCGCCGGTGAGGATCACCATCCGGTCCTTCTCGTCTAAATCATCCGGTAAAGGAGAAAGCTGTCTGCAAACCAAGCTTGACGTCATTGGGGATGAAGGCAGAGTCCTTGACTACTTCTAGCACTGGATGACGGCACTGCTTCACCTCGAAAATACCGGTTCCTGGAATGGAGGTACGAATTTCATGGCCTGTTGATGGCTACCCAAAAAAACTTATTTTTAGTAGCACCTGTTTAAACCCTTGAAATATGCTTGTTACTGGGCGGTGTAAACTAATTTTTATCTTTCCGTCTATCTCTACCTATTAATAATCATGTTTTTATAAAGATTTTGGTAGTTTTTGATAGCTAAAAAGTCACAAAAATTATTGAAAACATTTTTAGACCGAAAATCCCGGCCTTTGTTGGGACTTTCCATACATCAAAAATTTGTATAACCCCCCTGGTAATAGACCAGAACCATATGTTTTTCGAAAGAACTTTGTCTTAACAGTGCGAGTAGACGGCTTTTTCAAAATGCCGACATTCTTGGTAATCGTTCCTGGCAAGTTTCGGCATTCTAATACGAATCCTAATAAATAACCACCCATTGGCAACAGCTTCGGCTTCGTGTAGGTGCGACTGGACTCGGCAGCCAGTGTCGCCAGAGAAGCGATCACGTCAACAATGGCCAACGAGGAGGATAGGGTGGATAAAGCACTCGCATATCCACAACACGTCTGCACCACCTGGGACTCGAGATCCTCTTGAGCGCTGGCGTATAACTTCTCCGCGTCCAGGTATTCCGCATTCAGCGCGTCCAGATTGTCATCTCTGAAAAACAATAAAAGATTTTGGACGCTGTAAAAAAATACTCAAACTGATCAAATCAAAATCGAAATCTACCTGAAACGAACGCCGTTACCCTTGCTCGTGTCCAGAATCAGAAGACCTCGTGTATTTCGAATGCTTTTCTCTTCTTTTAGAGTGACACGGTAGAAGTATCCGTACTGCGAATTTCGGTCCAACTTGAGCTCGACTCCAAGACGGTCTCCTGCCTAAAACTTGACTGAATGATAAGAACCACGAACCCCCACCTTACTGGCAGCCTTCGTGCACTTTTTGTCCAGGGCCTCCATTTCCTGAGACAACTTGAGCAGCTCGGGGTCGATTTCCGGCTTGATCCGGAAGGCACCTGAAGCAAAGTTGATACTAAGAATCCGCTATGCACCTGTTTTCTCGAAATACTCCACGTCCACGGTACTCCGGATTAGTTCGATAAATTTGTCGAATTGGTAGACGGCATGGGAAATCGGTTCCTGAAAATAGAGAATTTTTGATGTACATTGAATAAATCCTACCAAAAGCAGCTCCTTGACTTGTGATGAATAGGCTTTGCTGGACTGGACGAGGGCGTGGAGGTCGTGTTCGAGTTGTCGCAGCACGCGTACGGATTGATAGACACGGAAACAGTCCTGAAAAGGAGGAAAGGTGGTGATCAAATCTATGCTTACCTGTAGCTTCGCGCGGTATTGTAGCAATTTGTTGGCGAGCTGCCCCAAATCCGGCAATTTTCCGAGGAGAGCCTGGATCGATTGGCGTACATCGTCAGCTTCAACGAGGGCCGAGACGACATCCTGAATACAATCCGAAATTTTTTTAGATTCGTAAAACCACAAAGAATAAAAAAAATCGTAGATAGCAGCTGGAAATCACGCAAACATTACCTGCCGCTCCTCAATCTGTCTCAAATCAGACAGCGGGCGAGCAATCCAGTCTCCTAGATGGAAATTGAGATGATGAAAAGGCGTCCATACTGAGCATCTTCTGGCCGGGCAGCGTCTTGCACTTGTTCATCACGGAGAACAGGGTGGCGCTGGCGGTGAGATTATCTGACGGCCGTTATAATCTTCGAAATCCAACATACTCGACATCTCAAAAAGCTCGAGGGCTTCCACGGCAGCAGCATTGATGTTGAGGAAGCCGGTCGTACGGTAGTCGCACAGCTAAATTTAGGGATTACTAGATCTAATTTGTATCGATTTTTACAACTAATTGATTGCGATGAAAAAGTTTGACATTAATGCGCTTCTACCAGCCAGCCATCAAGTATGACTATTATAGCGTTCATTAATGCCATAAACGACCCAATGTTTGTGACCCGGAAAGACAGCTGCTTGATAAGGTGATACGGAAATTTGGGACATCAAACTGCTTCCTCCTCTCATTCTTTCACATATTGCCGCTAACATCCTACACCCAAAATGTTCTCCTTCCTCAGTGGGGTCACGAAGAAAGTTAACGGTATATTTTGCATAGTATATCCGTTTCCAACAGCATTTCTTCAATCTATTATTTTGTTTTCAGATGCCGCCCTGGATACCATGAAAGTAGTGAAACAACAATTGGAGACGATGCAGGTTAGTTATTAAATTACCAATACCTCAATAAATAAAACGATGCTCCCAGAAACTATACTTTTCAAAGAATTAATTTAGGTGCAAGATCGAAATCCACTCCGTGAACTGACCACTTCCGTAGTGGAACGTATGCCCAGTCGCGAAGAAGTAAGCTAAATCCTATGGGCTTTAAAAAAACCCTTCAGATCTCATCAATCCGAGGCAGCAACGTCGCAGCCGTCGCCAGCTCGACAGTTAGTAAGTCAAAAATACTCAAATTCCCCATAAAAATCGATTAGCCAATCTTGGCGCTCGTCTCCACAGCTTCTACGATGATTTCCAGAAGAATCTCGAAAAACATCAGAACCAGGTGGCGCTATTCTAGTAGATTATCAACGTCAAATTCAGTCAGCAAGCAGCGGGAATTCGGTTGATTCCGGAATTGGAAGCTTTGAGGCCAATTCTAATACGCTAGATACCCCCTCGACATCAACCGGAAGGAGCCGATTTTCGCCAAAGGTATGGAAAAAAAGAAAGATCAATGTGTGGTAATTTAGCGGCAATTTCCGGCCGAATCCTCGCCCGTCAGGCCATCGTCCCCAATCCAAATGGAAGACAGTTTCGATTTGATTATCTCCGAGCGACAAGATGTATTGGATGTAAGTGCATTATTGCGAAATCTTAACTTAACACTTCTAGAGCTCATCGACCATTGGGCGGAAGAGAAGTCGTGATCAGTTAGATGGGAGTATTGAGATCCTGGAGGAGGATGTGGAGCAAGCAGAGGCTTTTGCTAATACTTCGAAAGCCGTAAGTCATTAGCTAGGTGATGCTAAGGAGGTTCAGGCAGCAAAACAGAAGACTCCGACCGTAAATTCTGACGTACAGAGGAATTTCTCGGAAGGTAAGGAATGGTGTTTTTCGGATCGGTAACGAGTTTGCTATTAGCCCAGCAATAACTAGTATGTAATTTTCTAGTAAAACTCACTCTATTTCAATGCAAAAGGCCTTTAGAAACTTTGGAAACTTTTTTTTGATAAATCGGAATTTTTGGCCGAGACAATAAAATTTTTAGTTTTAACAATAAAAATTTGTGATTTTTGGCGCCCAAGACCTATAAAAAAAATAACAATTTTGAAACCGTTATCTACGGATACTAGAGAAAATAAGCCCTACGCAAAAAAGTTGGTCCCCTATAGCACGTTACAGGCCTCGCAGAAGCCGATTTGAGCGAAATCCCTGGCGCCGAGGGGAGCAAAGTAATGGATGACGACCTGACTGGATTTCAGTCTTTCCTCGCCGACCATATTGAATGTGACGACAACGACTATTGTCAGGTACAAATAATAATCATAAAGTCAAGCATAATATACTTTAGATTTGCAAGAGAACGTGCAGTATTCCCGATTTGAAGGCGGCAATCGCCCACCTATCAATGCATTTCGAAACAAATAAGGTCATCGAGTGCCCAGCATGCCCATATGTGAATTCAGTAAGTCCCGAAGTCTCTAGATCCAAAAGGCGCCGAATTTTAGTCGCGAAGAATGGTGACGACCCACATTCATCGAGTGCATCCCCTCATTGACGCGAGAAAGGCGAGAAAGTAAGTTTTAAAGAGGTTCTAAAGGGTTCGTGGGGCCCAATTTTTTTTTCCCTCTTCCTTGGCCTAGTTATCGAATCAAAAGTGATTTTATATTGTTGGTAGTAAGCTTTAACTATTTTCAAATAGAAACTTTCAAAAAAGTTAGAAAAGTGTTTGAAAAAATCGAAAATTTGGGTATTTTGCGAAAAAAATAGTTGGTTTTTTTTTCATTTCTTACCTAAAGAACCAAAAAACAATTCACAAGGTCATAAAAGACACTAATTCAAGTTACGCCATTACAATGCAACTTCCAGATATATCGTAGAAGGGCTGTGCAACCACGAATCTATCGCCCGGGCCGTCTTCCCCAACAATACCGAGCTACCGACAAAACTGATCGCCCACTACCGCACCGAGAAATTCAAAGTGATGCGAAAATTGCGAGTGGAGCTCGGCCGGCCGGGGGAAGGGAAGACAAAATGCTCGGTGGGTTGCAAAAAATAGTCTAAAGATACTGTAAGACTATAAACGTCAAAAATCCAGGCTTGCAACATGATGATGGATAGGCCGTACCCAAGGACCCTACTAACACACATGAAGAATTATCACGATCTCGACGCGCCATTCCTGTGCAAATGCGGGTTCAAGTGAGTAGAAAATTCGTAAGGAAAGTGAAAAAATGTTTTAGAGCCATCACCCACGACCAGATTCAAGACCATCTAAAGCAGCCCCATGACGACCCGGCCAGCCTCGGAGATTTCATCGACAAAAGGTGGGTTGAAAAACTAGCTTTCAAAACTTCCAGTTTTTCCAAAATAGAAGCAATTTTTTTAGATCTGATGAGCTATTCGCGCAATGGCAAAAGGAAACAAAGCGCTGTTTCCCGAATACGCCCTACGATCTGGTGAAATTCATGAATGACAGTGTGCCAAAACGGAAGCCTAAGATTATCATTACTGTGGATGTTGACGAGGACGCGCCACCAACAAAAGTAAGTAGTATTACATGGCAATTTCACTATTCTCCTGGATAACCGCTCATAATCATCATTTTTAGGTGCGAAGGACTAGCGGGGAAAACGGATCTTCGACTACTCAGCGCACCACGCCTCGACGAGACCTCGGGCCATAGATATTTTCCACCTATCCTTATTTTGATGATAAAAATTCGAAAATCTGCGACTGAAATTAACCTGAAACTTTCCGGCGGCCCCCTCTTGGTCGGCGAGCTTCAAAAAGACGAGTAGAGCTGTCACGCACTGTCGAAGATCCACCCCAAGTTCGTCTAAACCCAAGAAATAATTTCCGAAATGCCTTCGGGTACCAATCGATTCTTTCTTCTTGAACAATCCTTCGACGTTTGGCAATTTCGAGTGGTCAAAGTGTACTTCCGAGACATCGGTGCGCTTGAACGATTGCCGCAACTTCTTGACGCGGTCCGTATTCTCTGAAGCAGCCAGCTAAATTAAAAACTAAAAATTAACCCACCGTTGGCGTCTAGGAACAAAACTTCACGCGGGGCCATCCCAATGATGCATTGCTGAAGAAAGAAAAAGTTATTATCTGGCTCGAATTAGATACCTCGGTGGTGGAGAAAATGCCGGAATCATTGAATTCGGCCACCGCAATTCGATATTCGCCAGGGTCGCAAAAAGCGACAGCCACCTTGTTCTGGAAAAAGGTCCTTACGTCTAAAAACCCTTACATCAGCGTCGGAAACCATTGAAAGAAACTTTATGGCCATCAAAACGGGTGTTTCCGAGATGCCGATCATTTCCTCAAAGTCGCCAAGGTTGGAGGGAGTTCCCTAAGAAGCTTTTGTAGAAAAATATCGCAAAAAACCTTGGCTTTCAACGCCCAAATAGAGTCCGGCGCATCGTACAATTCGACGCGGAAGCGTAGAATCGTCAACGTCTCACGAACGACACGATTGTACTGGGCCGGATTCAACGTCAGGTACACGATCGGGCGATCTAAACCAAGGAAAAATGTCGAAACCAAAACAGAACCAACCACATAACGTCAATTTTTTCAAGCCCGCATCGCTGAGCAATATCTCACGAGCGATCAGCTGGGCATCATCTTCGTACGCCGCGTAATATTCCTGATAAACGGCAACTAGATACAGAATGAAACACTCACTCCTTTGTCGAAAATAGCTACCGTTCCCTGAGCTTTCGCGTCCAACACCTTCAGGAGGCTTTTGTCGAGTTCTTCGCCCATTGCCTGCAATTTAAAATCGGCTCGTAATCGAGAGGATATCGAACGCATAAGGAAAATCTTTGAAAACGGATTCGATCAGCCAAAAGTCTGCTAAAATAGTACAGCTCAATTATTCTACTTCTCAATCACAGTTTTGGACAAAAGAGAACGTTGAAACGAAACGGAGAAAAGAGAAAACTGTATCTATAAGGTATTAATTAAAGCAAAAGCAAAAAGCCGTGGAAAACTTTAGGACTACTGGGAGCCGCTCAAGCGACATAGAAACGATGTCTTCAGAAATTTCCAGGTACAACAAGTTTTCCAATCTTTCCATTCTCCAATTCCCACCGAAAACAACCAACTTCCAATTCCAACCGAAAATAACTCGATTTAGCACTCTTTAATTTTAAATAGTCACGGCATCTCAGGGGCCGCAATTACGACATGTAATTCCGGGGCTCTTTTCGAGCAAAAATACTAAGGGGAAAATCTTTGATGGCCGATAACTTTCTACCTAGATTGTAATTTGAAAAAGTCGATTTCCAGGTTTGTAGAACAAAATGCGCTCTTTCGAATGTGACCAAATAGAAAGAAAACTGAATTGGACCAAGGCTGAAGTTTCCGGTTTCAGACTAGATTTGGTTCAAAACGGGGTGTATTGGAGCGTCGCGTAGCCCAATTTTCCCTGAAAATTCCCCATTTTTCGTTACCGCCCAAACCATTGCTTGAGTTGCCGTGTAGTAATTAAAGTTTATAAAACTCCCCATGAAACCAATTTACGGCCCCATCGATCGACGGAAGCACGCGAATCACCTCCACCTTTTTGCCAAAGGACAAGAAAAGTGGGTGCAAAAATCCAGCTGCAACAAAAAAAGGAATGATTTCAGTCCCGCTTCGAATCCTGGTGGGCGGGGCGATCTGCTGCCCAATTTTGCTGGGGCTCATTCTCTTTCTGGCCGTCTGATTACAACAGCTCGGCATTCTGTAGAGACTCAACACACTTTCCGAGAAAACGCCCCCTCTCTTGCCGATACTCAGGTGCTATTCGTCGTTCAAAATAAATAAAGATTGGTATAGGTAGAAAAAACATTAAAAATCCTTTTATACACACAAAAATGGGATTAGGGGGGAAAGAGAGCGGGCGGGAAAAAGTCGAATGATCCGGAACGAGGCGACAGGCGAGGTGAAACATTCGCAGGAGACTCCCATGCAGACGATGATGAGGACGAGCACGAAGACAAGTACGAGGGCATCTGTAAGGGTCAAGTTTTGCTATATATTACACACTTTTCGTGTTGTTCGGTCTGAATTTTAGCTCTTAGCATAGCTTTGCTACAAGAATCTCTGCTAGCCTGCCCTCCGGTTCCTCAAAGAATCTCTGCTAGCCTGCCCTCCCGATTCCTCAAAGAATCTCTGCTAGCCTGCCCTCCAATTCCTCAAAGCATCTCTGCTAGCCTGCTCTCCGTTCCTCAAAGAATCTCTGCTAGCCTGCTGTTCCAAAATTTTGCAAAATACTTTAATGACCTTATGAACTTTACATTATTCTTTTGCGGCGAGCGCTCGTGCAGCGTCCAGTCGGAACATCGTCTCCTCGGGAATTGAGTCCTCAAAACACGACCCGCATCGCTGGGCTAAAAAAAGGTTGACTGTTTTTGCCAAGGGAAAGGGCAAGTTACCGAGTATGATGATGGTGGTGCGCGCACACGGTAACGACATGAAGTTCCTGAAACAGGCGGTCACCGTTTTCATTTGAAGTGAAGTGTAAAGAGTTTGTAATAGAAATAAGTTAAGACTATGCCTAAGCATCAAAAGGCAAAAAGCCTACTCGTTCGCTTTCAGCTTTGTAATCCGCGAGCAAGCTGCGGATTTGACGCATTCGCTAGCCCCTTTGGAGATATAGGCGCTAGGCGAAAATCAGAACGAATAAACGTGGCATACTGAGTCCTTGTTGAACATCCAGCGCAGCATGAAATTCCTGCGCACATCTCGCGGAAATCTTCCTCGCAATAGTAGCACTAAGAACGAATTTGGTGTGACCAATGATCTGAATGCCTACCACACGGGGAAGCGGTTGCTCGGGCAGGTGGCTTGGCGCTGTGGTCTGAAATGGAGGTGCTTTCGCATTACCGTGGGGAGCCCAATCTTTTCTTATCGCCCAATTTTTCAAATAGAACTAACGCAAGTGATTCTAAACGGTCTGATGCGTAAAAGGTATAAGCGTAAAATTTTTTTACATTACCAAGCATTTCTGGGATTTGGTCCAAAACAGTTGGATCTAAGCAAATTTGGTCCGACTGATTAAACGGAAGTCCTCCAGTGGGGAAAAGGACATACCATGTTCATCAGCTGTGGCTGACCGGCCTTGGTCCGCTTCGTAGGCCTTTTGGGCCCAGACTTCTTGACCTTCTTGCTGGCCGCTTTGGTGGATTTCGGCAGCACCGGCGCGGCCTCGTCAGCTCCACCGCCCTCGGCACGTTGTCCTCCGAGCATCGAGCCCAGTAGCTAAAAGCAGTGTATCATATCCGACTATACGTTAAGAGTGCAGCTACCAAGTGGTTTAACATGGAGCTAACAAAAATACGTTCTTAGTTCTTTTGCAATTTCTGGACCGGACCAAGCCAGTTCGATAGAGAAAGCTAAGTTCTGAGGACGTTTTCGTTTTCAAAAGCTCTCTACGCTTAAGATCCGTTGGAAAATCCTACTATATATAAAAAATTGTGTGTGTGTGTGTCGCGCGCGTGCATTTGCATGCAACTTCCGTCACCGTGTCCCAGTCGTATCTCAATAAGGGAGGAAGTTAGGGGTATGTTTGATACGTCATTAGGTGCGTAATGGTCTCGAGATGACTGCACACATATCAGATTTTGAAAAATAACATGTTTTCGCCATTAAAATTCGGTTTTTGTTGAAAAACCGGGCACCCCTCTTAGTTAGGGAAAAATTAGCATCCACCGGAAGAGGCGTCCGCCTATAAAAAGGGCAGAGGGAGCATTTTTTCATTTTTTTTTATCCTCGGAACTCGGGAGAATGATGCAATTGAAGTATATCAAGGGATTAGACATGGCCAGGTTGAAAAGTCGCGAAGCGACTTTTTAACCCTGGTTTAACTTAAAGTTATAAAAGTTTTGTTCGGTCCCCATCGTTTTCAGGGTTTGTCTGTGCGCTGTTCATAAGGCCACCAAACCGGCCTTCCCGCCGTGCAAATTGCCTGAGAACTTTTTTTTCAATTTTCTTGCCCTCGGTTCGGATCTATGCGCTCGTTAATGTTTTGCTTTTTGTTTGTCGAAGTGGTTTGGCCTGTCGAAAGCTGCAATTAATAAAAATCAAAAGCTTTACGCCACAAAGAAGCTAATTTGGGGCAAAAAGATCAAAAATGATTTGAGAGGCTAGCGCACTAGCCACTATGCCACGGCCACCACGCGTTTGGGAACTTCGCCGAGCCTTATGGCCGGCGCCACGAACAAAAGCGCACATGGTACCAAACTGCAACATTTTTAACTAATCTAAATTGGATCGCACTTTTTTAAAACATCTTGCTCAGAATTTTCTTTCTTATAGAACCAGCTTGGTCCGGTCCGGTCCAGAAATTCCAAAAGCACCTGCAAACGAAACGAATATCATTCCGTTTCGTTCCGAAAGGAACGGAATCAATCCAAATCCCACCGAACTCAGAAAAACGATCCCGGCCATCGTAGATTGGTAATTGTAAATGCCTATAAACCTAACCTTTTTCTTTTTATAGTTCCTCTGCCATGGTTTCTAACGAGCTTTCTATGCAACCAGCCCAATATGTAAAGATCCTGCTATCCTACTACAGGATGTCCCCAAAAAAGATCCCAAATTTGAGCCAGAGGGTCCTGATGCTGGGCGGCGGGGAGCCGAGCTTCCTCAAGGAGCTTGGCGAGATTGCACGAAAATTGCAAAATTCTCGCTTTCGATTTCGTCGAGGCCAGAAATATGTCGAGCATTGTATATAAAAATAGTTTATTCAGTAATTCGACAAGTGCAGAGAAATCGAGTATATTGGTCGTTTTGTGGGGCTAGGCCTTCGATTCGTCAATCTTCGGATCGGCACCCGGTCCATAGCACCAGTCCTTCACGTCGGTCAAGCTCTGCATCTAAAAAATCAAATAATCATCTCACATTGCTGGCAAGTCTACCGAGAGCTGATTGACGACGGCCCGCTTGCTGGCGATCTTGAACACGCGACGGAAGCGGTTCTTCGGCTTCTCCTCGGGCTGCTTCATCGTGAGCTTCTGCTCGAGCTGAGCCCGCAGATCAGCCACATTGTGATCGGGATTCTGGCGGATGCTCGGTCTGCATCGACGAAATACGAAATATTAGATGACACAAAATGGGTCCTACTCGGTGTCAGTCATGTCAGTGAACATGCCAGAGTTGGAGGACATTGACATCTGGGAGAGGTGGTTCTGCGGGGCAGCAGGAGTCGGTTCCGACTCGTTCTTGGTCTACAATCGGTAGATAGAAAAAAGAAAAGAAAACGAGACCTCAGTGACAGCCGGGGCCGACTTGGTGGGCTGAACCTTGGTCCAACGACGAATGAAGAGGCGCTCCTTGGTCTCACGGAACGTTTCCATCACTTTGACGAAGGGGCCAGAGGGGACATTCTAAAAGAAGCAATAATCGACAGACAGAGACAATTACAGTAGCAGCATCGCATTTGACGGGCGGCTGGGCCGCATCGTCATTTCCCGGCGCCTCCATGCAGGTCCACGAAATGGCAGAAGCTAGTAATTAAAATTAATCTGTCGACCCAGAAGAAATACCCTGCTTCTCGAGTGCCGTCACGGCGTCGCCAATCTCTTCACACTTCGGCGGAGGCTTATTGAGACGAGCCACAAAATCGTATTTCGGCTTGTTGACGTCGGAAAGGGAAGAGTAGGCGGTGGAGACGGGCTCAGACTCGTCCTCACTCTCCGGCTCCTTGTCCTCCACCTCTTCCGCCACCCTCACCTTCAACGGGTTCGACCGAGCGAGAGCAGCCCTATGATGGATCGGGTAAGGTGAGTGGCGAAATGACAAACTTCTTGGCAGCCAAGATGTGTTCGAGACGGTTGTCGTGGGCGGCGGTGAGCAGATTGCGCCACTGGGCCCCCAGAGCATTCGGAGCATACACGTGCACATTTCCGAACGGGTACCGCAACTTGATATGGGTCCAACGCTTAACGATAATAGAAATGGGAAGTGATGAATGGTTATACCCCAGATTTCTCCTGCTTGGTGCGGACTTGGATCATCGTGGCCGATGGGACATGAACAATGTAGCCTAGAAGTTATAGTTTCAGAAGGCCACGCACAAAAACGTACCCTTGTTGTCACTGGAATAGATGACGAGGAATCCCTTGGAAGTGAGGGTAGCGGGCACACACTTGACGGCCGAATAATAATCCCAGAGCAAGTTCCTCGACTTGACGAAGATGTAGGCCTGGTGGTCGAACAGCACATCATCGTCGTAGACGCGCCAGTTGCGCCGGTCAGGCAGGTTGAGTTTCTGAAATAGCGAAATCCAGAATAGGAAAATTGGCTTACCTTGGAGAATGACTTGCTAGCCGTGTAGCTCAGGATACGCCCGCCCATTTAGTAGACGCCGAAGTGTGTCGAGGATAAGAAAACGGTAAAATCCTTTGACCCATCATGTTTTGTCTTATACGATCGATCGTATGAAAATGCTGACTCTCTTCCTGTTGCAGTGCAGACTACATGCAAATTGCGAAAAATGCTTATACATTTTATTTCCCAGTTTCCCAAATGGAGTGCATGACAAAGAGATACTGAATCACTGTCACAATACTCGCTTAATTAAATCACAGATAATCGCATAAATAAAGCGTTTGGTGTTTAATTAAAGCCCAAGTCAGCGCATAGATGAAGGCAGAAGATTTCGTTTATTTGCGTTTCTTGTTGGCGGCCTGCGCGGTGGTGGCAGTCATCTTTAAGTATCTCTCCTAGAGATGTGGTTTTTGCCGAACAGTTCTCCACTCACGTATCCAGCCTCAGAAGCGAAGATGAGCAGCGGCACCGAGATGAGCACGGTGATGGTGGCCGCGACGCGGTGGATCAACGCCGCTTGGAGGACAGCAGCGATCAAACACACGGATATCTAAAATGACCCTTTAGTCCTTTGTTAGTGAATTTACCTCGGTGAGCCCGACCTGCGAACTGGGGCCATTTATCGCCATCTGATAATTGCTGACGGCAGTCAGGCCGAAAATGAAGACGACTGCACCAAGAGCGCCACCACACAATGCACCGACTCGAGATGCGACGATGAAAGATTTGGCTAGCTGAAAAATAGGAAGTGAAGAATGTAATTCAAAATCGGACCTGGCCACCGACAATAGCGGCTGCAGCCAATCCAGCAGAAATGATCGCGCTTCGCCCGTGGTCTGCCATCTAAACGGCAAATTACTAATCGCGGACGGATAGTTCTCCTTGTTTGCAAATCCATTATATTCTGATAAACTGATACAATAAAACAATAAGCCGTTTCCGACAAAGACGGAAAAAGAATTTACAATCAATAGGTTCGTTAACTTTATCACCGGGGCAACAACAAGCACAACATAACAAAAGAAAACAAAACAATCAACAATGAAAAATCAGAAAGCAAATAGAAACAACTATAATTTTGGATTCGATAGCATCGGCAGCTTCCAAGAACCGATTGGCAGCTTCGGAGGGCACATCTCGGGCTCTAAAAAAATGAAAATATTTATATTGAAGTGGGTGCTCACCGAGAACAAATGATGCAGGCATTCCACCGTCTTCTGGGATGTTGAGCACGTTGTCAATAGTGTACTGAAAAAGGTGATAGGCTCAAGATATAGAATACCAAATGATGAAGGGGCCCGACGAGGTGGTGGGGGTGCAGACGTTGAGGCCAAAATACGTGAAGCAGCGATTGGCACTTGGCTTCCAGTTCGGAAATTGACGTCTGTGTAGCTAGAGCCTCATCCAGAGCCGAGATGCGAACCAGCGGTCTCAGAATGAGAGATGCTTCTCCTGAAACGAAGTCAATAGAGACGTCAATAAAAAATCCCCAACTTGTCATCAATTCCATGGATGAATATATTTCGTGAGCTGCCAGCAAAATGGCCGCATCCTCCCATTCACCGCCCTCCTTCAGATTCCGCTTCTTTTTCTCGATAGTTTTGCGCTTGCGAGCGGTTGCCTAGACAGGTTATTTTTGTATAGGTGTGGAAATGCCTAGTAACTTAATAGCGGTGTTTTTGTTTTTGATCAAATAAAATTATATTTCAAATAGCAAAACTATCTAAAACTTTAAAATGTGTTCAAAAAAGTCGTCATTTCGGTCTAGTAACATCCATTTTTGCTCACAAAAATCTATATTTTTGTATTTTTTAAAATAGAAGGTTATACAGTTTTTATCATAAATTTAGTAATAGTAAAAATAGTTTAGAAACACTTCCGCTATTGATATCAGAAACAGGATCCTTAGAAGAAAAAGTTGGTCCCCCCGATAATGCGAAAGAACCGCAAAATATTAATTTTAATGCGGTCGGTCTGAATATATACCGTAGTCGAAGCCCTGCTGCTACCGGATCGTCGGCTCACGCCGCTGGCAGTGCTGGCCTCACTGAAAGCGTCGATGTCCTCCAGGTCCCGCCCAGTTTCGAGTCCTTCCTACAAATTACAAATATAAAGTTACTGTGTGTCCTTGTCACCTTCAAATTGACCAATCTTCGTTCCTTGATTGTCCTGACAATCTTTAATCTTTCCGCATGCTTCTCCACTTCCGCTCTTTGAGTGTCAGCTTTCCCTCTCAAAAGTTCCGCTCGATCCAAAAGCCTCACACGGGTGCTCTGGAAGGCTGAAGCCGAATACTACATAGTAGTACTCTCATAGCATACCTTTCTCATCAACAAGGGCTTTATCCAAGGCTTCTTCCCATCTCCCTGCCTCGACAAGCGCTTCACAAATGGTCGAGACAGAAGAATCCTGTAAAGATCGGTCAAATAAATAGATAGCACTGAACCGTTAGCTCGAGGCATTCCACCAGCTTCTCCCAGCTTGCCGTCGACTTCAACAATGCGCTCATCTTCCGTAGGACTGTCTGAAGACGAAATGGTTCTGGACTGTTAGCGGGGGGGGGGGGGATTAGCGGGGGGAAACCAAATTTTGTCTAGTAATTCCGCATTCCGTATTACTCTATAACGAAATGTAAACTATTTTTAAAGAATTTTACATACGATAGAAAGCTTATAAAATTTCGAAATTTTCCTCTTTTTGATCAAAAATGTATGAAATGACGCAAAAAGATAAAAATTTAATTTTGCAAAATAATGAATTGCAATTTATAGCTTTCTGGCAATGAAAAACAACTAAGAACACGATAAAACTACACTACCTATTATCACTCGGTGGAAATAGTTTAAAGATAAAGTGTTTCCCGCTAACAGTCCAGAACCGACGGATTAACGGATATACCTTGATATCATCCTCTGATCTTCCGACCAATTTTGCTACGCGATAATACTCTGTCGGTTCCCTGGCTTTTTCCAGACAGCTAAAACAGTTGAAAAATAAATAAAAAACGGTTGAATTACCGCGTTTGGTCCTGCAATCTCCCGGCATTCGCATAAATTAGAGCCGCCTCAGCCCATTGTGCCTTCGTTTCCAAGAATTCGGCGTATATAGCGCAGATTTCCTAGAAGTATAGCACAATATAAAACTGCCAGAAGTGGTAGCATCCCAGAATCCCAGAATGCTACATACCCTATATTTGCCAGTGGCCACAAATGTCCGCATGGCCGACGCGTAGATGCCTTTTTGTTTGATAAGCTGCACGGCCTCCTCGAAATGCTGGTCCAGTCCGGCGATGTGCTTCAGCGCTCCGTCCCAGTCCTCACGCACCAAATCCGTATGGAACTTCCGATATTCCAGGGGTTCGATCTAAAGCACGTGGCGCCATGAAAAACGCTCACTTTTCGCAAGCGATTGAGCAATGGTAAAAATTGCTTTGGGTCCGCGTTTGAAGCCTCGGCCACCTGAATTTGTTTTAAAAAGTTGTCATAAACGAGAATTACCTGAACAGTCAACGGGAGATCATAGGTGGACAGGGCTGCCGAGAAAAGGGCCTTTGATTCGACGAAGAAGCCGACATGGTGCAGCCAGTACCGGGTGGTCTTCTCACGATCTTCTGGTGAAACTATAACAACTTTCATCAAACGGTAGCGCCGAATTCCGAAAGATTCCTTTTTCTTTTTGGAGTTGCCGGAGTCAAGCGTAAATTATTGTGCAGACAACAAATATTCTGACCAGCGAGGGAATTCTCCCGGACATGTCGTAGCGCTTCCTTGATACTTGGAGGATCTGTCTTCAGCAGCACGGAGAGCAGCACAGTCAGCAAAGACCTCCGCCTCTCTTCCGGGAGCTGCTTGAAGGCCTCGCTCAGAGCTTCACACACAACTTGGACCTAGCAAAATATAATTATTTAACTTTAAGTAGCCACGTCAAATTGTTCTCGCCAAAACGACGCTTACCTTATTCGGATAGACCAAACGGCTTTCACTCCATTCCGAAGGCGCATCATTCAGGGCGGCGACGAACAAATTCAGCAGATCCGGGTCGTTGACAGTCTCGATGAGATACCGCGCATCGGCAAAGAATTTCTAGAGCAGGACGCCTTCACATAGGAACCATTAAAAACCTGAGGATTTTGGTCAAAGAGAAGGTTCATATCGATGCGATGCTTCTTCATTGCCTTTAGGGCTTGCAGGTAGCGTCTGTCAGTGAGCTGCGTCTGAAAGCAGAAAATAAAAGCAAAAAAAACAACTGAAAATAAGTTTTCTCCTCAAAAACTCACCCGAATACCAGCGACCACAAAAATTCGTGGATGTATCGTCTCGAGATTCCCGCGTGGCATCTGTAAAACCAACGAAGTGCCGGGCTCGGGGACCGCAGCGACCAGACAGCTACCCAACTCGAGTGCACGCTCTACAAAAAAAAAACAGGATTAAAGGGTGTCCCAATAAAAAACACACTCCCTATAGCTCAACGGGGAAGGGTCTGATCGGAGTGATAGTTACACCGTTCCAAAGCCCTTGGCACGGCGAGTTTGCAACAACCTTCAAAATGCTATTTTTATCAAACCAGCCATTCCACAGCGCATTTAAAACTTTAAGGAACGACCTTCGAAGCGTATTAACGGCTACTTCCGGTCATTTTGCATGGATCCATTAAGGCAAAATTAGCTCTCATGTAAGCCCGGAATACCGGAAACTTTTATCAAATCAGTTGTAAAACAGCGGCTTTACATAAAAACGTGATTTTGAAGATTGTTGCAAACTCGCCGTTTCCAGGGCTTTTCAATGGTGTAAGTATCGTACCGATCCGATACTCCTACGTCAAGTTAGAGGGGGTGTTTCGCGATGTGAACGCCAGAACGCACCTTTATCCACCTGGCGATACCCAGAAGCGCCGTCGTATATCCGTAACTTCGAATCCATCGTGACACAGATTAACTGGAAGAAGGATCCGAATTCTATGCCTCGTGAATGCCAAATACCAGGTTGTCCCTGATGACGAAAGACGAAATGTCGTGGAACAGCAGCTTCCCATCCGAATAGAGGATATGGGCCGGTGATAAGGAGATCAGCTTGTCCTGAAGAAAATATTTTACAAGTTTTTTGGCTTACTCCACAACTAGCGTTGCGGCAAGACAGGCATTCCGGGAGACTGTAGAGCTTCTCGTTTTCGAGAGAAATTACTGATCCATCGTCCAGCATTACGATAGGGCGCCCGTCGCTGGGGTTGATGGACGTCTCGATGATATTTCGCGGGAACTCCAACAATCTAAATGAATTAGCTAATGAAAGTATTTCCATGTAACTAATTGTAAATTAGAAAAAAAAGTTATTTTTCCCTTCTTTCGCATTATCGGCCAGACTTTTTTTGTATAATTCTAGAATTGTCTTGTAATTTAATAGGAAGGCTTAATGTCTTGCAACTTGTGTTTTAATAAAATACAACTTTATTTAAACTAGAATAACAATCTACAGTTTTAACAAAGATCGAAATTTGTCAAAAAATCGGCCAATGTTGGTCGAAAAATCCATATTTTTGATGTTTTAATAAAAATTTGTAACGCTTACACGTCCAGGCATAGTTAAAAACTCACTCAGAAACTCCCAGTAATTATAATTGAATCCTAAGAAGGAGAAGAAAAAATTGCTCCCCCGATAATGCGAAAGAACCGTTTTAAAGATGCTTACATTTCCGTGCCCTGATCCGGATAGACCCGGTGGACGAGAGAACCGATTTTGGAAGGTCCGGCGAGGTACAATGCACCGTCAGCCGAGTGAATCCCAGCCGTAAGTGCCTCGGCTCGATTCGTTTCCAATCCAGCAGCAGGTGTGCAGAAGTGGCTTTCGAAGCGGCCATTTTGCGCGCTCCCTAAAAGGGACAATAAAAAATGGTAAATTGTCACTTACAGCATTCGATCGAAAAATCGTCGTAGACAACGCTCATGTATCCGAAACTGCAAACGAGCAGTTGGATGCCGCGGTGTATTGGAACGGTGAAGTGGCTCATCGGCGGTGGGATAGGAGCCTTCGAGAAATCGGTGACTTTCAGCTTGTCTAAAGCAAGATTCGAGATTTGCCCCAATGTCGCACCTGTGGCCACCACGACTGCAAGTCCACCGGACACGTTGTATTCGAAAATCAAGTCATATCGGTATACTCGTCCTCCGCTGCACGCCCAAAGCCGTCTGGCCGTCACGGCAGACCAATGCCAAGCGTCCAATCCTAAACGTGCCGACATTGGAGCCACAAAGAAGAAACAAACCTTTCTCAAATGGTATTCGCAACTTCTGGGACCACTCGTAATTGCTAACTGTCCACAGTTCCACTAAACAAAAAAAATAGTGCGCGTAGCTTAAAATTAGCTGACTTACAGTAAGACTTTTCGCCATCATCCACCTCCACCGCCAGTATATTGCCCTCAAATTCCCACGCGAAATGTCTACGGGTCACGTTGGCTTCGTGGATTTTCGCCTCATGTCTTGGTTCACCGTTTCGCTCGAAAAATGCAAAATAGCGAGAGCCTAAACATCTTTTCAACCAAAGAGATACCAGCTAACCGTCGTCCAGTCGCTTCGTGGTGGCGATATAATTCCCAACAGGCTTCACAGCCACCCCTTCCTCCAGTGGGAATTCATTGCGCAATCGACTCATCAGCTCGCCCTCCCGACTATAAACCTAAACAAGGAGGTAATCTCGGAAACTGGAGTTACAGCGACGCGCCGCTCCTCAGTGGGCACATCCAAATACGAGATGGTGGCATGTTGGGCATCAGCTCGCCAGGAGATTGATGGCCGGCCAGAGTCATCGGGCAGAGCTTTCCGGTTGACCGTGCGCTTTTCGCGGGCCACCTAGGGTAAAGTATAAGGCATCAAAGAAAAGCGTTACCTTGCCTGCCGCACCTTGGAATTGAGTTTCCTTGCTACCCCAGCCGACCGTCACCAACTCATCTTTACCGACGGCTTCTCCGTAGAGCGGTCGTTCAGAAACAGCGGTCAGTAATCGATCTGCAACGATTCCAATTTAAATGGTTTTGGTTGGTTAGCGGGGAGGGGGGGGGGGGTGAGGATTTAGACGGAAGAAAATTTTTCGTATGGGATCGTATGCCTCGCTTAACGAAATAGAAACTGGTTTAATAGCATTGGAAGCCTTTTTAATACACAACTATTCAAAAAAATTACAGCAATATCTTCACGGAATTTAATTGCTGGTCAAAAATGTATCATGTCAAAAACAAAATTTAATTTTTTTACAATGTATTAACGAAACCTTTTGATATCAGAGTTAGGCTGAATAAAAAAAGTTCATTTCTCTTGCGAAAAGCCCCCCCCCCCCCCCAGTCAAAAGTATCAGTTATTTTCCAACAAACCAAAAAAGCAAATCATATCCCCGGAGACAACGACCAATGTATCGCCATCAGGGCTCCAGGACGCCGCCTGGACCGCGCATCCCAATAGACCAGGCTCGTCTACAGGCTAAATCACAGGATTCCGGTCGGGCCAATACTCGATACCTGCATTGTTTCCGCGGAAGCGGTATAAACCAGCCCATTGTTAAAAATGGCTATCACATCATTTGTGTCTGACATAAACGTCAAGTCGACCAACTTCATCCCGCTTCTTTCATCTTCCCAGCCTAATGAGCCGCATTGCTAAAAGAAAGTATTATTTTTCTGAAGCCAAATGTCACCTCTAATTCCTTATTGTAAAACAGAAGTTTACTGCGTGTCGCCACAAACGCAGCTCCAGTAAAGAAATCGTCCGCAAATCCTTCGACGTCTAAAGGCTGATGATCGCAACGAGCAGAAGGTCTACCTTCATCTATCGATCCTTGCGATATAAGCGCTGACGTTACCCGCAAGTTGCGCATCCAGCTGAACAAAATTGAGCGAATGTTTGATTGGGTCTTGGGTAAGTTGATCGACAAACAATTCCATATTAAACGCGGACAACGTACGACAAAATTTATTGATCGCAACAACAAAAAAACATATCACAAATTGGCAAGGCACCGAAAAATGGAAAATAACAACATATATTTCATCTTTCTAAAAATGTTCACAAGCTAGACTTCTAGATGTCTCAGGCCCAAACGTCTTCAATGTATCGATTCGCTTTCTTAAGCTCGAGCAGGAAAGCCTTGGCTTCGGCGTCTGAGCAGCCTAAAAGAACCTGGCTTCAGAATTAAAGCCACGAAATACCTTTCTTCTCTGCCACTATCTTTGCAAAACACTCCCATGTGTCCTTACTCATCGCTTTTGCATCGCCGCAGATGAAAATCCGGGACTCCTCGAGTTGAATAAAGTCCCAGACCTAAAGAATTCGCATATACAGGGTGTCCCAAAAAAAACCCCCCCTCGGCATTTGGCCGTGTTCCATCAAATCGGGGCCAAATTTTTATCAGTGATGGGGACCCATAAAAACTATGTGCAGCCGAATTTTCTAAGCAAAATATTGTAAAACAAAGAAGATATATCAAAATTATGGTTTATTTTGCCGATTTCACTAGGATTTTGACGGATTTCGGCCTCGAAATGTTTAGCAAAAATGAAGAGGGCACTCTTTTCTACCTGTAGAAATTTTTTGATTTACGAAAATTACGTTTAAATTGTGCCTTTTGATCACTTTTGATTATCGAAATTGCCAGAAACTGACCGAGAAATGACCATTTTTTGGAAAATTACTCATTTTTTTGGAAAACATTTTTTGGAAATGCTAATTGCGAAAACATAGCCAAAAACGAGTACCAGCGTTCTCCAAAAATCAGTTTTTTAGCGATAACTTTTTGGTTTTACAATATTTTGCTTACAAAATTCGGCTGCACATAGTTTTTATGGGTCCCCATAACTGGTAAAAATTTGGCCCCGAGCCGATAGAAGACGGCCAAATGCCGAGGGGGGGGGTGTTTTTTTTTGGGACACCCTGTAGTTTTTAACGTTCCTATTCCCAACCTCATCAGCGCGCTGCCGTAGTGCTTCCTGGACGTAGCAATGACGGCCTGGTACGGGTTTCGCTGGTTGGCTTTCACAGGCAATCAGCTCATCCAAAATACCTTCGCGAACATAGGATTCGAGCAAATCTCTGCAAAGAAAATGATGGGGCTTACAATTAGGTTATCACTTGTAGATAAAATCCTTCTCGAAATTGCGGCAGCCGAAGAAAAGCTTCCTCGGAACAGCCGGTAGAGAACCGATCTTAATTTTCTCATGTCTAAACGAAATTTACTATTGGCAAGAGCAACGATTACAGCAATAAATCCAAAAATGAAATGAATGTAGAGACGCCAGTGCCGGGCCCGATCATCAAAAGCGGCATCTTGAGCCCGGCCTCTACAGTTGCAGGTGGAACCGGAAATCGGAATCTGGCTGGTTCTTTCATCATGACCTAATGGAAGTTGATGAAATGTTCGTAAATACACCTGAATCTGGTCGCCAACCCTCAAGGCGTTTAACCATTCGGTGGCGAGTCCGAGCCGCTCGTATCGGCGTCCATCAGCAACACCAAATTTCATCTAAAATAGTGGTAATGGATTTTCAAAACGGCACACTTCTGAATACACGAAACGGATCCTTCCCCGAGCGCGCTCGTAGCAATTCGATACGCTGTAAGGCCGTGGAATCAAGCGTGGCAGTTGTTCTAAAAGTTCTGCAATTATAGCAAAGGTAGGACCGGACCGATCAAGCGTTCTGGCGCGGGGCGAACACCCGGGAATGCAGCCAGCACATCGACGATTGAGACGGCCGCCTGAAATTAGATTGGACATCTACGGCTCAAAGGGGCGTACTTGTCGAATATGGGCGGTGAATTCAGCCATGCCCTGGGAGGAACAGAGCTCGAGCAAGCGTCTCTTTTCACCTTCATCGGAGGTGGCGTCAGCGAAGACACGCAACACCGGCTAAACCATGAATATAATGATTTTAGAAAATATTTTTTCACGTTCAAATTACTTGCATGTTCCATGTTCCGTAAAGTAAGCAATATAAAAATTCTTGAAAAAAGCTGTAAAACGAGCCCACCCTGCCAGGCGCTCTTCGAATGTCCAAACAATGCGTAAAGATGTATCGTAGAGAAGAGATGGGTGGAATGTAACCGGGTACAGCCGCGTTCGGCTTCTTCGCATCCCCAGCCACCGTTACGTGGCATTTTTGGTCGGCCATCATCAGAAGCCCCATTCTAAGAAGCGATATAAGCAACAGTTCAAATGATACCGTTCGAGAATAAAGTTGACTTCCGCTTCCGGGTTTGGCTGTAGGAAATAGAAGGCGTCGCCGGGAGAATAGCTGCGAAAAGATTAATATAGAAGTCTTAGTTCTGGATTTTTAGCGGGGCGGGGGGGGTAAATTTTTGCCAGTAATTTCGCACGGCCCTATAACGAAATATAAACGATTTTTTATAGTATCTTACATAGTTTTTAGATACAAAAAGTTTGCAAAAAATTATAAAGATTTTCGAAAAGCTTTAACTTTTGGTCAAAAAATAGTGAAAATTTCTAAAATTATTTATAACTTTCTAGCAATTAAAAACAACTAAAAACACTATAAAATACGTTATATGTTATCAACAGGTAGGTATCGGTGGAAAAACAGCAACCCACCGCTAACAGTCCAGAACCGAAGTCTTTATCTACCTCAATTGATCCCAATGCGCATTGAGGTCGATGACCAGCTCCCGTTTGGGTTTGTGTACATCAAAATCGGTGAGAAGCGTCGTCCCGACCACCGTCGCATCCATCGGCTTTCCTTGCAAGCCGGGCTGAAATCATGGAATGAATCAAATGTACCCACTCACCATTGATTCACCATTTTGCCAGTTCACAGACTTCGGCTCGAATTTTTCATGCGTTACTGAAGTGACAAGGTACGTCAACGGAGCAATCGGAACACGGAGTGCCTCATCGGAGGATAATGCTTCGTTGCCTAGAAAAAAATTTGAAAAAACGTCCCGCAACAAACCGCGAATCAATGAAATTTCGCCAGGATACGTATAGGGGGCTAGCTTCAATATACGATCGGTCGAACTGTCTGCTCGATCGTCTTCCGTACCTAACAGATGTAGTATTGAAAAATTTGGTTTTTTCGCACCATCCAGGACATTAAAAAAATTAGGAAAAAATTTTGAAAAGTGGAAACTTTGTTAAAAAATCGGCCATTTTTTGGTTGAAAAATCGATATTTTTGATATCCTCTAATAAAAAATTGGAAACTTTTCACGTTTCGGAATAGTCAAACAAAACGGTTCGAAACACTTCCACTATTTATATTAAAAAATGAATCATAAGAAAAGCTGGTGCCCCCGATAATGCGAAAGAACACAAAACTGTTCTTACTCATGACGGTCGGCAACTTCGGCTTTTCGGCAACGCTTTTCTTTTCCTTTTCTTTCTTGACTAGGGGAGTTGAGATCGTCAGACCTTCCAGGCGGCTGATCGGAATATGATCCAACTCGCAAAGCTTCTTTAGCAGTTGTTCTATCCAAGGCTCAACGACGAGCTCGAGCCTAAAATGGAGATACTAACGATCATGAAATACCTACCCAATCTCGTCGTCGGCTTCTCCAGTGGGAATAAGCTTCTTGGCACCGAGCTTTGTCAATTGCTCGTCAAATTTTCGCGGCACACCCTGGTAAGTCGAGTAGTTGGAGTCGCCGAGACCTGCAAGATGTAAGTAAGCACTATAGTAAGTACGATTTCCGCTGGGAGAACGAAGAGAAAGGTTTTGAGCTAGAATAACAAAAACCCCAGGGAAACGACAGCACCTAGTAGGGCATAAGTCACATTTTTCAGGAAATCGTCGGCAAGGGTTCGCCGGGAAATCCTCCTCAAAAAGCGGGCAGCGTTCTCTGGCGGATCTCCGTCTCCCGTCGACGAAACGATGATCACGGCCAGCGGCTCATTTTCAATGAAAAACTGAAAAAATCAAGGCGCTGGTGAACGGGTTGACGGCAAACCGTCTTTTCATTCTCTTCAAGCACATGTACGCGTGGATTCATGCCGAGAAGCATGCATTTCTCCTTTAGCTGGGCGGCGATCGACTCGGATTGTCCCGTATGTGAGCCGTAGGTGATTAGGAAGTCCATCAGGTTGATCTGTCCTTCCTTTCTGTAATCGTCAGCTGCACCATGAAAATATGAAACTTACTAAAACACAGTAGCAAAACTAAATAAACCCATGCAAAGAATAGAAAGTAGCTAAAGATATATACAGGGTGCCCAAACCCCCCCCCCCTTACCTAGCGGTCTGCAGTCAAGTCTGATTTTTATGATTTAGCTACGCATCGATAGCATTCGAAAAGGCGAGAAAACAAGCGGGTTTCGTTTTCTAAGATTTAATCTAATTCCATCGATATTTAAGGTTTTTCTAAAAAAACTGGTACTTTTTCAACACGAATTTCGGGTTCCCATGGGTAAAACATGGGTATCTGTGGGTTTTCGCGGGTACCCACGGGTAAACGTGGGTTTTTCTGGGTTCCCATGGGTAAATCATTACCCGAGCGTAAAATTAGCGAATAAAAATGCATAATAAAGAATCGGATAATAAAATAAAAATCGGAATCGACTGCGGCGCTAGGTAGGGGTTTTTTTTTGGGGGCACCCTGTATATGAAAGTGCTACAATAAACAGGTCGATTGTCTATTCATAATTCATTTTACGAATACTTTGAAAGCACGCCACTTTCCTATTTTATTTGACTATGTGGCCCTCTTTTCATGGCAAGAGGCATCAGGGACCTGCAAAAGACTAGAGATACGGTGCTATGCCGCCCTCCCCACACGAATGCTCTTCCCCTAGTCTCGTTGAACACTGCAAACTGTCCCAAAAAATTGATTGTATCAAGTCACAATCGGATCAGGGGTCGGATTCTTAGGGGTCAAATCGCCCCTAAAAAGTTTAGGGGACCCTTATGCGAGCAAAAAAAATCAGAATCAGCCAAGCTGGCGGAGCAAATATCATAAAATAAACAGAATTTTGAACCGATAGAATATCAAAAAAAATTCAAGATCTCGACTTGAAATGGCTGAATAACGTTATCCTTATCCTAAGCACACGGATAATTAAAGCGAAACCCCTTGTTGTATCATAAAAACTTGGCAGGGTGAAGGCTCGATTCTTCAGGATTAGCATTTCGAGTCCGATCAAGGAGGTTGGATTCCGGAACTTTCAAATGACGGTCGGCGGATTTAACGGTAAGCTAGAGGAAAAAGAAGCGTTCGTAGTCAATTAGTCATTTTTTCTCGAATTCTGTTCGGCAAAATTACTATTTGTATTCCTGAAGAGCTTACCGAACTCTCAACAACGCGTTTTTTGCAGGTGAGGGGAAGCTTGAAACTCTTCCTGCTCGTGATCCTCGTCGGACTAGACTGCTTTCTCCAAACAAGCTAGACATCACGAAAAGGCCGAAAAGAACATGGTTAGTGGCTCGTCCCGCCGGACTATCCGGTCCTTCAAGATGTCAAAGTGCCTGAAAAAAATATTTTAGGACAATCCCGAGAAAGAAGCAAAAATCCGGACTGAATGCGAAGAGCTGCGCCAACTCCTCAAAATTGCCGAAGTAAACCCCGAATCGTGTATTTAGTCTATTTTTCAGGCTCGAAAATGGCCGCAAAAGTATGAAGCCGCGGAGCAACTGCTAAACAAAGCCGAACTGGACAAGCCAAAAGATGCCAAAGACTGCGCGCAATACGGATTCCTTTTTACCAGTATTTTGACATATTTCGAGAAATAATAAAACGTCAATTAGTGAGGTACCCTTTCTGGGGTTTTTGTCGATAAGAGGGCTTCTTGCGTGTCAATCAAACGGCGCCGCACCGACTTTCGAGGGGTGGAACTACAGTGCGTGCCAAAATATTAGCAGAATGGAGTTTTTGGTCGTTTGCTGCCACAACGCACATACATAGAAAAGCGAACAATAGGGCTGGTAGCCTGAAAAATAGGATGTCTACATTCCGGATGTCTACTGTGAGAATATGAAGCAGATTACCGTCAGGTTTGTGCGTCATTTGGATGCTTCCGTCTTCTGTCTTCCAATTTTTTTAATCTACCCAATATATGCCTATTACTAAAAAAATTTTCATCTTGTTGATGTTTTCCGATAACTACCATATTTTAAAACCCTTTTTGGAAAACAGTTAAAAATCTCAAGTTTCTTGTCCAGGTCTGGTTATTTTCATACAGTGAGCAAAGATTCAAGATTTTGCGAGGCACGCAATTTTATAAAAAGGGTTTTGTTGTTAAAATTGATGCAATACCAGGAAAATTATTAAAATATAATGGCTTCCTCTCTAAAGCGCGATGGGGAAATCCCCCCCCCACTAACAGGAAAGCACCGTCATTTGGAAATTTGCAGAGAGTCATCCCCGGCCAGTGTCTACAAGACCGCTCCGAGCACCGGCTATCTCACCTCAAAGCGAAGCCGCTTCCTGACTAGGTACGTTGTCTGCTCGAAAAGATTGCGCAATTAGCTAGCGCTTGTCAGAATAACCTGAAAGCCTGCAACTGCGTCCATCGCAAAAAGTATATCAATTACTTGTTTAGCGCTTCTCGTGCAGCTTCAATGCCTGGTCGAACATCGGCAAGCTCGAGGCCATCATCCACTTCCCTCTTGCCAATGACTCCGAAGTATTCACTAGTCTCGCCGGCCCCGTTGCGCAAACCGCGTGATACCAGTATCTTCAGGTGCGTCTTCAAGCTAATACCCTAAAACCTCGTGTATAGGTCCGGTACAATTTGGGTCCGTACCAATACAAATGACACCAAATAATGTGCGTAGGTACAATTCGGCGCAAAAGCTATGTAGGCCAAAAGAGGCGGTTCTCAGAGCCTCATGCAGCAATTTGTTTCATTAAACCACTCAAATTGTTGGAAATAGCCGAAATCCCCTTCCCCTCTATCAACGACAACCAGAGTCCGGATGGAGAAAAATTGCCCTACGGGTCATCTCGTATCCTTCTCCTGTCACACTCCCTTTAATGCCTCAAAGAATCTCTGCTAGCCTGGCCATCTCTCTCTCACTCTCGCTCTCTCGCTTAATCCTTCTGTCTCTCTTGCCTATTGAAGACAACATTTATTCCCAGAAGAAGGTACGAGTAGAAAAAAGTGATCGCAATACCGCATCAGATCGAGATAGGGTAAGATAAGATTTTTCCGGATTCAGGTTTCTAGAGGGCAGGGGTATCGCATATTATTAATAAAAAGAAAGCTTGAGGGGCAACGAAGAATGATTTGGATGTGTAGTGAGGTTACACAAAGAAGCACAATAGCATAAAGGATAGAGCAGATAGGACGGGTGGGGTTCATACAAGAGAAGCTTTCCGGGTTAAAAGCGACCATTCAGATAGCCCTGGCCGTCAGCAGGTCATCGGCCCTCCTCGGGTACACTTGATACATTCGCTGAACTCGAGGCTCCAGCTGAAATTGGCGAATTAGAAAGAATATCATGAAATTGCTGGATCTTTTCTAATATCGGGGGAGGGGGGTTTTGACAGGCCAACTTTTTGCTTAGAAACCAAATTTTCTCAGACAAATGGCCACTGTGTTTCTAGCCTGTTTTTTTTACTATTTCTAACCCCAAAATTTTTATTTTTGATCGAAAATTCAACAAAACGGCGATTTTTCGCCCCAAAAACGGGGCGAAAAATCGCCGTTTTCAATGTTTTTAAAATCAAGTTTTGTCCTGGCTAAACGCAAGAAAAAAAGAGCGCGATTGATAAATAAGCAAAGCTCTTACCGGTCGAAACCCATACAAGATGCAACGATAAACGAGGCACTCGTTGCACCTATCGCCGCCTTCGAAGACCAGAGCTAAAAAAATAATTATTTTTTCGAAAACGATGAAATTTACGCTCGAAGATGTTTCTCTTGTTCGCCTTGTGCACATCAGAGTCATTGCAACGCTTATGAACTCCTTTCCATCGCCTAAATGAAAAATGCCTAGAAAAAATCTGAAAAACCCTTACATTGCGGCAAATCCGCACCGCTGGCATACGGCAAAAAGGCCAACGTGGTAATGGAGGTCTTTCGAATGGCACGCACAGCAACGTGCGTCGTTGCGGCGCTCCCAGGTCTCAAGACCTCTCATCAAGAGGAAATGCTCGACCTTTATGTTGAGAGGCTGGAAAAGAAAGGTTGAAAATGCAGAACAACAGGTTTGTTTACTTGAGCAGTACTCCAGGTATAAGTGTAGGGGCCGACGTGCCGTCTGTTCGCGACCTCGCATGTGTAGCCCAGCACGCAGTCACCGCTCTAGAATGGGTTCTTTTGCGTGAAACAACTCCCCCACCAATTCCCCTAAACGCTCGAAGAATCTCTGCTAGCCTACCCCCCGGTAGCTGTCGCTATCCCTTTAATTTCCCAAAGAATCTCTGCTAGCCGACCCCCAGTAGCTGTCGCTATCCCTTTAATTTCCCAAAGAATCTCTGCTAGCCTACCCCCAGTAGCTGTCGCTATCCCTTTAATTTCCCAAAGAATCTAAGCTAGCCTACCCCCCGGTAGCTGTCGCTATCCCTTTAATTTCCCAAAGAATCTCTGCTAACCATCCCAGAAAGAAGCTTTTACCTTCAAGAAGGTATTCGCTGGGCCGTCGGAAAGAAGTTGTCCGCCCAGTCCCTGCACCAGGTTGAGCTCGCGCATCACGGTTTGCTTGTATTTGTCTGTAAAAGAAAGCCAATTACCGAGCGAAATTCAATCCCGAAAACAAATCAATGCTCAATTGTCAGTGGTGATCGAAGTACTTTGGCATTATCCGGGGGGGGGCTACTATGCAAATCTGCCCCTCTCAAAAAAACTCGTCCCCCTCAGAATGCCAAAGCACCAAAAAAAAAGGTCACCACCAACAATCGAGCACAAAGTAAACCAGAAAAACTCACGGGGATGCGGCGGACGGGCGAAGGCTGGAGAAGGGGAACGAGTCCCGGCGAATGGCGAGCCGCTAGAGCCGGAAGAACCAGACGTAGTCGGTGCCGGTGATGGTGAGGATGAGGGCGATGACGGAGGGCGACGACGAGCAGCACGACGGCGGACAGGTGGGTTGACGGGTCGGCTGCCTAAAGCAGAAAATATATAATTGGCATATCGGAATCTCAAACATCTTTCGAACACGCCGCCCACCAATAATGCCAAAGCACCACCAAGAAAAACTCACTCCTATCGCGCGGAGGGGTGCGCTGGCTGGGTGACGGCGTATGCGACGACGAGCCCGAGGATGAGGTTCGCGGTGGCGGCGGGGTCGGATGTCCTGCGGCGGCCCTAGCGCGGCCGGCCCGAGTCAAGACCATGATCAAGCCTGAAAAAGAATATGTAATTAGCATATCGAATGGAAAACAGAAAAAGGAAAACACGAAAGAAAATAAAAAATCAAAAAAGGAAAAGAGGCCAGTCAAGGCCCCGCCAAAATTCCGAATGAAAAAGATTTCCCGCGCTCCGGGGGCACACAAGGAACCGGAAATGCAAATCCGGTAAATTAACTTAATTAGACCCGATATCGGGGTTAGCGGGCGTAGCCCGCTAACCCCTTTTGGTTTGAGATACCCCCCCCCATACGACTCTTTTTGGGTCCTTTTCCGGATTTAAAAAAGAACCAAGCATCGGATCGCAAAACTGAATACACCATCGGAACCGGCGACACTTGTTACATACTATAAGCTTTTAAAAATTGAAAAAGAGTGAAATTTCGAATTTTAACAGCCGATTTAAATTGCGTTTCGAGGGGGGGGGGGGTCTGCGTTTGTTTGTATGTATGCACGCAAAACCTATGTAGTCGTCAAAAAGTGCCTTCCCACCATCCGTTTGGGCTGAAATTTTGCACAGTTATTGGGTGACTGATAATCTCGGACCGCAAGAAGAGTTTTTTTCAAAATAGGCTTTTAAAAAATTTATATTTAATTGTTAAGTTTAGAAGCTAAATTGCGGTCAAAACAATGGTTAGTGATGTCCGTTTGGGCTGAAATTTTGCTCAAATATACATTAGACCATGCTGGAATAAGTAAAGAAAAAAATTGCAACGAAAGAATGCTTCTTCTCTGAGATATTATAACTTTAAACCTTCGCCATACGGGGCGCCACCCTCCCCTTTGGCGGCCCCAGTCCCGAGCGGGGCGGGCGGGTCTAGCTTCCCCAAGACCGGCCTCCAGTCTCCCTGTTGGCCTAGTGGTTAGCACGCTGTACTGGGAAGACTTGGCTCCCGAGTTCGAACCCCACCCAAAACATGGTTTTTGCCGATTGGCCCCCGTGCATCCTTATAGTTTCTAGTGCCGTCACAAAGCGCCGCAGGCAAATTTTTTTGAAGTATTGCGAACAAGGGTTCATCTGAATGAGTATTCCTTGGCTTATTTTACGATCTTAACAATAAGATTGAGGCAAAAAGGGCTAAATTCTCTCTAAGGCTAAAAAGAGTCTTTTTAAAAAAGGGCTTTTGGTTTTCGCAAAAAGAGACGAATTCTCGTGGCAACAAAAAGAGCTAAATTCCTTTCAAACTCTTAAAAATGCCACAGAATGTGGGTTCAACCAAAAGTTGCTGGAACCTTATTAAAATGGACAGATCTAGTTTCTAGCGGTTTCGGCTTGCAAATAATTTCTGTTATGATCTATTTGCACTTTCTTGAAATTAATCTGTGGACCTGACCTGTGATCTGGGATGGTACCGAGTTTATTAAGGTTTTAAATAGCCAGCAACTTTTTGTTGTTCCCGCATTCTGTGGCATTTTTAAGAGTTTGAAAGGAATTTAGCTCTTTTTGTTGCCACGAGAATTCGTCTCTTTTTGCGAAAACCAAAAGCCCTTTTTTAAAAAGACTCTTTTTAGCCTTAGAGAGTGCTAATTAGGGTTACTTACCGCATTAAAGGGTCGCCTCCTTAATCGTGTCCGGCAACAGAAACGGAGGGCGAGAGTGTGAGCGAGAGATAGAGAGTGTGATCTGGCGAGAGAGTGAGCGAGAGATAGAGAGTGACCTGGCGAGAGAGTGAGCGAGATATAGAGAGCGTTCGGACGAGAGAAACGGCGGGCGAGAGTAAGCGAGAGGTAGAGAGTCCCCTGGCGAGAGAAACGGAGGGAGAGAGTAAGCGAGAGATAGAGAGCGATCGGACGAGAGAAACGGAGGGAGAGAGTAAGCGAGAGATAGAGAGCGATCGGACGAGAGAAACGGAGGGAGAGAGTAAGCGAGAGATAGAGAGCGATCGGACGAGAGAAACGGCGGGCGAGAGTAAGCGAGAGGTAGAGAGTCCCCTGGCGAGAGAAACGGAGGGAGAGAGTAAGCGAGAGATAGAGAGCGATCGGACGAGAGAAACGGAGGGAGAGAGTAAGCGAGAGATAGAGAGGGATCGGACGAGAGAAACGGAGGGAGAGAGTAAGCGAGAGATAGAGAGCGATCGGACGAGAGAAACGGAGGGAGAGAGTAAGCGAGAGGTAGAGAGTCCCCTGGCGAGAGAAACGGAGGGAGAGAGTAAGCGAGAGATAGAGAGCGATCGGACGAGAGAAACGGAGGGAGAGAGTAAGCGAGAGATAGAGAGCGATCGGACGAGAGAAACGGCGGGCGAGAGTAAGCGAGAGGTAGAGAGTCCCTTGGCGAGAGAAACGGAGGGAGAGAGTAAGCGAGAGATAGAGAGCGATCGGACGAGAGAAACGGAGCGAGAGAGTAAGCGAGAGATAGAGAGCGATCGGACGAGAGAAACGGAGGGAGAGAGTAAGCGAGAGATAGAGAGCGATCGGACGAGAGAAACGGCGGGCGAGAGTAAGCGAGAGGTAGAGAGTGACCTGACGAGAGAAACGGAGGGAGAGAGTAAGCGAGAGATAGAGAGCGATCGGACGAGAGAAACGGCGGGCGAGAGTAAGCGAGAGGTAGAGAGTCCCTGGCGAGAGAAACGGAGGGAGAGAGTAAGCGAGAGATAGAGAGCGATCGGACGAGAGAAACGGAGGGAGAGAGTAAGCGAGAGATAGAGAGCGATCGGACGAGAGAAACGGAGGGAGAGAGTAAGCGAGAGATAGAGAGCGATCGGACGAGAGAAACGGAGGGAGAGACTAAGCGAGAGATAGAGAGCGATCGGACGAGAGAAACGGAGGGAGAGAGTAAGCGAAAGATAGAGAGCGATCGGACGAGAGAAACGGCGGGCGAGAGTAAGCGAGAGGCAGAGAGTCCCTGGCGAGAGAAACGGAGGGAGAGAGTAAGCGAGAGATAGAGAGCGATCGGACGAGAGAAACGGAGGGAGAGAGTAAGCGAGAGATAGAGAGCGATCGGACGAGAGAAACGGAGGGAGAGAGTAAGCGAGAGATAGAGAGCGATCGGACGAGAGAAACGGAGGGAGAGAGTAAGCGAGAGATAGAGAGCGATCGGACGAGAGAAACGGAGGGAGAGAGTAAGCGAGAGATAGAGAGCGATCGGACGAGAGAAACGGCGGGCGAGAGTAAGCGAGAGGTAGAGAGTCCCCTGGCGAGAGAAACGGAGGGAGAGAGTAAGCGAGAGATAGAGAGCGATCGGACGAGAGAAACGGAGGGAGAGAGTAAGCGAGAGATAGAGAGCGATCGGACGAGAGAAACGGAGGGAGAGAGTAAGCGAGAGATAGAGAGCGATCGGACGAGAGAAACGGAGGGAGAGAGTAAGCGAAAGATAGAGAGCGATCGGACGAGAGAAACGGCGGGCGAGAGTAAGCGAGAGGCAGAGAGTCCCCTGGCGAGAGAAACGGAGGGAGAGAGTAAGCGAGAGATAGAGAGCGATCGGACGAGAGAAACGGAGGGAGAGAGTAGATGCTATTTCTAAATAAAATCTAAGAAGAGGTGTGCGGAAATCGACGATTTCCGCACACCTTTTTTAAGCTTATTCGAAATAAAGCCCTGAAGCAGAACCTCTGCTTAGATTTTATTTCGAAATAGCGTCAAAAAAGGTGTGCAGAAATCCCAAAATTCGACCAGGGGTGTATTAGACCCTAAATAACCACAATCCTGACTTATAGCCCGCCAGCTACAGTAATTTTCGAGATACAACGAAAATAAACTTTATTATTTGTTTTTCATTTTCCGTCGGAGTCGACCTTTCGATTATTAAGTGAAAATGAAACGGCAAGCCTTCTTTACCGCTAGAAATTTTTTCCTGATAAGAATTAATCAAATAAACGTTGATTTCAACAATTTTTGTAACCCAAAGTCACCACCGATACTAAACGAAATTAGGGATGCGCAGCCGGAAGTTGATGCAAATCAATGCAAAGTCCAAAAAGATAGCCGAAAAAACTGATAAGAATCGCGTAAAAAATAGTATTTTTACTGTATCTCGAAAATTACTGTAGCGTTCGGGCTATAACTCAGGATTGTGATTATTTAGGGTCGGATACACCCTTTTGAAAAGTATGGGACCTATCGAATGTAATACGGCGAAATGCCAGATGGGTCGTTTTTTTGGGACACCCTGTATACACACATCCACCGAAAAACACTATTTTATATACATAGTAGGATCTCCGCTTTTAGCCTCGTGGAGTAATTCGTCTCGTTCCTCTCGGTTTTCTGCTCTTATTTTCGTCTCGATTTCCTCTCCGTTTTCTGCGCCATTCTCGTCTCGTGTTCCTCCCCGTTTTCTACTCTATTCCAATTTTTTTCTAAACCCTGCTTGTCCTCAAAATTGTTTTCGTGCTCGCGTCTCGTTTTTTGGAGAATTTTTATTCATGCCCTCTTGTTTTCTTTTGTGTTCTCGTTGCGCCGTTCACTTTTCAAAGTAACTTTTTCAGGTCCCGAGCTCATCCCCACGCATCGACCGCCGGCGGGGCCCTGACAGTGGAGCCGATGTTCCTACTCTCGTAAGAAAAAAAGAAAAAGTCTGTAAAATGTTTAAAAGTTTTTTAAAAATACTTTTCCTAGTTTGGTTCTTTTCGTATTTCGAGCGGGGGAAAAAACTGTCCGGGGGAATTTGATTGAGCAGAACTTCGATTTTAGCTATTTTCTCGCAATTTTTGCAACGGCATTCGATAGAGCTTCCAAAAATGCACTAGAACAGTACCCCTAGTTTTAAAAATACTTGCTGTCATCACGGCTTCCAAAGAAATCTAAATTATTCCCCGGGATAGACCTTTTGTCGTAATTTGCACAAAAGATAGGTTCATGCGGTTTTCACTTTATAGCCGATTTTTTTCGTACAATTTTCCCGCATATGCACCCGAACTATTGATAAAATGGCTCTTCGAAAAAGAACTAAAAGCGTGTGTTTTCATGGCGTTTTTTTTGGCTTGGAAAGACCACGTGCTGACGTAGACAGCAAACATCTTACTCTTAGTAAGCCTTTAGTAATCATTAGAAATTTATATCCCAGCGTATAAACAAACGGTGGGCAAAAAGAGATACTGAGATCAACAAATCGAAAGATATCACAAATAGTTCGATACATGAGATCTTCTAATGGAAACATAACACAATAAGTACTAACAAAGATAGCTTGGATGCAATGGTTCGGACAGAGGGAAGGCGTTACACGGGGAACATTTTCGGGTTGAGGCCGCCGCGACGAGCTGTTGAAGATTTTCCTCCTCTGCGGGCACCACTAAATATCGAATTGCCGAGAACGGTTCTTGTTCGTTAGCAGGGGGGATTTTGTCTCTTAAATTACATTATTTTGAGCTGATTTTGATGCATTATCTATAACAGAATGAAAAATATCGAAACTCACGAAAACTAGCTTAGCACCCCATTTCTAGGTTTTTTTTTTGCTTTTTAATAACTTTCTTAAAATCGCGTGTTTTGATTTAGAACTAAAATTCTCAGGATATTTTTTGATTCTCTACCGGGTATCGATGATGTGGTCCCCAAAAGATTTTGAAAGATAGAAAAATCTAGGAAATCACCCCCTCCCCCCGCGCAAACGAACCAGAACCTGGAGAACAGCAAAAAATATTTACCCGGAACTTTGGCTGCCTCTCGTTTGATGGGGTGTACGCTTTTTGCCGCCTCTGCCCCTCGACGTGTACCGGCCACGGAAAGCTGGCCGCGATGAGGACGGGACGTCAGACTAAAAAATTTATGACATCCTGAATGTCAAAAGCCCACCTGCGTCGGTCTCGGCGGTGATGAGAAGCCACCCAAAACGATGTTACTGTTCTTCATATTTGTCAGCTGGGCTCGCATCTCGTTTTCCTCACGCGCTAGAATTCTTTTAATAGAGAAAATCGGCTTTTCCTACCATCCACTTCATCCCAAAACGGCTTCAGTATCTCCATGATGCGGCCCCCAAAACGACTGACCTAAACCAAAATATAGGGGAACAAAGTTCAAAGATCCTACTTTCATATTGGTCATGGAGTCGATTTTGAGTAGATCCGTATTCGTCCGAGGCATTACAGCTGCCAACTACAAGAAAGATAGATCCGCGCTTTCGCATTATCGGCGGGTGGCGGAATAATTTTTTTCTCAGGATCCAGATTTTTCTAATAGAAATAGCGGAATTAAACTCCTTTTTACTATTGCTAAACGTAAAAATCTTGCAAATTTTTGTTAAAAAAATACGAAAATACCAATTTTTGGATAAAAATTCAAAATTTTCTGTTTTTGGTTTTTCCATTTGAAATCCACTAAATTTTACTAAAGACGCTAGAAAACCGTCAAAACAATTTTATCACGTCACATCACTACGTGTTCCTGGACTTCCAAGAAAAAAATTAGGGTCCCCCGATAATGCAAAAGACGTAATATATCAGACCTGTTCCAATCCGTCGCGCGAAATAATTGTAGCCGCACTATTGAAGCCAAACTCGGTGGCCAGCTCTTCGATCTTTGCCCTAACGCCGCTCAGGCAGCGCTCGAAAATGTCTTTGTGTTTGATGCGGTATCTAAAATACGGTATTCAATCGAACGAATCCATGGAGTACCTTTCTTTCAGCACTTCTGCCTCACTGACCACGACCATGTTGATCGACACGACATCATTTTGGGCGGCGACACTTTTTCGGCTTTTGACTTCCTCGGCGATATGCAGATAGAGCTGAAAGTTACAATACACACAAAAGCTTTTTCCGAAACCGAAAACTAGCTTTTAATCAGCGTGGAATTCGGTACAAAAAATGCTTGGTTATATTTCTAAACTCCGCGGACACTCAAAAACGTCGCGCTGTCACCGCAATAAAAACCCTCAAACCTTTGCTTTGGCTCGATGGTCAGCTACTGCACGTCCTTTTGGCGTCAATTCGGCATATCCAATGACCGCCTCCATCTTATTGACAAAAAGGCGCTCGTGGATATAACTAAAACTGTAGTGTCGGAACTAAAAAAGGCACTTACCCCTCAAACACCAGCGCATGCATAAAGCGTAGAGCATCGATTTCCGACATTGATTTGCCGCGTCCAAATAGGGCATGATTGTTGAGGAACTAAAAGGGCGATCAGGAATATCGAAACGATACTACTGACATTCGGGCCTTTTTGCGTCTTCAGGTTGCCACGGTAAGCTTGCGCAAGTTGGGTCAGCGTTATCGTCCGCGATTTGCTGATCGCCTAAAACAAGAAAACTTAAAAAATTCGGGGTTTCCTAGAAAAACATCGGATGCGTTTCCACATTATTTTGAACTAGTCCTGAGTATAACAACTTTTCAAATCCTACTATATATAAAAAAAATAGTGTCTGTGTGTGTGTGTTTGTGTGTGTGCCACTTTGCATCCACCTCCGTCTGTCTGTCCGGAGGATATCTCAAGAGGCGAGGGGTGATAAGCTACGTATGATACGTCATTAGGTGCGTAATGGTCTAGGGATGACTGCACACATATCAGATTTTTACAAATGAGCCATTTTCGCTATTAAATTTAGGTTTTTGTAAAAACCTCTTTGTTAGGAATAATTAGCATAGACCGGAAGTGGGCGGCCGCCTATATAAAGAGGCAGAAAGGGTTGTTTTTCATTTTTTTTTGTCTTCTGAATCGAGGACAATTATGCAAAGGGCCGAATAGTATGGGGTCCGAGACGGGGCCAGGGTTGAAAAGTCGCGAAGCGGCTTTTCAACCCTGGTTGTAACTAAAAAAATGAAATTTTAGGTCGAAAATAAAGAATTCTATCGAAAATGACCGAATTTTCATCTTTTCCCAACAATTTCGAACCGATTTTGAAAATTGTTCCACTCGAAATATAGTAAAAACTTACTAAAAACTACATAAGGAAATCTAAATAAGAAATAAGCTTCAACACCGACTTCCAAAACATAGACGGCCTCATCGGACAGGTCGTACATCTTGTACAAATTCGGATTCTTGCACAGCCTCTCGCAGACATCACACGGCGTGGTCGACGTCGCGCACGTAGCCGCGTCAAATACCTAGCAAGTTGGTAATTTATTTAGAAAAGAGAGACATACCTCTCCGAAATGCTCGACCAGCATCTTACGCCGGCAGGTCGTCACCGCTTCTGCATATTGCAACATCTGCAAACACAAAAATTTAAAAACGAATTTTTCCGCACCTGGATGATGCTTTGTAGGTGCATGTTTCGAACGCCCGACCTTGAGTCTTCGCCTGAAAATATTATATTTTAAAATAATAATAGTAAAATGGACGTTATTATATTTTTTTGCCATGTTTTGTTCTCTCGTTTATAGAAAAGGCGTATTCTATTTTCGAGGAAATTTAACTATATGAAGAAAAATAAAATGATCATATATTTGAAAATAGAAAACTTCAGCAACCTTCGACCATTCGACGTAGCCTGATCGAGTCTTGGTACGAGTAGAGTAGGCAACAATAACTTGGCAGTCCATCACGACCAGCCCGCCCCGTTTCCTAAATTCAGTGTCATAAATTTCAAGCCTCTGTATACTACCTGATAATACCCCTCAATCGATTTTGGCAAACTGTAATGGATGACGAAGCGGACGTCTGCCTTGTCAATCCCCATTCCGAAAGCTAAAGACAAAATTCTCCTCAAACAAAAACCGGTATTTACCGATTGTGGCGCAAATCACGTCAAATTTATTTCCGATCCATTTGTGTTGTACCTAGAAAAATAAGTCATAGTAAGTAGTAGAAAATGACCTCGACGCGCTTCTTATCGGTCAGACCAGCGTGATAGACATCGGCCGAGAAACCGCTCTTCCGTAACATTATGGCGACTTTGTCACATTCCGCTCTAAAAGTTATAGAAATTAGGGGATTAAGGGAAAAAGGCTCTGGTTAGCGTTTCATCGTTAACGGCGGGGGGTCAAAGGGAAGATAGCTATTTTTCGAGATTTTGGTAACGCCGAACCAAAAACATATAGTAAGAGCTGTAAAAGGCAAAAATTAAACAATCTAAAATATCAGAATAAAGAAAAGACGGTGGACACCCCCGGCTATCGAACCAGAACCGGCAACAAACCTCGAAAGACAATAAATGATGCCGGCTTTCCCAGGATACAGTTGCTTCATCTTTTCCACCATCTTCACAGCAGTCTTTGCCGATTTGGGCACCAAGTCGTACTTCAGATTGGTACGCACAAAACTGCTGATGAAGCTGGAAAATACAGAAGCATACGGTAAATTCTGAACAGGCTTACAATTTGGCATTCGGAATACCGAGATGATCCTTCGTGTCAGTGACTGTCTTTGGGGTGGCCGTTGCGGTCAGAGCGACGATCGGCACCTAAAATAAAAATATTAGAGATAAGCACTACAGTTACATCCGGATTTTTGTAGTTGTCACGTAGCGAGGTGAGCTTCGTGTAATCGGGACGGAAGTCGTGGCCCCACTGAGAGACACAATGAGCCTCGTCGATCACGAAGCGCGACAGGTATCCTCGGCGATGCAGGGCTGCGAACCGCGACAAAAGTTTTGCCGAAGCAGCAATCTTAAAAGCAAAATAGGCAAAATAGCAAACACTCAACAATTCGCACTTTTTTACAGTCAAAAGTTTTTCTTATCTTTTTCTTCTATTTTGAAATCTGACAGTTTTGATCTCAAATAGATCGTTACCAGGGACGTAGCATAATGTCGGCCCCCGGCGACCACCCGAATGCCTAGTGGATATGCGTACCTTTTCCGGCGTTACATAGAGCAACTTTATATCCGGCGGATCCATCGACAATCGATCGTAGATTTGATTTGCCTGTGCTTCGCTCAAGTCGGCTGTAAGAGCCTCACATGTGATCTCAAAAACTGCATAAAATAAAGTTTAAGCACCAACATCGAGCTCTCGCATCTTGACCCGTTGGTCCTCGATAAGCGACCGCAGCGGAGAAATGACAACGGTGACGCCAGGCGATAGAATTGCTGGTAGCTGATAGCATAAACTCTTTCCGGCTCCTAAAAATCGATAAACTTATCGTTTTTGCATATTCACACACCAGTTGGCATCAGAACAAACACGTCATGGTTTGAGAGAATCGCCGCGATCGCGTGCTTCTGGCGATGCCGGAATGAGTTGAAGCCAAATTTATCCTTTAGAGTGGCGTAGAGCCGCTGTTTCATATCGACCCCGAGAATCGCCCCTAAACTCCAGTTTAGAAAAAAATTGGGGCAACCTTCATCCTCGAAAGCATCGCTATCGTCCTTCAAGAAACCTCGGAATTGGCCGTGCATGTCTAGAAAGTTGGTTTAAGTTTCATAGTAAAGGAAAAGACTGACCCTTCCTTTGACGGTCCCCTTGTTGCGTTATGATCACATCAGGCTGTTGATTTTGAGCGACGTTCGAGGTACTCGGCTAAAGAAAGAATACTTTCTCTAATATCACGACTAAACATTTTTTTTCAAAATTGCTTTAAAGATTCCAAAAATATGCGAAAGTCAGTGCCCTTCCGGTTGAAATTCCCCGCATGAATTTGTACACCAATTTAATTTGAAGTTGCTCAAAATAAAAAAAATTGCCCCTTTGGCATAATAAAAAGATAGAATTCCCGGATTGTTAGAGGAAATGCGATGTTTAAATAAATGGTATTAAAGAAACAGTAATAATCAAGGTATACCATGTCGTCGAAGCTATCGTAGCCCGGATCAGCAGCCCCAACGTCATCATCAAAGTCGTCGAAAAGTGCTTCCGGGGCTGGTTCGTTGTCAAAACTGTCGAAAATAGCTTGTTGCATCGGTTCATCGTCAAAGCTATCATAGCCGTCGTTGGGCGCCGGATTGTTTGGTTTTAGGAATGAAGGCGTCTGGTCCATCGGCTCGTCGTCATGATGCGGACCCCGAAAGTCCATATTGAAACTCTACTAGAAAGTTTAGGGAAAAACGTAAAGGATACCTCATCCATAGGGTCGTGGAGAACGGCATGATCTTGTCGTGCGCGTTTGCGCAGACTTTGAATCGAGATTTCTTCTGGCTCGCTCTTTTCAAGCATATCTGAGACGAGATATTTCCCGATAATTTGTTTGCTGTAGTTTTTCCCATCACGAGCCAACATTTGTAAGCGTCTATGATGCCTTCCGTTTAGTCGGGGGCCATAGCCTTAGCCGCCTTAGCGGGCGTGGGGTAGCCAAGTTTTCTCCGTTTAGTCTAACCTAGGGAGATCAAGCTTATTTTAAAGGGATACCGACGGCATAGTCAATCGATTACGCGCTGGAAAGAAAATGTCTCTGCGCCTCTCCCCAGGGCGCGCTCTCTGCCCCCTTGGCTACTTGCCAATTTGTTGATGGGGGATCGACACATGCCGTCGGCAGCCCTTTAACAGGTTTTTAGTAGATAGTTTCCAAGAACTGCAAAACCATAAAGAGGTTTCAACATTTCGGGCGATATTCTTTACAATTTTGGAACAAAGCTCAAATTTTTGGATGGTTTCCATGCAATTTTTAGACTTAAAACCGAAATCAAATGCTAAAAAAATAGGCTATATTATCCGGCCCAGAGGAGGCCATAGAAAAAGTAGGATAGTACCACCCCCGCTAAACGAAAAGCACCGCGTTTATGATGTGAGCCTAGGAGATCAATAAATAACAACAATAATCGTTAGAATAATAATTACCATCGTAAGAATAGCTATGATAGGAAGGATCATCCGCCAAGCCAAGCCCCGTCGATGTAATCTCGACCGCATTTTTATACGTATCATCTCCCGTTCGATAGTTATCATAGAAGTTGTTTCGAGTCTAATAAAGAAGCTATGTTCGTTAAAAGACAATACTACCTCGTCTCCGTGCTTCCGAACCGACAAATTACCAGCAGAAACGGCTCGGTCGAAGGCGTACGTGTCAAAGGTGTCCGTCATATTCACCGCCGTGGGAACTCCCGAATGATAGTCGTTGCAGCACATAAATTTCGGGATCTAAAGCTGTTGAAAGCGCAAAAAACGAAAGTTACCTTGAAATTCGGGTCCGGGATCACAAAGGAAAACCTATTGTGCTGCACCCTTGGTCGAAATTGATAGGCATTGCTGTCGTCTGAGGGCATGCCTGAAAATGCACAATAGAACGATACTAACATAGTTCTACTAGCCAAAGTCACGCAAAAACACTGAAAAGAACAATAAAATAGTTTTCAAATAATAAAGCAATCTTTTTTGTATTTTTTCCAATCCGATCAAAATCATAAAAGCCCCAACCGTCCATGGTACAACCTTGACGTATCAGCGTAAGTTTGTGAGACACGTAGTAGATTTGTATTTATTGGTTTTTTTGACTTTCTGTCTGCTTTTTGATTGAAAAGAAAAGCATTACAAAGCAGCGAGATCTTCCGGGAAAGCTTATGCGAGCAAAGGGAGCGCTCTTTTGAGTACGCGCCAAAAGCTGTTTAGACTAAAATCGGATAGAAACAAGCTTAGGAGGCTTTTAATTCACACAAATTCCACGAAAGAAGCAGAGAATCGGAAAAGCTGGGGTCTATTCAGCCAAGTTACTGGGGTGTCTGGCTGGGAGGGGTGAAATCAAAATAGCAACCTTGCCGAGACATACTCGCAGTGAAGAATTATAGACTGGCCATGAACATTTTACATCAGCAATCTGCATTATAAGCCCTGTGACGTCAAACATGGCTTTTCAGTACATTCCTCATTGGTGGCGACGAGGATGGCGGACGGTACGTTGCTATTCTTTTACAACCAAATGATAACTACAATAAAATACGATGATGCAGCCCTTCCAGATAAACGCCGCAATGTTCTTCGCATGTTCGCCACGCACCTGAAAGTAGATCTACCTTAGAAGTCTATACTTCTGATCTAGGGCGCGAAGGCGCGGCAACAGGGAGCAGCGGGAGTTGCGCTGCCGCCTTCCCCATCGGCGCCGGCAAGTCCCATCGCGGCTTCACCGGCTGGCGCGCGTTCGTTTATATTTTTACGGATTTCGTTGGTTTTATAATGATAGAGTTCAAGGCTCTGGACTGTTAGCGGGGGGAGGGCTGCGAGTGGTCTATGCCTCCTAAAACTTATCTGCTCTTGACTGTGTGTCGGTATTTTGATTACTAAAAAGGGGGAAATTTATTTGGGACAATTTAACAATTGAGACGTTTGACAATTTTCATACTTTTCGTCAAGAACCAATTTTTTTGAGCGTTATTATGTGTTAGGAATTTTCTATATACTTCAGAACAGTGCAAAAACGCACATAATGGTGTGTAATTCGTTATTAGGACACCAGCGGCGTTAGACCAAAGTTCGCCCCCCCGCTCATATTCCAAAACCGTACTTAATCTGGTGTGATAAAAAATGAATGAAAATGTAGATATTTTTAACCATAACCATGTGTTTTAGCACCCGGCTCGCTGCGGAAAAAGAAGCGCTTCGGGAAAGATGTGGACAAAACGGTACCGCTTTTTGTTTCCAGAGTAATTTTTATAGGAAGGGGATGATTCGCCTCGCCGCAAGATTTCCGGCAACAAAAGCAAGGAGCACATCTCGACGAAACAGGACAAATCCGGCGCCCGCAACCAGCAAAATGCCCAGAAGTATGGTGTAGTTTTCTTTTTGTTCCGCTCTCTCCCTCCTTGATTAGAATCCCACATTTGAATACGGTTCGATGATTAACGACTGGAGCATTGGGCATTCATTCCTCGATGAAGCGCCGGGGCTTCCAGTCGACCAAGCCGGACAGCCCTGCCTCGCCCAACAGCCCCACATCCAGCGATGGGGCGGCCAAGGTAATGGTTAGAGTCACTATCCCCCGCTAACAGTCCAGAACCTCGTAGAGTATTTCCTCTTCAGCAATCGCCAAAGGGCTCGACGGTTGAGGCCCGGAAGGCTGGCACTGCACCGATGGCACGATCTTTGCCCCCACGCAGCGGCTCGACCACAGAGCAAGAATCCGACGACATCGACTCGGGCTCAATGAGGCTGGACGTCAACGAGGCATTACTACCAAAAAGCCGCGAGACGCTCTCTCTCTCGGCGGAGGAGAGCCCAAGTGCCGTCCGGCCAGAACCCAAGTTGCCGGATCCTGTCAAGCCGGCCGTCCGCAAAAGCGGCGATGCTGGCGGGATGTTCTTCTCCTTCTTCCGCGGCAAAACCAAGCCGATCCCCGCTCCGCAGCCGATCCCGGTCCCGAAGCCGTCCCCCGTTCGCCGGATACCGAGGGCCAAAATTGTGCTGAAAGCTGCGGATCCGCCGCCTCAACGCGAGGCTGCCTCGCCGATAGCGCGGAAGATGCAGTCCAAATTGCGTCCTACTTCAAATATCAAGGCTCGGGCGTGAGTCGAAGTACAAGATAACATCGTTTTCTAGAAAGACTTTCCAAGGTTGATCTAACGTTATTTCATGGTTTTTGAGGAAGGGAGGGTGCGGAGTAAACAAATTGATTCATAATTTTTATTTTTTAGTTGGGGCTACGATGGAGTCAAGAAAGTGCACGAGGTGAAGGACGAGGAGGCCGAGCAGATTACCGAGTTTGAGGAAGTGGTGGGTTTACAACTTCGCGATTGTTACACCTATTTTTAGCAAGGCGCTCGTCCAGCCCAGTGTGGGCAACGGAAGCCCATGAAATTGCGTTGGAAGGGCTTTGAGGCGCTCGAAAAAAGTGGTTTTCCTTATGTTTGCCTACCTATCATTTTTAGCCACGAAGAAGGGGGCCGAGCCTGCAAAAGAAAAGTCGCAGAACAAGGAGCGCAAACCGCGCATCCAGCCCGAAGAGCGTCCACCACCTGCCGTTCCCGAGAAGTCGCGTGCGGTCAAGCCGAAGAAAGTGGACGTCGCGGCGGAGAAGGAGAAAGAGAAAGACAAGGAGAAAGAGCGAGAGAAGGAAAAGGAAAAGGAAAAGGAGAAAGGGAAGGAGAAGGAGAAGGAGAAAGAGAAGGAAAAGGAGAAGGAGAAAGAGAAAGAGAAAGAAAAGGTTGTTTTAAAACTGGTACTAAATCTGCCCTTAGGAAAAGGAGAAACCGACGCCGACCGAGGAAAAGAAGAAGAAAGAAGAAGAAGACAAGAAAGTCGAGGACGATGCCCAGAAGCTGTACGAATCGCCAAATGCCCCAACGATCGCAGACGCAGTGACCGCGCCGGTTCTGCCCCCGACGGTCGCTGTCGCTGCAGATGATCCATCGAAAGACTTACCAGCTGCCGTCGCCCCCAGTGGATCCTCCGTGGCTGCGTCGGCCGCTTCCGCCTCCAGCACAACGGCCGTCGATGAAGAGCACAGGGTAGTGAATATTTACCATTCCATGATTACAAAGTGTAGGCGCTGATCAACACTGCCACCAAATTCATGCACATCTGCAAGCGGAACAACATCATGGAGAACCTGTTGCTGTCACGTCAGGAGGAGGTAATCTGAAAGAAATGTACATCCATAAATTCAATCCTAGAAGCTCCGCGCGTTCTTTGGAGCTGACATGAAGCCGGAGCTATGCACCCCTGAGGTGCTCGATCTCATCGAGAAGGGCCTGGAGCGGATGCTCGACATCATCCTCTTCAAGGGCGATGAATTGGATGTCCCGATCGACAATGAAATTCGCTGGTAAGCACTATCGATGGGCAGAAATCTAGCTCGATAGGTTCATCATCAACCGCACCGTGGCAAAGCAGGCAATCATGGAGGTGATGCTCACTCAGCAGCATCTGGTCCCCTTCTCCTGGGGAGGCAAGCAGCTTAACGACGGTGAGCAAAGTCCCTGGATTCGTGACTAATCCTATTTAGCTGCCGCCGCTGCTCTCCCAGCTGGCAACGAATGGACGGGCGTCGTGCAACAGCTTGCGGAGCCTCGCGAAAATCGCTACAAGGCTAAGCCACCCCAGGAAGCTCCCAAGGATGGCAAAGACACCAAGCCCAAGCAGCCGGATACCAGCAACGTCGGTTCCGCCCTTCCGTTTTAGGAATCCTTGTTTAGAAGACGCAGAAGGGTCGGAAGGCCAACTCGAAAGAGGTCGCCAAAGTGCCGAAGTCGCCATCGAAGACCCCATCCGTCTACATTCCTCATTACAAATAAGCACCGTATTAGTTGTCTCGTAACACTATTTTTTCTGTACTACACATTATCTCTGCAAAGTCCTTCGTATTTTTTTTTAAAAACTCGTTGGGCTCGAAAACTCGAAATTCCCGGTCACATTCCTCCATTGCTTGCATGCTTTTAACACACCATTCGTTCATTGGTACTCGATAAACCCGTTTGATTTCCCGATCCCCTTGGAGCTGTTTGAGGTGTGCAACGGTGGGAACAAAGTGTTTATTTGTACGTTCACAGAAAACCTAATGGCACGGCTCGAAGTTCCCAAAAATCAACTGTTTTCGACACGTTTTATGATCGCACGGGTAAATGGTGAACCTCCGATTGAGTATACATACAATAGATGCCCACAGCATGCAACAAACACTGGCGCTTCAATAATTCACATAGTGGTCGTGAAGTTCTAGTTCTCTGTGTGTGGGAAGTCGGCGGAAATAGCTAGGAAATCTGTAACATTTAAAAACTAGGCGCGCACCTGTCAACAGTATGATCATCAACTTCCTCGAGGGTTGCTGGCTTCCATTTCGGTTTACGGTCCTTGTCGATCAAAACTATAAAAAGAAGGTCGCGACTGAAATTCTGCCTTACTAGCACGACAGCCTTCGTGGAAATCGTGTTCCTCCATGAGACGTTGTGATAGACGGTATTCCATCGGGAATATCTGTAAATACGAGACGATGAAACAGAGCTGGGGGAAAAGAGTACCTCTGCGAAAGACATCCGGCTTCCCATGTCTAATTGTTGAGCGGTCACCTTCAGAGAAGTCGGGCTCTGGAAAGGTAAATAAATTCCGACTAGAATCGTTAGAACGCCTACCATTTTGCCGATAACTGCGTGCTGTTTCTTGGCCCATTCACTGTCATCGTCTTTTAAACGCTTGATGATGTCGACCACAGACCTTAGATAGTCCGTACAAATTCCATTGGCTAAAAATTACCTCCCGGCAAAACAACGCCGAATTTTCTCGAGATCCTTTTTCAAGCCAAACTCGGGCACCTCGGCTGCCGAATACGAGGCAAGAACATCTCGAACGAGTGCGTCGTCAATCTATAGCAATCTCAATGCAACAGTCCAAAGCATACCTTTTTCAATCCAGCAAATTCTTCTTCTAGTTTGGGCAAATCCTCAGACCGGATCTGAACTGAATTGTATCAAGCCATTCCTAATTGCGTACGTAGTGACTCGCTAACCCGCTGTGGAATACGTCGGCACCGGTCAGTCTGTGGCCGGTTAGCGCAAGGAACATGCCCAGATTATCAGAAAGCCTAAAAATCTGGCGTTGAAAAAATAAAATTTCTTGAGAACCTTGAGAGAAAATAGCTGCCACCAACATCCGGGAACAGACCGAGAGCTGTTTCTAGAAAAAAAGAAATAGGATTCAAGGAAAATCAACGAACCAGGCATAGCCAGCATCGTCTTTTCCGTGGCAACCCGATAACGGCCGTTGATTGAGAGACCGCAACCCTACCAAATGTATGATTAATCGCCAGAAAATAATGTGCTTACCCCGCCCATAACGATGCCGTCCATTAGAGCAACGTAGGGAGTAGACATTTTTCCGAGCAAGAAATTGAGGCGATATTCTTCCCTAGAGAATATAAGCTCAGTAGAAAATGGCATACTTGAAGAAATCCTTGTGCAACGTCGTCTCCTCACCCGCACGTTCTTTCAGCGCAGAAGCAGAGACGGCTAAAACAATATATCTAATCCTTCAAAATGACCCTACCAAGCACATCACCACCGGCACAAAAAGCCTTCTCTCCGGCGCCCTTGATCAAAATTAGCTGGATATCGCCGGCGCAGTTCCATTCCTCAAAAAAAAAGAATAAATCCACCTTGAAATCTTTTACCTGAAGCAGCGGGTACATCTTGCGGACCATGTTCAGGTTCAGGGCATTTAGCGCTTTCGGTCGGTTCAGAGTGATGGTTCCGACGACCCCACGGGCCGAGGCGAGCACTTCTCCCTCCACCATTTGAGTTGCTACACTGCGTGTCTAAATTCACATTATTAATTTGCTAATTCCGTCGAAAGGAAGTTGCACGCGTCAACCAATTTATCTTTTTGAACATCTCCTAGCTAGCGAACTACCGAATTCAACAAACTCGCCTTGATTCGACTCGGAACACCGGAAACCCTGTGGAGCAGCCTTGCCGCCGACATCGCGGAAGGCTCTAAATTGATTTGTAAATCATGTTCGGAAAATTTAGAGAAAGTGAAGGTAGGAATTCTGTATTTTGTTTGAAAACCGCCAGCTTTGACAGCGTGGCTTGCTCTAGCGATTTCTACCTCATTTCAGTTGTTACTCAAATGATTTGGATCAGGTATTTGACAATCACTTATATATAAATTTCTAATGTCCGTGCGCCCGTCCGCCCGTCCGTCCGACCGGATCGCTGCGGGACCCCCAGGACCGGTTCGGACGGGTCCGGGAGCCCGGGGCGTTTCGGGATTTCGGTGTATGGGATGTTGATTTATTACTATTTATTACTATTTATTATTATTACTATTTTAAAATGTTTATCCCTTTTCCCCCCCGGGAGGGCCAGCGCTGAACCCCCGCGGAGCGGGGGGTCAGCGCTGGTTTTACTCAAATTTCAAGACCGCCTCGCACTTGCGCGAACCGCAGGAAAAGTTCCGGGAGGGCCAAAAACTGCCATCCGGCTTCAGCCGAACCCCCCAATATGGCGCTCTCCATACCGTATCCACCGATGCCACGCCCCCTTTTTCATAGATTTCAGCAGGCAAAGGGCGACGAAACGGCCAGACAGTCTTTTTTTGCCCTGAAAGATCCTAAACGGATCGATTTTTGCGCGTTTTTTGCATGCCATCTCTAAAGTCCGTAAAGATAAGAAGTTTTCTTATTTTCCATAGTCTTGCAAGCATCACACAACCCGAGCTTTTAGATTCGACAAACGAATCCACTTGGACAAACAGGAGCAATGGGTTCCTAGTGAGCCAGCCTTGGTTTAGCATTTATGTATTTTTTTAGCGGAGGCTATGGCGGAGGAGGAGGCGGCGGCGGAAGCTATGGAGGCCGCAGCGGTGGCGGAGGCGGCTATGGCGGCGGCGGACGCGGTGGTGACCGCGGCTATGGAGGTGGTGGTGGCGGATATGGTAAATTTGTGATTGGTATCTCGATCATCACTTTCTAGGTGGCGGCCGTGACGGTGGATTCGGTGGTGGCGGACGTAGCAACGGCTCAGCTGGTGGCAAGCTTCGCGAAGTTGACTGGAGCCGTGAAAATCTGAAGCCGATTCAGAAGAACTTCTACCACGAGCATGCATCGGTTGCTCGCCGCGAACAGGTACCCTCGTTTCTCTATTATTACTCTTTATAATTAAGTTTGAAATTGACCAATGGATTGCCCAAAACCAAGTCACACTACATGGACGCGACATCCCTCGGCCAATCTTCGAGTTCAATGAAGCCCCGTTCCCTGATGAGCTAGTCACCCTGCTTTACGGCTCCTTTCAAAAGCCCACCGTCATCCAATCGATCTCGTGGCCTATCGCCATGAGTGGACGAGACATCATTTCCATCGCCAAAACTGGATCCGGAAAGACTGTGGCGGTATGTTATCGAATAGTTTCCTATTTTTTTATTTAGTTTATGTTACCTGGCATCGTACACACGATCAATCAAGGACCTCGTCAACACCGCGAAGGACCATCAATTCTCGTGATGCTGCCGACTCGTGAATTGGCGCAGCAAGTCCAAGAAGTCTCCAAGGATTTCTGTCACGCGCTCGGTCTCAAGATGACATGCCTCTTCGGAGGTGCTTCTAAGGGACCTCAGGCCCGTGATCTCGAAAGAGGTGTGGACATCGTTGTCGCCACCCCTGGACGTCTTCTCGATTTCCTGGAGAACGGAACGACGAACCTTCGGCGTTGCTCTTTCTTGGTGCTCGACGAAGCTGACCGCATGTTGGACATGGGCTTTGAGCCGCAAATTCGCAAAATCGTCTCGCAGATTCGCGTAAGTTATTGGTGTTTGGTTCTAAAGCTCCTTTTTCAGCCGGATCGTCAGACGTTGATGTTCTCCGCCACATGGCCAAACGAAGTTCGCACCATGGCTGCCGATTTCCAACAAGATGCTGCCTATTTGAACGTTGGCTCGCTGGAGCTCTCCGCTAACCACAACATCACACAAATCATCGAGATCGTTCCTGAATTCGAGAAACAGCACAAGCTAATGTCTTTGCTCAACACTGTCATGAACCAGGTAGACCCCCATCTGTGTTTCTAATTCTTTTGTTTAGCCCGAATGCAAAACCATCATTTTCGTCGAGACGAAGCGGAAAGCCGACGACATCACACGATTCATGCGTCGTGATGGGTGGCCGGCTCTTTGCATCCATGGCGACAAACAGCAGGGAGAGCGCGACTGGGTCCTCCAAGGTTGGCAATTATACAAACAATAAGCTCCTCTCTGTATAGAGTTCAAGAACGGCAAGACGCCCATCCTGATTGCTACTGATGTCGCTGCACGTGGACTTGGTAAGTTCAGGCCATGGAAGGTCGAGTCCTACACTTTCGTCGCCGTTTCGGTGATCGAAAGTGTACCGCTTGGGTGTCGATTAATTCTATTGTCAGTTACACATTGTGTGACAACGTGTTAGCTTTGGAGAGCTTTAAATTTCTGTCGGCAGTCACCATTGTTCACATTGCCCGCAAGTTAGACGTGCGTCCACCGTTAATTCGCGGTGGACAAACAATCGATGGCGATGGGTGGACAGGATGTGGAGGGCCCTAAAATTGATTAGGCTCTTCACATTCAGATGTGACTGCCGCTAATGGCTCTCCAGGACTACTCGCGATGGACAATAAATGCACCCACCTGACTCGACCGGCACAGCCATTTTCTTGCTCTTGGCTGTCTCCCAGGTTAGATTTTCGCGATTCGGTCTTGTCGTTAGACTCTTTCGCGTTAGTCTACCCATTTTCGCAAGATTGTTTTAATAATTCCCTTTAGATGTCGATGATATCAAGTTTGTGATCAACTACGACTACCCGAATAATTCTGAGGATTATGTTCACAGAATCGGCCGAACTGGGCGCAGGGATAAGAAGGTGAAAAAAATGCCGTTGTCTAATATCATTTTAGGGAACTGCGTACACGTACTTCACGCCGCAGAATGCTCCAAAGGCCCGTGATCTGATCAAGGTGCTGGAGGAGGCGAAACAACAAGTCCCGGCCGAGTTGTACGAGATGCAGGGTCGCGGTGGCGGCGGCGGAGGAAGCCGAGGTCGGTACGGCGGTGGAGGAGCTGGCCAGAAGCGCGGCTACGGCGGTGGTGGTGGCTACGGCGGCGGCGGTGGAGGTGATTACGCCAAACGCGGAAGGTAATATTCTGGATGTTGATTTTCCAAAACTGTTTCTAGGTTCGATGATCGCGGCTCTGGTGGTCGCTGGTGAGCACGACATCCGCCAAGTACAACAAGGACTTTAATTCCTAACACGAGTCAACAAATGATCTTCTCCTTTAGTCATTGTCTCCATGCTCTCCATACGTGCGATTTTTAATATATCGTTATATACGTTCCTAAGTTATCTGGTTGTTTGAAATAAATCATGTTGTTCACCTAGACCAAATAAATGCAGACTTTTGGAGGATTTGACAATGAAGGCAGTGAGAGAGCAAGCACTACACATTCAATGGGATGAATTAGCATTTGGAGTTTGGGATGCCGGAAGTTCTGATGATTTCAATGGATTCATCGACATATGAAGACTTGAGGAGCCTTCAGAATTATCGAATTTCCATCTGCGGCGGCGACCACCACAAGATGTCCCTGGCCGACGTCAACCGACTGCTCAACGCGACGTAACTTTCCGTTGCGGAAAATATCTTTTGTCTTCCTTTAGCGATGCGATGCTGCAGCTGAAATTGCGGTTCCCCGGCAAGAAGAAGTCGGACAAATGCCTCGAGCTGATCGGCATTGTGGAGCGATGGAGCCGCGATGTGAGCATGACTCTCTTCCGTTTCTAGGTAACTTTAGAACATTCAACCCGGCAAGATCCCGGCGAAGAAGGCCGGCAGACCCCGCGCCGCGAAGGCCGTCGATGCGGCCAACGATGCGGCTGGACGAGTAGGGTTTTATCTTGGAAAAGTGGAAATGAATTTGTTAAGGCTGCGGCGAGCCCGCCAAAAAGCCGCATTGTGACGCGGGCTATGGCGCTGCGCGGCCACCGGCGCTCCTCGGTGAAGGCGGCCACCCCGAAAAGGCGCAGGAAGAGGACCATCCGTTTCAAAGATGAGGAGAACGAGGAGGGGATGGACATCGAGACTCGTGATAATGGTGCAGAGGTAACAGAATAGAAGCATTCAAGCAATATCTAATGCTAGTTTCCAGCCAAGATTTCCATTTTTGCACCTCAATTTTGTTATATTCTGCTATTTTTTTCTGATTCAAATTGAAAGTATTCTTACTCTACAGAGCAGGGCGAACATTTTTGTATATTTTACAGCCTTGTAGAGCAAAAAAAGAGCTGAACAGGAGAAGCCTAGTATTACCTTTACTTTTTACAGGACCCGCCCTTGCTGCAGGCCGAGGACATCGATGAGGAGAATGAGGACGAGCCGGAGCACGACAATCCGCCGCCGGTATTGAAGCAAGAGGATGACGATCAGATGGATGGGGTGGAGCCGCAGGAGACCAAGGAGGTCATCCGCGAAGTGGACAAAGAGCAGCGCGAGCAGGCCATCAAAGCGCCTGTCCTGCGTGAGGTATATAAAGCTAAAGAGGAGACATCCATGGAAATCGACATTTTTAGGCTCGCCCAAACCTTCGCCTCAACGCGACGTTCCGAGAAGATCCGCACGATCAGGAGAATGACATCGAGTCGCCGGTGCTCGTCGCGAACGAGTTGATGAAGATGGAGCTGGAGGGAGTGGCTGCCAAAGAAGAAGCGCCAGATGATGCGCAGCAGGTGGCCACCCTCGAGAAGAACGAGCAGCATGTCGGCCGGTTGATGCCCAAAATGCCAGTTGCTCCCGGGCCTTCGTACATTCCACCGGTCGTCCCGCAGAGGGTCTCCCTCAACTTCATCCGGTAAGTTTTTATTATTTTAACGATTAATCTATGAACTATTACTTTTACATTACTTTTCAGCCGCCCGTCGATGATGCGCCGCCCATCACTGCTTGCCCCGATCAACGAGGACCGCGTGCTCAACACCCGCCCGTCTCAGCGCCCTATTGGACAAGGACCATCTACGGCTGCGCGCGATGATGACGAGGAAATGGACACGAACCCGTCATTCGTGCCCGAAGAGCGCCTCTCCGTCATCCGCAGCGCCTCCGAGGCGTCCAACTCCCTCGAGCCTGCGCGCGTCACGCCACCAAATGATGAAGGAGACGAGAACGACCTCAAGACCGACGACATCATGAATCTCAGTGCGTCTAGTTTTCTTTTAATTTTGTCTTATATAGTATACTTCTAAAGTATTAGATTATTTTATTAAATGTTATTTTCAGGTTCTCGCGCCTCGCTGTCGCCTCGGATGAAGCAACTGCTGGAAGACGGGCTGCGCAACCTGCCCTCTCACTTGAGGGTCCGCAGGTTAGTATTTCTTTCATTCACCTTTTAAGCTTTTCCTTTTCAGGACCCTGGAGCGCTACTCGGCTGCCCCTTCCGCCCGCTGAGACGGCCAGCGCTTATCGACTCCGATTAACAGAAGATACTTATCAAAAAATACTCGTCTTCATTCATTGTGTGTTGTGATGAATTTGTGTGGGAATAAAAATGCTTTGATATTGTTGGTGGAATGGGATTTTGTTTGGACCTCGTCTTGGCTGACTTATTTGATTCGGGTTATCTCTCTGGAGGAGCTGAACGGCAGAGCGTCCGAAAGCAAGAGTTTTGCTACAACAAGTGACCAACAACCAGCGGGCCAACAAAGTCCGCTTTGCAGCTTAATTCCGGCTTTCCCGTGAAGTGCGATGGCTTGGAGTCGGACGTCAGTCGTCCGCTTGGTTTCTTAGACGAGCTCTGTTTTTTTTTGCTGGATTGCGGTTGAGACTTCGTAACGTCGTAACTTACGACAGCAAACTATCTAGAGCCACACGAAGCGGAACGATAGTTGCTGGATAAAACCCCTATAACCTAGACGAAATACCCGAAAAATATGGATCAAGTTGTTAATCTAGCATATTTGCGAATAGGTGGAATCTTGTGTGTTGATCAAAGGATCAAGTCAATTACAGGGTGGGCCAAAAAAAGAGGTTTGGGTCTAAATATCTCGTGAAGGGAAATAGATCCATCGTAAATTTATAGCTGAAAATGCCGTTCTCGGTCTGGATAGTAAATAGAAATCAAGTTGATTTTTTTGCGATTTTTGTCGACCCCCTACTCATCAAAAGTTTTTTTGAAAAAGTAGCAAACTTAGAAGACGAAAATGATGGCACTTTTAAAGAGTTAGAGGCAAGTCAAAAGTATCAAGATAAATATCTCAGAATGCGCTATCCAAGGAGTGTTAAAGATTACCAGCCGCTTACAGCGGCTTTGCCGCTGCAAGCGGCTGGACTTCGGGCCACCCCCTGTGCGTTCCCTCCCCCTCGCCGAAACGCGCGCGACCTGGCTCACTATGTCCAAAATCACCCCAACCTCCGTCCCCCACCCCTTTTACTAAGGAAAAAACTTTCAAAGTTAAATTTAATAATTTAAACTAAAACTTTTTCATAATTTTTTTTATCAGTTTGGGGGTTTCTGACCACGCTCTATCCGAATCCGAAGAGAGCTAAGCTCTAGCTCCTTTCCCCTTCGAGTTGAATTCACGACCTGACACACACACACACACACTGACGCCTCAAGAAAATTATTATAGTTGATTAATCGACTAAACCAGCTGTCAATCCACCTTGTATAAGGTCAACAGTGAGGAATCGGTGGCAAAACAAAAATTAGTCCCCCCGCTAAAAGTCCAGTACCACCAGTTTCCGGGGTTCTGGCCAAAAAGGCTGGAAGTAACCTTTCCATAAGCGCCTAGAATTTTTTAGCTTTTGCATACCGAAAAAACATCATTTCCCGGTATAAAAGCCCGAGCTCCGCTACCATTTTCATGTTTTCTTAATTCTTCTCTATTACCCGGTGTTACAAAGGACTATCAGGTAACTAGCAATTTTCAACGCAAATCATCAAGTATTCAGTGACGACGCGAAATGTATGAAGACCTAGGGCCGGCACCGGGTGGAGACGCGAATGCCCCACCGCCCCCACCAGCAGCAGCCGCTGCGGCTCCTCCTCCCCCGCCTCCTGCTGCGGCTCCTGCCCCTGCTGCTGACGCCCCCGCCGCGCCTAGCCAAGCCGGTGCTGCGCCTGAGGGAGGAGGTGGCGGTGAAGGTGACAAGGTTTGTGCTTGTGTTTTTTGTTTGTATTTGTAAAATAAAACTATATTTTCTTATTAAAAACCTGTACATTTTTTGAAAAAGTCGAATTGTTCTTGAAAAACGGCCAGTTTGGTCGCAAAATCTACATTTTTTGTATTTTTTAATGCGAAAGAATCTTTTCCCGTTCAGACGACGGCGACCACGGTGGCCGAGGATCCGCCGTCGAAGAAGAAGGCAAAAGCCCAGACCTCGTTGATGGGCGAACCGACGATGATGGGCGGTATCCCGCAGCCGAAGAAGAAGACCGGATTGCCTGGTAATTAATATAGATCCATACCTATACAATCTTCTCGTATTTTCCAGGCTGGGTGGCCCCGTTGTTTTGCGTGCCGTTGGGGCTTGCCGGATTGGGGCTGGGTGTGATGATGGTCGTCGTGGTGGTGATGGAGGACGCCGCCATCAACTACATGATAACAAATGCATAAAGCAGTAAGGTATGGGATTAATGCATTTGTTGTAATTGTAATTTAGCGTTGAAGTAGAAACTGCTCAACGAAAGATACCCTTTTCTACTGGATATCGGCTACCCGTTGTCCTCCAGGGTTTTAAAGTATCCCAAAACACTCGCCAGAACAAGACGAACATTTTTCTATCCTTTACTGTAGACAAACAGGTGGCCGCGATACAAAAGTTGTTAATGTAAAAACATAGATTTTCGATGAAAAATGGAGCAAAAACTCAGTTTCGAATCATTTAGATAGTTTTTCCGCCTGAAGTATAGTTATTCAATACACCGATTTCAGAACGACCACATCGGCATCCCTATCACGGCTCGAATCCTCGAATCTCACCATCGTCTTCGGCAAACCCCTACTATACCCACTTGCGCTATTCGAATAAAGAATTTTTGTATACGACGACAAAAATAAAAACCAAAAACCAAAAATACGTTATGCACGCAATACAAATAATTTTTACAGTATTTTGCATAGTTTTTAGATAAAAAAAAGCCTGTAAAATGTAATAAAATTTCCGAAAATGTTTGACTTTTTTGTCAAGAAGGTAAAAATTTCGTTTTTTTTAAAAATTTGTAACTTTCTAGCAATCAAAAACTGTTAAAATGATAAAATACATGATGCAGGCGGGAGAATAAAAACGGCGTCGCCCCCCGCTAAAAGTCTAGTACCTCTCTTTTTAGCGTGCATTTGGCATTGACATTCGCCATAAAAAATAGCTTTATGTGCAAAACCCAGAAAAGGACGAAGAGTACAAAGCAATGATCAGAACCCGTTTTCAAAAGAGGGTATAAGAGAAAACAACAATTGATTTTTAGGTCTCCGATGAGCATGAGGGTGGCCCTCGAAAGGAGCAAGAGGAAAAAGAAGCAAAAAGAAGGAAAAGAGGGTCTCGTGGATTAGCGAAAGCTCTGAAATGGCAAGGCACCTATAGACGTATGGGATAGATAGGATCTGTGACCGAACAGGAAAAATGATGCTTTGGCATTAGGGGGGATTCCAAAAGTCCAGAAATGCAACTAATTAAATACTCGTGGTTTTTTAATAAAATTTAGTCTATTTAAAGTCGAAAAACTATCGAAAAACGCAAAAAATTGAGGGTTTTTGTCGAAAATCGATCATGTCTGCTCGAAAATCGATATTTACGGTAATTTTTTGTATAAATTCCGCAACTTTCGACGGTTCGGAATCGAAAAAAGCCCAAGATGGTTGCATCACTTCTTTTTATTAGCAAAATTAGATGCTAAAGACGAAGCCCCCCTTCCCCAATAATGCAAAAGCACCCCAGAAAAAAATGAAAAATTACAAAAATGAGGCTGATGACTAGCAATTGAAACGGAGAAAATAGGGACGGAGGCAATGCTTTGGAAAGAGAGGTATCCGTATCGATCGGGGGATCTATTTTTGGAGGATTTTTAAACAGTTTAAAAAGTGGAAATTGGTTCTATAATCACATATTGTAAGCGACATAGATTGGATCGAGTTTGTCCTGGAGGAACTGATCGCGCAGCAAATATCGCTGCTTCTCCCCGCGGCAATTTGTCGGGATCGTGTTCGGGTCGACGATGACCACCACCTGAAAAGGATTTTTAAAAATTGCGGTACTGTACTGTTAACGGGGGGCGAATTGTTCTTTTTTAAAGCCCAAAATCGCATAATAGTGAGCGTTTTAATAATGTTTTTAGCAAAATTTACCCATATTTGAAGCGCAAAATTAAAGAAGGAAAAGGAAAATATAGAAAAAAGCAATTTTCTTTGTTATATTTGCCTTATTTAAATATATCTATTGTTACCCCAAGAATGAGATGGTGCTCCTCGAGAACGGAACAAGTGGCCGCTGGGATGACGTCGAGGGAATCGTCACCGCCCGTACTTTCAACCACAGCAACAAGTAGGTGATTCCACGTGAAAACCGCGCTGAAAAGCGTTCATAAAATTGCTTCAGAATTTAAAAATTGAATTTGTTCTTATTTAGATCGGAAGTTGAAATTAAGCGTGCACGTCCACGTTCCACGTCGAAAGCGCTAGACGGCATACCTTTGCTACGGTATCTCGACTCCCCGTTGTCTTACAGGGCTGTATAGTATATCAAAATGCTCGCAAGACCAAGACGAACATTTTGGTATACTGTACAGTCCTGTGGACAAACAAGGTGCCGAGATACAAAACGTCGATGTCGACGGCTGGGGGGTACCTTTCGAAGCATACCTTTCCGTTAGAAGCCGATGCGCCCGATTGAGGGTGTATTCGATGTCAGCCGGATGATAGCGCATCCCTCGTAGTGTCAATGCTTCATCCAAGGGTCCCACAACGAACACGGCTTCGTGAAGGCCACCGCTTTCCGTCACCGCATCCGTCTGCCGCACGAGACCCAGGTACCCCGTTCGGGCCCATCTAGAAAAAAAACACAATATTTATAAATCTAATTGATATCTACAGAAACAATCACCTCTTTTATAAAATCGGTCTACTTTAAAGCAGGGTCTGTTTCCTAAAACGTGGATGTGGCCCCATTGGGGGGGGGGGGGAGAGGGACTGCGCTGACCGAACCCGATCGGCCTGTTGGCTCATAAGATTTGTGTTCGCTTACCGCGAACAAGGCCCGGTTCGATCCCCGAGAGTGACAAAACCTTTTGCTTTTTCATCAAAAACTGGGAATTGAATGTTTCTTTAACGAACCTGGTTTTCGTGTCGCCGGTAGTGAGTCGTGCCTCGAACATATCATTATGAGACTGACGCTCAATCGTTCCATCAGCACAATGAGGGCCCGCCACCCAGATCTCCCCGAGGTGAGAATCAGCGCATAGACCACGGGTTTCCGGATTCGCAATGGCCACACGGACGCCGGGCAGAAGCTATAATAATAATAGGTATTGCTAGCTTCAAGAACTTCATTTTGCTTTTCTCTAGTCGAGCTGTTGCTAGTTTTCTAGTTTCCTAAATTGCTTTACTTTACTTTTTTACCCTCGTTTTATTACCCGTTACTATCACTTACTATTGATTGATGATTGTTTACTACTTATTGTTGCAATGTCGGTATTTCCTTACTTTTCCTGTCTCGACGAGCGCAATAGAATGTGGAGCGCCCTTGCCGACGACGGATACGCGATCGTGACGCAACGCTCGCCCATCGACCCAGATCTGGAAAAATAGCTCAGATTTTCTTGTGAAAACACTAATTGGCAGATTCTGAACTCATTTCTGAACTCCTGACCCAATTTTAAATACTTTTGATGTCTTAATCATCAAAATTGGCCCAGACACTACCAAAAAAAACCACAAAAAATTTCAAATTTGCGAGCTTCGGCCCCCTGGGCTTACAGAGGCCATCGATGTACAGGGCTCTGGTTTTCGGGCAGTAAGCCAATTTTTAGCACTTCGTTGCCACTTTAAACGTGTTGAGGCGAAGAACGAACCTGTGCCGGGTCAGGCCCACTGGCTCCCTGCATACATATTGCTGGACATACGCGACAACCGAATGAAGTGGAGACAGATCGAGAAGATAGGCCAACAGATCCGAATAGCGTTGTAAAAGCGGATAGTAGTGGAACGCGAGGACGTTCTTCGGCCACGATCACGCATGTACGAACCCTGGAATTGGCGTAGTTTTTTAGTCGTTTCTTGTTCATCAAATCATTTTTTCGAGAATTAGGAATCTGGAAAAAAGAGAAAACCTAATTTAGGAGCTTTCGCATTATCGGGGGGGGGGGGGGGGGGGGGGCAAGAGTATTCGTTAAGAGCCAATTTTTTAAGTTTTGTGACTATTTTTAAACGTAAAAACTGTGAAATTTTGTCTCGAAACATTACCTAGAAAACCTATGTTTCAACCCAAAAATGTCGATTTTCGACCAAAATGTCGGATTTTTAAGGCGCTTAAAGTTTTTGGATAGTTTTCCAGATTTTGCTAGTTAAATCTTGCTAAAGAGACTATCGAAATACTTCAAAAAATTTCCAGGAAATTTGGCCGAAATATCGCTATTTTTATACCCTTTAATACCATTTTCTAAAGTTTTTACGTTTCGGAATAATCAGAATAGTTTTAGAACCGCTTCGTTAGCAAAATTAAATCCTAGGGAAAAAGTTGGTGCTCCGCGAGAATGCAAAAGCACCAGAACCATTTCGAAGAATTTTATGGTAATCCCCCCCTAAAAAACCCCCAAAAGTTCCAGAATTAAAACCCACGAAGCAAGATTGAGGCCCTTCTCCTTCAATTGCGCAATTTGCGGGGCCAACTCTTTGACGCAAATCTCGACGACAGTGTGCGAGGTGAAGGTGTCGCGCATCTTGTTATTGGACACGGTTTGGAGCCATAGCGATGGAGTGGCTTCGACTTCAGCTGGTGGTACAAGTGTCGTGTGATGGCCTGCAAATGGGTTAGATTTTCGGTACCTATTTACACCACTTTGTTACTAGATTTCAATTTAAAATTAAACTTAAAATCTAAAATTTAAAATTTTTGGGCCTTTTGCATTATGGGAGGGGGGGCGGATTTCATACAATGTTAGAAAGGACTAACAACATGATAGCAAATTTTCTAACAGTGTTTTTCGGAAACTTAACTTGACTTCGAGTGGAAAAACCCTTTTAAACCCAGCAAAAATTTCAATATTTTTGTCGAAAATCGATATTTTTGGTATTGTTAAAATTTGTAAGTTTTTGCGTCTAGAAATAGCAAAAAAATTTTAGAAACAGCTCCCCTATTATTTAGAAAAAGTGGCTCCTAAGGAAAAGGTCCCCGAAAATGCACATTTTTACCATTTTTTCGAAAATTTTGGATTTTTTTGCAGAAAATTGTGAGGGTTTTATAACGTTTAATAATAGTTAAAACCGTCGAAGCACTCTAATATATTCGAAAAATCGGATGATAATGGACATTTTTGCCGCCCCCCCCCCCCGATACTGCAAAAGCTCCCGTAATATGAAAAACCTTTTCGATAATTACTATAAATTCCCACCTGAATAGACGCTGGAAAGGATCCATAACGCGAGACCGAGTCCCGAATACGGATCAAGACAAACGGACACGTGACGTGATTGATACAGCTCGCAGGCGATTTTCAGGCTTTTGCATAGAGCGGCAGCGGATTGTTGACTGATCGTGACTCCGGTTAGCTGGCCCGTGGTCGAGACGGCAAAGTCGTGGTAAGCGGGTGAGTTTGGATGAAGGTGATTCTCCAATCCCTCTCTCTCCAGTGTCCCTTTTCGTTTTGAGGATGAGGGGGCATCTTCAACATCCAACATCAACGGCCACGCCTTCGCATCCACGCGATGCGACGCTTCTTTGCTCTGAAAAAGTTTAAAAATAAAAAGGTAAAAGAAAAACGCGTTCTTTCGCATTATGGGGCAATCAAAAGCAAATATAGAATAAAATTGGTTCTTTGGCATTATCGGGGGGGGGGGGGTAATTGTTCCCACAAGTTCAGAAATGCCTAGTAACGTAATGGTAAGAATTTAGTACCTTTTTGTACAAATTCAAATATATCCAGGTGGAAAACTATCTCAAAAAACGCTCGCAATTTTTAAATTTTGAAAAATCGCTATTTTCGTTTGTCGTCTGGAAAATTTGTCTTCGTTGATCAACTCGTCGCCCCCCCCCCCCCCCCGATAGTGCCAAAGCACCCCAAAAGCCCTGTTCAAACCTTGAGCATCTTTGTGATGTTCTGGCTGGAAAGTACGGCTACAGATCGGCTGACATCGACGATGGCTCGGACGGTGGGAACGGCTTCAGCCAGTTGGCCGGAAGGCGGGGGACGAACGCATACGGGGACCATGCCTAACAGGTAAAGTTCATTTCTTCATCCAAGTTAAGCTTTTCGGAACGGGAAAATACGATTAACAACGGAATTAAAACAAGAAATACCTGACAAAAGACACCCAAAGAAGGCGACGATCAGATCGAGACCGGGCGGTAACACGACGGAGACATGGTCACCCGGGTTGAGACGAGCCTTGTCGGTCAGTAAGCTTGCTATCCGCTCGGCTTTTTTCAGCAGCATACCGCACGTCAACGTCTCTGGGTTATCGATTGTCTGCAAAAAGAGTTTAATCAATTATTTAACAATTAATTCCAAGCTCTGAGCAATGGAATTCAGAAATACCACTTATAAAGCGCGCGTTGGCGCGAAATCTTCCCTTACTATGAATTACCTTGGCCGTGACGAGACTGAAGATCACATGATCTGGCGTATGTGTCGCGCGCTGTCGAAGAATTTCGGCAAGAGGTACGTACTAAAAATGTATCATGTTGGAACGAATGTTCTGTCGCCGAGATTTTGGAAGGCTGGCTAAATTCGTAGATAGCTCCATTCTGCACATGCGATATGTCATTTTGTAGCTCTCTGTCTGAATGGTTCCGGGAGGAGGGTCCTGGGCCCTCAAAATCAAGAACGTCCGAGATACAGGCCCAAGAAGATTTTTCAAAAATTACGAGAAAGTGTTTTTGCAAGTTATCTCTGCACGGAGCAATTTGCATGCGATACCTTTAACGCCAAACGATAGATCTCGAGGAGTAGATATCAATAGATGTTGAGATCATCAAAATTGGACACTGGATGGTCGAGATATGGGCCCTTGAAATTTGACCCATTTCTTAGAACTTTTCTCGATTTCCCATACATTTTTTCAAAATCCGCTCCGCTAGTCCAAAAATAAAGCGGTAATTTTTGGCAATTTTTGGCACAAATTTTTGGAAATGTATGGGAAATCGAGAAAAGTTCTAAGAAATGGGTCAAATTTCAAGGGCCCATATCTCGACCATCCAGTGTCCAATTTTGATGATCTCAACATCTATTGATATCTACTCCTCGAGATCTATCGTTTGGCGTTAAAGGTATCGCATGCAAATTGCTCCGTGCAGAGATAACTTGCAAAAACACTTTCTCGTAATTTTTGAAAAATCTTCTTGGGCCTGTATCTCGGCCGTTCTTGATTTTGAGGGCCTAGGACCCTCCTCCCGGAACCATTCAGACAGAGAGCTACAAAATGACATATCGCATGTGCAGAATGGAGCTATCTACGAATTTAGCCAGCCTTCCAAAATCTCGGCGACAGAACATTCGTTCCAACCTGATAGATTTAGTCATTTGATTGTGATTATCATTATTTTCAACGTACCATATCTTCCGGTCCGAGTGATCGGCCCTCAGCTTCTGCCATCCGAACGCCCTGCACGATGTTTCCGACAAACATTGCAGCCGGGCCAACGTCAGATTGTCGTTCACTGGAAAATGAACTTTCAATTCCGGTACTGGACTGTTAGCGGGGGGGGGACGATCAACGGAGCTAAGTTTTTGGTTTTTTCGTACCTTTTAAGTGCTAGGACGTTTAAAAACCTTCCAAAAATAGTGAAAATTTGAAAATTTAGGCCATTTGTGGCCATTTTTCATACGAGAGAGAGAGAGAGCAGAGAGAGAGAGAGAGAGAGAGAGAGAGAGAGAGAGAAGGGTGATTGAGAAAAATTGTCCCCCCGATAATGAACAAGAAAATAGAGCCTACCGTGGCTTGGGCAGGTTAAGGACACAATTATGGGGACACATCAAAAGGGTAGCCGGGTGTAGATCACCGCTCAAGAAACGTTGTCGAGTCTCTGCCACATGGATACCACCCAGAGGAGTCTGAAAGAGGAATTAAAGCTTGTATGACCTCTACTTTAGCAAGGTAAGGATTTTTGGGCGTACCTTTGGCAATTGGTTGGGCACGACGAGGGCGAGACAATAGATGGAAACGTGGTGAATCGACTCGACAGCCTGCATCACTCGGCCCATCCATTGAAAAGCGTCATCTTCCGTGGTATGTGGCTTCTGCTCACACACCACAACGATTCGCTCGTCTCGTAGTACAGACACGGAAAAGACGGCGATGCGGCCTCTGGAAAATCATCGTAAAAATCGCTAAAACCAAGGAGATAGCGTTGAAGAATACACTAGGAGATTTTCTACATCCAAAAAAAAGGAAATTTTTTGTTATTGTGCTTTGGCCATATTGGGGGAACCTAACTTTTTTCCTAGAAGCCCTAGAATGTTGTAGTGAGTTTTTCATAGTTTTAAAAAAATTCAGCAAGATTTTGAGTGGAAAAATTAGCTGAAAATTTTTAAATTTTAATTTGTAGCATTTTTTGCGTCTAGGAATAGTAAAAATTGATACTTTTTATATAAAAGCTATTTTACTTTTTTTAATACGAACCTGTACACAAAACGCATCGGCTCTACGGCAAGCACGGTGGCAATAATGTCATCGGCGGAATGTTGTCGCCCAGAAACGAAGAGTTGCGACGCCTTCTTGCCCACCACAAAGATCAGCCCGTTCTGTAATCAAGGATCAGCTTCAAAAAAGTGTACAAAATCTTACAGGTGCCAAAAAGCCAATCAATCCGGTGCGGACGTAGTGTAATGGACCGAGGGGTCGATCATCAGCAGCCAGCGGTTCCACCTAATCAAAAAATTTCGTCATACAATAAAAGTAAAGATGAAAAATTATACACTGCTGGACATAATTATGGCCTCAGTGAAAATTTTTGAAAAATCTCAAATTTTAGCGATTTTCATGTAACGCTTTCTATGCAAGAAAGTAGCCGTATCCCATCACCAATTCACACAACAAGTCAGTTTTGGCATCCTTTGAACAAAAAAAAAATTCCGAAAGATTTTTGCTCAAATGGTACTTTGGAAAAGGGACATAATTATGGCCTCACCTGGGTAAATTTCTTATAAACGTTACGATATCGCACAAATCAATCAAAAAACATTTCCAATAATCTTTGTGTACTCTCTTTCATGTAATCCAGTGTGAGGGATGGCTCTCCAAGCCCAGACGAAGGCAGTCGAGCCAGATTTCGGTCCACTGGTTATGTGGCCGCCAAAAATTCCTGTTGCTTCCCGGTACTCTTTGCTCCTGTTTACATTTTGCGTAACAAGACGCCTCAAACATGGTCGGTAGCCATACGATCCGCGAAATCATTTGGGCACTCTGGAAATCCGGTTTGAAGGGATCGGCGCGAATTCCATATCCGCCTCGCTCGATGAATTGCAGCTTCCTTTTGCTAAAAAACGCCGTTTCGATTCTGAATCCGTTTGGAAACGGGCTGAATTCCACCGGCAACAACTGACGCCGACGCTTAACCCAGGCCATGTCGAAAATCGCGTCAAATTTGCTCGCCGAAGCCGGAGGGTAGCTTGGGGGAAGATGGGGGTCTGCCCAGGGTCCTCAAACTCCCTCTAATTTCTGTTTCTGATAAAGAGAGGCCTTTTTGCGATCATTCTCACTCCTTTTGCCATAAGCGTCTCCCAAAAATATCGATTGTCTGCAAGAAATTTTCAAGATCGTGCTGTTGTTGTCGTTTGGGCCATTGAGTAATGAGAAGCAGCGAAACGGAGCCTCACTCTGGCTTAAATGAACCAAGCCGACGGCCCACAATTGTAGCGCCGTCGAATCCAGCCCGTTTCCAAACGGATTCAGAATCGAAACGGCGTTTTTTAGCAAAAGGAAGCTGCAATTCATCGAGCGAGGCGGATACGGAATTCGCGCCGATCCCTTCAAACCGGATTTCCGGAGTGCCCAAATGATTTCGCGGATCGTATGGTCACCGACCATGTTTGAGGCGTCTTGTTACGCAAAATGTAAGCAAGAGCAAAGAGTACCGGGCAGCAACAGGAATTTTTGGCGGCCACATAACCAGTGGACCGAAATCTGGCTCGACTGCCTTCGTCTGGGCTTGGAGAGCCATCCCTCACACTGGATTACATGAAAGAGAGTACACAAAGATTATTGGAAATGTTTTTTGATTGATTTGTGCGATATCGTAACGTTTATAAAAAATTTACCCAGGTGAGGCCATAATTATGTCCCTTTTCCAAAGTACCATTTGAGCAAAAATCTTTCGGAATTTTTTTTGTTCAAAGGATGCCAAAACTGACTTGTTGTGTGAATTGGTGATGGGATACGGCTACTTTCTTGCATAGAAAGCGTTACATGAAAATCGCTAAAATTTGAGCTTTTTGAAAAATTTTCACTGAGGCCATAATTATGTCCAGCAGTGTACGTTATCCTTTTCGCAATGGATAGACGTTAGCGTAGATAGTACTCACTCGGAATGTGGCGGCCGACATCCCCTCGAGACCCCAGTAGGCGCTGCCTGCAGAATGGGCGCAGATGCAAATCTCGCCCACCTGAAAATACGTTTTTCGTTTAATTTTGAATATTATAAGTTGTATCAAATATTGAATCAAGAAAAATAACTTTTCGAATCAAATCCCACCTCATCACTTCGGCAAAGTCGCGGAGATCCAGACTGCTTGACGACAACCACCGAACCGCCCGGGATCACGTGGCCCGCGTCCTAAAAATAGGAGAATGAGATAGATTTCGGTATGAGGTACCGTACCTGTAGTGTCAACGAGTTGAGCGCGTTCTCTTGCTCAACCCTGACAACTCCATGCGATAGGGCTGACATCGAGAGGACGCCGCGGCCGGCTTGAGTGCCTGGCTGATTCGCCGCTGGTCTTCTGCAATAAATAAATATCCTTTTTATGTAAAATATTATACTAAGTTTTCGTTAAATTCCTTAAAAAAATTATTTATGGGGTGTTGAAACGGAATTTTCACGAAAACAAGATTAAAAACAGTTTCAGTACGTTTTGAAAGGGACCATTGGCATTATTGGGGGGGGGGGGCTTTTTATGTCCATTTTTTAAATACAAATAGAAAGGTGTTTTAAGACAGGCATTTTTCATTATTTCGAAACGCCAAAAGTCACAAATTTTGAATGAGAAATACAAAAATATCGATTTTTGGCCAAAAATGAACGATTTTCGACAGCATGTCGCATTTTAAAACTGAAAGCTTTTACATAGTTTTTCACTCATTCGACACCGACCCCCGATAATGCACAAGCTTCTTTTAACGAAACCAAACCGTACCTTCGCAATGAGATGGTGCCAGTCTCCGAACTTCCCGCAGTCGGGCACATCGCATCCGGTCTCAGTCCCCGCGAGGCAAACGTCGCCAAGAATTGGTCACAAGACGATAGGGACCAAGGATTGGCCCCATCAGCCACAACGAGACTTCTCAGCCCGCCGAGTTGAACGTCATTATGATCGCGCACGGCCAGCAGGGCCCAATGTAGGTCGCGGGACTTGACGAGGGCCGTTTGGGCCTGTAGACGGGTCGCTTGCACCATCCAGCTGGCTGGGTTCACCTGAATTTAATAAATAAATGATGCTACAAAATTCTAGACTACCTTCATGAGGGCATACGGTACGAAGACGACCTTTAGGCCGCAAAATACCGAGGCAAGCACCCCGTGCCACAACCCGACTTCTCGCTTCCAATCAAGGACGCAGATTGCACTTTCGCCTGGAAAAAGGGTTAAATAGAGAAAATAAAAGGCTAGAATACTGCCAATTACGATATGGAGCTTGTTCATTATCGGGGGCGACCGGGGCACCAATTTTTTTCGGTACTGGTTCCCTAGCGGGGGCGGGGCGGGGGGGGGGAAGGGATGTCGGGGACAAAATCTCTATTGGGAAAGGCAAGGAGAGTGGGCGCCTCCCCGCCCTGACCCCCGTTAATGCAGCAGCGCCATTTTTTTGCCGTTAGGATCGGATTTTCCTAATATAGATAGACAAGGCATTGTTAGGCTTTTTAGCTATTTCTAGGCGTCGAAACTTTGCACATTTTATCAAAACAAACATAAAATCTCGATTTTCGACCAAAATCTCGAAATTTCACCGTTTTTGATAGTAAATATAGCTGAATTTGTATAAACCATTATTTAAATACGCACCAGTACGCTTATATCAAAAAATTGCCCCCCCCCGATAATGGAAAAGGACCGAATTTATTAGAATAATTGTGAGATACATGAACAATATAATTTCAAGTTCTTAATAACTCCAAACCCGCTAAAACGCACCTTCTTTATAATCCATCTGCAGTGCAATGGCGCGACAATGTGCGAGCATGGCCTGTCTGCTAATACACACTCCTTTCACAGCACCCTCTCGGCATTGTGAATATTCGATGTAGGCAACACTTTCATCAGCTACTCGTGGTGGAGCAGTCCAGTCTCGAGGGGGTTTCGGCTGAAAAGGTACGTTAAAATACTGAATACAGTAAGATACAATAATTACAAAATATCGTAAATTAAACCGTTATTAAATTAAATATTTACTTACCAAATTCTCAGTCGTCTGCCAATACAACCGGGGCCATCCTTTGAAGTCGACGACCTCTGTATTACTGCCGGATGGGGAAGAAGCCTTTGGAAGGCCCTTGTAGCACGCTTCCGAGGTGAGGGCTACCTGTAAAATGTTCCTTTTTACAAGCTTCTATTTTGTTCTCTTGAAGCCAAAGCACTAAATTTTACATAGCTTAGAAAAAAGCAGATAAATAACGTAAAAAGTTCGGCTTTTGGTCAAAATTCATGAAAATGGTGCTAGTCTATTAGCGGGGGGGGGGGGGGGGGGTTTGGAGAGGCCGCACCCACTCTCGTTCCCTTTCCCAATAGGCTTATTACGGGGAGCTGCTCTTAGCCCCCCCCCCCGCTAACGCACCAGTACCTGAAAAATTACCAAAATGGTAAAATCTTCAGTTTCATAAAATTTACTTGATGATACCTTCGAGCTAGCAAAAACTAACTCAAAATACTATAAAATAGAAAACATAGATTAAGTTGCAGGACAGGTGAAAAAATAAAAATTACCCCCCCCCCCCGGTAAGAGTCAAGTACCAAATTTTCTAGTTTTTTCAGTTTTGTACAATATTTCACAACTTTTTTTTACAAATCTAGTCGTATAGAGCTTTCTAAAGTAACGCAAAAAACCTTTCAAAAGGCCCACCTTGACCCCACAAGATCCGAGCAAGAAACCGAGCTGCTGTATGCCGGCATCTCTTCTTGTCAATGGCACTTCAACAGGTACTGGCACAATGCCAGCCATCAAACATCCATAGAATGCTGGCAGAAAATGGAGGGGATCAGCATTCGGATACACAAGGGCTACACGATCGCCAGGTCGACAGAGCGGACCCTTTGCCCCGTCTCGACCTCCTTGGGCCACCTGCTTGTTCAGCAACACCCAGGCGATTTTGGTGGCCCGCGAGTAGAGTTTGCCTGGAAGTAGTTTGATCTTTGTTTATATTTCGAAATATAAATACCATTTTTTGAAAGTTTTATGGTTCTTTGGCATTATCGGGGGACGAACTTTTCCATTAGTATTCAATTTTCCTGACATAAATAGAGAAAACGTTTCTAAAATATATTTTTCCTCTATTCTACGCGCAAAAACTTTGCATTTTCATTAAAAATACCGAAAAATCGATTTTTGACCAATACTTCCAACAAAAATTTTTTCAAAGTTTTTTTTATCGTATTTGCACTTGAAATCTAATTAAATTTTGCTAAAACGCTATTAAAACAACTAATATTACTCAAAATTACAAAAATATGGCTTTTCGGATTAGATAAGGCTATCAACTATAATAAAAAAGTTGTGGTGTCCGTCTGTCTGAAGCCGAATTCAACTCGAAGGGGAAAGGAGCTAGAGCTTAGCTCTCTTCGGATTCGGATAGAGCGTGGTCAGAAACCCCCAAACTGATAAAAAAATTAAGAAAAAGTTTTTGTTTAAATTATTAAAATTAACTTTGAAAGTTTTTTCCTTAGTAAAGGGGTGGGGGACGGAGGTTGGGGTGATTTTGGACATAGTGAGCCAGGTGGCGCGCGTTTCGTGGATGAAAATTTTCACGGGGGATTTCATTTCTTTTTCTCTCTCATTCCATCCGGTCGGTCGTTATTTTCGTTTCTTAAAAGGATTTCGGCTAGGGGAGGTATCTGAAGCCATCAGGAAGGTATTTAGGTATATACATGGGTCGACGCTTGCATGCGCCGCATAAGCGTGGCTGGCCACGCTCTTCCGGAGCGTGGAGGACCACGCTTATGCGGCGCTTTATGCGTGCTTTTTCGCGCGCGCGATTTAACTCCAGATGCAAATCAAAAATTTAAAGGACATATATTTATGATTTCGATTTGCAAAAATGAATTGCCGATACATAACTATCAGGGTCATCTTTAAATTTTGATAAATAAACAAGATAGATCGTGTTTCAACTTCTTGTTAGTTAAATTCTCGAAAACGGATCGATTTTTGCTTTCATGTCCCTTGGAAAACTTTTATTTTGCATTTTTAGAAACTTTGCATAAGCGTTTCCGGAGCGTGGCTGGCCACGCTCATTTTGGCGTGGTTTATTAAGAGGCACGCGCGCCAGCGTGGCTCTCCACGCTCCGGAAGAGCGTGGCCGGCCACGCTTATGCGGCGCATGCAAGCGTCGACCCATGTATATTTAGGTAGTTTATGAAGGGGTTTTCAGCCATGGGGGGTATCTGAGGCCATCGGGAATGTATTGAGGTAGTTTTTGAAGGGGATTTCGGCTAGGGGATGTATCTGAAGCCATCAGGATAGTATTTAGGTAGTTTTTGAAGGGGTTTTCAGCCATGGGGGTATCTGAAGCCATCAGGAAGGCATTTAGGTAGTTTTTGAACGGGATTTCCGCTATCGGCGGTGTTGATGGAGGTGGGAATGGATGTGGTGGAGTGGGGCGTGTAGGGTAGCCCGAAGGCCAGATGGTTGCAGTCGCGAAGCGACTGTAACCATCTGGTATATTCCTAAAATACTATTAAAATTCTTAATCGCCTTTTCCGGAGTTTAACGAAAATTCACCCCCCTATAATGAAAAAGAACCTGTCTTAGTTACAGGGTGTGCAAAAAAAAGGACATAGTTTGGGTCGAAATAACTCGCGAACGGTAGAGAATCGAAGGTGCGTTACCATGCCAGAATGCTTAAATATGCTGGGCATGAAGATTTAACACAACTTGATTTTTTCGATTTTTGAGTACGCAACTGTACTATTGACGCTGGTTACGACCGAAAATTGTGCGTTCTTGAACGGGAGGTGGGAAAATTCTGATTTTTGGCCTAAAAATAGTATAAATTTGTAAAAATGTAATGGCAAAATCTTAGAATTTATCGAGGTCAATTTCATTTTTTAAAAGCAAAACAATTTTCGCGATTTTGCGTTATTTTTGTTCTTTGAGTCATAACTCGCTTATAACTCGCTGCCTATGGCTGATATTTTGTCAATGACCTATCCAAATATTAATCTCGGATTCCACACCAAATTCCACCACAATCTATGGTATTTTTGTATTGCTTGCTAAAACGTGCCCCAGTGGGGTACTGTAGGTTTCGATTTTCCCGCTTTTCTCGGGGCCCCTAGCTTCGATCCGGCGGAAATTTCCTGGGTAGTTAGGCAATAAGTAGTGGCACCTTACTGCCAAATACGAGAGCGTACTATCCACAAACTTTCATGAAAAAGACTAAAAACTGATTTTTTAATCCTGCGGCAGAATTTTGTAAATTTTTTGGTCAACTGGTCCAAAAACTGCTACTATTGGTTTTACCAAAACATCGAAGCGATTTCATGGCAAAAACACCACGAAAATCGCAAATTTCGGTTTTCTACAGTAACCCACGTGGAGCGCGTTTTAGCATGCCATCACAAAATTCCATAAAGTGACGATTTTTCAGGTCGAGGGCCTTCTAGAGGCGATTGTAAGACAGCCTGTTAAAAATGACTGATTTTGGGTGGTAAATAACAAAGTTACGAGGCCCAGTGCAAAACAAGGCCAGAGAGCCGATTTTTGGTCCGAGTAGCCGGGGTCAATTTTTGAATTATTAAAAATAGAAAAACCACCTAAGTCTCTTGGATACGATTATAGCTTTGATGTTATTATTTACGCCTGTCAAATTCCGGAGAAATCTGATTCAAAATTATGGTGACTTTCAGCTCTCAATCGAAGATCACCCTATTCCAAAATCGAAGTTTAAAATTCTTTTAAAAAAATTTTCGACGGAAAATTGTCTTGGTCTTTGCATAGTTTTATTCAACTGATAGCACAGACTTATTGCTCAAAATATCCCTACGACTCCACCTTCCAAAATTTTTTGACGCAACCTCGAATTCGGTTTATTTCGGGTTTTGATGAATTTTCCTGGCGCCAACCGCTGGTTAAAAAAATTCATGAATAAGGCTTTAGGATGCGCTATTCAAATTATATCAGATAAAAATGAAACAAAAATTTTCACAGCGCGACTAAATTTTTTAAAATGGTGGCAAGATTCGGAAAAAAGCACGAACCAACCGTTTTGGAGGCCCTAAAAGACGCCCTTCCAAAGGGGTACGGTGGCTCGAAATTTCGTAGATGATAGATAAACCCCAGTACTACATAGCTAAGCAAAGAAAACAGCTGAGGTCCCTTTGGCAATCTAGAAATATTTTTCCAAAGTTGGGTTTCGAGACCCGGAAAAATCCATGACCAGGGGGTCGTTGAAAAACTCGAAAATTCGTCGATCTCAAAAAATTCTTTAAGATTTTTATGCGACTGTAACGGGCTCGTAGATATTCCACAACAACTGATTTTGAGGTTTTCGCCATAGGTTTTTTCAATATTAAAAATTTACGAAATTTCTCCATACAAAATTTCATTCCTCTCTAACTTTTCAACCAGACCCTCAAAAATTCTTAAATTTTGTAGGTACATATCTGCTGCCTATATTAACTTACTTAATAAAAATTAGATGCCAGCCACCACAGGAAACTGAGAAAAAAGCAAATGAAGTTTCCCCGAACGCACAGTTTTCGGGTGTCATTTGTATTGATACGTCGCCGAAAATCGAAAAAATCAAGTTGTGTTAAATCTTCATGCCCAGCATATTTAAGCATTCTGGCATTGTAACGTACCTTCGATTCTCTACCGTTCGCGAGTTATTTCGACTCAAACTGTGTCCTTTTTTTTTTGCACACCCTGTAGTTAAAATAATTACCATATAGCAGCTGCTCGCCGGGTTTTCCGTGTTGATCGAGAACGACGGCTGCAACGGCTTTCGGGGATTTTGTTCCATGTCGGTGGAGGGCAGAGTCGACAGATCTGGAAAATTGTTGTAAACTTCTAATTTAATGGCGTAATCGGTTAAACCAGAATTTCCGGGGATTCTATTTGCACTACTTACTTGGGAAGATCATGTGTAGCAGATCCAGTGAGTCCATCTCCTCGAATTGGGGTCATCGTGGGCCCTTCTGGCCTTGGGGCAGCCGGATCGGCCACGCGGGCCATTGCTGAAATACCAAATATTTATATATCTTTTGTAGCTATTAAATATAATAATTCTAGCGCATTTTAGGAGGAGGAATATGGAAGATTACGGTAGAGCACTACGGAAAAAGGGCGTGTTAAGTTGAAAAAGCCGGGTATTTCTGCATTATCGAGGGGGGCCGGGGCGTTTCTTAACTTATTTTTGCTATTCTTAAATGTAGAGTATTGAAAAATTTTATTACAAAGACAAAAATGCCGATTTTCGACAAAAAAATTGCCAATTTTGGATATTTATGAATTTTTGCTATTTTTGCCACTAGAAATTTAGGGGGTTTTGAACTAAAAACACTATTAAAACTTCGACTATTACGTTACAAGACATTTCTCGGCTTATAGGAAAAATTAGCCCCCCCCCGCTAATGCAAAAGGACCAAAGGCGGCAAAAGATACGAAACGGAAAGTAGCGGAATTTCGCTGGTCACTACTATATTCCAAGGAGCACCAAGCGACGGTTTGGAAATCTATAATGCACCCCGATATTTCTTTCCCGGGCCCCTCGGCGCCATCGTAATGTTTCATCGAAATAGATCAGTGTTTCCGGTTCTCAGATTGACACTGGCTGTCAAAAAAAATGTTTTTTTAGTATGTAAAAATGACGATAGATTTCTAGGTCTAGAAACGGGTGATGCAGAATACAACTTGTTGAAATGGCGAGTGAGAGACAGACAGAAGAGAGAGAGAGAGAGAGAGAGAGAGAGAGAGAGAGAGAGAGAGAGAGAGAGAGAGAGAGA